TTTTAATTAATCTTCTTATTAATTTTTATAATTTTAATAAAGAGAAAGAAATAAGGATTTTAAAGCTATTAAATAATATAAGATAAGTTATTATTATATATATTTTTAAATATATTTATAAGAAGTCTTTTTTAAAGAATTCTAGCTCTATAGGGTAAGCTATTCTTATATTTATTTTTAAATATATTTTTAAAAAGCCTTTTTTAAAGAATTCTAACTCTATAGGGTAAGCTATTATTATATATATTTTTAAAGGTATTTAAAGGAAGTCTTTTTTAATACTTCTAGCTCTATAGGGTAATTATAAAAGACTAAATAAAAATAACTTATATAAAATAACTAAATTAGATTAAGCTATTAATTTCTAGCTAGAGCCTTAATCTGCGTCACGTGACTTACCCTATAGAGCTAATAAAGCCTAGAAGTAAGATTTATATAACTCTATAATATCTTACTTATATAAGCTATAATAGCTTAGCTAAGTATATTATTAAAAAGCGCAAAAGATTAGCTATAGGGTAGTTTATTATTAGACTTATATCTTATAGGCTAAATTTCCTAGAATTATTTATATATAAGACCTTTTTTATAAAAATATTTAAATACTATAAGGTAAATATAAAAAACTAAATAAGAATAACTTATATAAAAAAGCTAAATAAAATAAAGCTATTAATTTCTAGCTAAAGCCTAGATCTACATTATATAACTTACCCTATAGAGCTAATAAAGCCTAGAAGTAAGATTTATATAACCTTATAATACCTTACTTATATAAGCTATTATAGCTTAGCTAAGTATATTATTAAAAAGCGCAAAAAATTAGCTATAGGGTAATATATTATTAGACTTATATCTTATAAGCTTAATTTCTTAGAATTATTTATAAAAAGGATTATTTTTATAAATATATTTAATAATAATTTAAATAAAATTATTTATTATTTTAAATTACTATAACTTAATACTAATTAATTAATTAAAATTACTTTTATTTTAATAAAATATATATACTACCCTATACTAAAAAAAAACTAATTAATATTTATACTATTAGTATAAGTACTAATTAGTCTTTATACTAATAGTATAAATACTAAGAGTAGAAATACTAATTAGTATAAAATACTAAATTTAAAGTTAACTAGTATACTAAGACTAATTAATCCTTAGTATTTATACTAATTAGTATGCTTACTAATTAGTATAAATACTCTAGTCCTCGCACTAATTAGTCCTTAGTTCACATCCCTGGAGATGGGACATGGTCGATACCTGTGGCTTAGTTGCTGTGCCTCTCGAGTGCTGCAATCGACATGTTGTGTTGTGGCGTCTCATGAAGGATACCCTCTGTTTGGCGGAATGCAATTCCACCAGTCGCGTCATGTTCCCCGCGGCTGATGCAACCGAGAATGAGGGTATCGAGATGATATCATGCTTTCTGCACTCATTTCCCCTCCAACAGTGATTTTTCATCTTGCTCTATGCCTCTTTCTACAATCGCCAATTGACTTCCATCCGCAAAATGTCCTCCCAGAACCTTCCGCCCCGACTCAAGGAGTCTCTTGAGGCGTCCAAGTGCGAGTACCGCCAGCTTGGTAAATCCGGACTCCGAATCTCGGTCCCCATCTTTGGATGCATGAGTTTTGGCGATAAGAGAACCCTTCCTTGGGTTATTGGAGAGGATGAGGTGCGCTGTTAAATATCTCCCGTCACTCACTCTAACTGACCATACCTACTCCATCGCAGGCGTTGGCTCTTCTCAAGGCTGCGTATGATCGTGGACTCAACACGTGGGACACTGCCAATGTCTACAGTAACGGTGCATCGGAGGAAATTGTCGGAAAGGCTTTGAAGAAGTTCCAGATACCACGATCCAAGGTCATCATCCTGACCAAATGTCGTTGGGCCGTCGGAGAAGAGCCAGGTACTATTTCTGACCAGCAACCTTCATCTTCAGTGCTTGATACTGATATCATGACAGAGGCGCGCAACTTTGTGTACAGATCCGAGTTCGACGCTTCCAAAGACTACCAAAACCAGTTTGGCTTGTCCAGGGCTGCCATCTTCAACCAGGTCGAAGCCTCGTTGAAACGCCTCGACACTGAATACATCGACCTTCTTCAGATCCACCGTTTCGACGAGAGGACCCCAATTGAGGAGACGATGAAAGCCCTGCATGATCTCGTCCAGTCCGGGAAAGTGCGTTATATCGGAGCGAGCAGCATGTGGGCCACCCAATTTGCGAGGATGCAGTTCGTGGCCGAGAAGAACGGCTGGACCCAGTTCGTTAGCATGCAAAACCATTACAACCTGCTCTATCGTGAGGAAGAGCGTGAGATGAACCGTTACTGCAACGACACTGGCGTGGGCATTATTCCATGGGCACCGCTCTGCAGAGGTCATCTCGCCCGACCACCCGCACAATTTGGCACCACCGAGAGAAGCAAGGGGGAGAAGAAAAGCTCAGGCGAGCTCTCCGAAGTAGACAAAAAGATTGTTGGACGCGTCGTCGAGTTGGCCGAGAAGCATGATTGGGCAATGGCTCATGTGGCTCTCGCTTGGATCGGCAAGCGGGTGACTAGCCCCATCATTGGTTTCAGCAGCGTTGAGAGGATTGAGCAGGCCATTGGTGCAAGAGGAAAGGAGTTGAGTCCTGAAGAAGTTACTTATCTTGAGGAGCTGTATCAGCCCAAACAAGTCAGCGGTCATGCCTAGACTCTGGAGGGACATCAAGAGTAGAAATGGAGACGAAGAATAGTCATGACCCCAGCTTGCAACGTGAAGAACTGTACGGTATGACCTGAAGTGAGGGTTCGAGCTTATGAAGACAAGACACAAGCAAAAGCATTCCCTTTTATCTGTCTGCGCAACAGTCACTGTTATCCCGAAAGCGGCAAGACTTTCGTGTCAAGGAATCATGATGTGCATCCATAACTTGGCAAGATGGTCTTCCAGAGCTCACTCGTATCTAAATGATAATACTTGACTTTGGAAAGGGGGTTATAGACACTTTAAATATCTTCATCTTTGACACTCAGCAGCGTCTAACCTAGAGGGGTACATTAGTCTATTATTTCGGTACGTGCGCCGCATCTCGGCCGGTAGATGACTCGGCAAGTTGATCGGCACAGCCCTCGGAACTTAAGCCTATTCGAGAGGGTAACACCCAACAGCCGTCAGCAGCCTCCAAAGCCTCCAAACTGCGAGTGAACCCTCTTGAAGCTTTCCTCAAACCCATCTCAACCTTATTGACATTCTCTGTACAGTAATCCATCAACATGGATTTGCCCATTCCCCAAGTTCAAAAGGCGGCGTTGATCGAGAACCCTGGCGAGAGTGCGCAAATTCGCATCCAATCGGATGTACCCGTCGGAGTTCCTGGTCGTCATGAGATTCTTGTCAAACTCTCTTTTACTGGTGTCTGGTAATAATGACTGGCCCATACAACTTTCAGCTGGAAATGGTGGTTAACAGATATGACAGTGGATCCGAAATTCGAGCCTTGTCTGGGTGGGGATCTTACAACCCCATCGTAGGACATGAAGGAGTGGGAACCGTCGTCAAGGTCGGCGACCAAGTCGATGCAGCAATGTTGAATAAAAGAGTGGGAGTAAAATGGCTCTACAACGCCTGCGGGCTATGTAACGCCTGCAAAAGAGGCTTCCCAAACAACTGCCCGGAGCAAGTCAACACGGGTCGTCATGTCTCGGGAACATTGCAGCAATACATGATAGCTGATGCCAGGTATGTTACGGAAATTCCCGACGACGTGCCTGGAGAAGTGGCAGCGCCGCTTCTCTGTGCAGGCCTCACAATGGCTGGGGCTGTATCAAAGCTTGATGCAAGTCTGGCCGAGAACGATTGGGTCGTCATATCTGGCTCGGGAGGTGGACTTGGTCATCTAGGTGTTCAGATCACGAGCAGATTGAGGAGTTACCGGGTCATCGCAGTTGATTCCGGCAAGGCGAAGCGAGAGTTGAGTCTCGAGAGCGGTGCTCATGAGTTTATTGACTTTGTCGAAGAGAATGTCGAGGAGAGAGTCAAGGAACTTACTGGAGAGGGAGCAGCAGCTGTCGTGGTGGTCTCGGGTTCTGAACAGGCCTTTACCATGGCTCCCAATTTGGTGCGAAATATGGGACTCATCGTTACTGTTGGCCTCCCACGGAACGACTTTCACATTCCCATCGGTGCTTCTCTACTATCGGCTCGTGGTATGTTGACTCAATTCTTGACCGTAAAGTCTAAAACCACGCTTGCTAATAATGCTTCAAGGACTCACTGTCACCGGAGTGGCGGTAGGGACGGAGGATCAAATGGTGGAGCTTCTTCAACAAGCTTCTGACAAGAAGATCTTGCCAATGGTTACCGTGGTTGATTTTGATCAGGTGGGGACGGTTTTGGAGGGCCTCAAGCGGCAGGATATAACTGGAAGAGTGGTGGTGAAAATATCCTAAAATCTTGCCCTCGCGAAGCCGAAGACCTAGGACTATTTGAGCATTTTTGGCAACCGCTGTTATTAAACAGAAGAAATGCACTTAAGTACGCCCGTGAATGATATCTCGAATCCGTGTGTTGATGTATTTTCCACGAATTCGCTAGAATTCGAAGCACATGACATTTCGTCCCTTTTCAATAGTCTCATCTTATCTAGCACTCATCATTACTCAACCACATCTCATGGTGCGTATCTGTAATCTCCGGGGCCGTTGAACTCGCTATTCAGTTCACTTGCCCAACTTATTTGAGGTCAGAGTATTCTCCGCAACGCGGCCATGAGACGAGCTTCAAATCTTTCTCAAATCTTCCATAAAATCTTAAACTAGTTAGATACATTCTTGCATGGCCGCTTATGACCCGCCTCTGCGATGCCATCTTATGCAAGATCCACACCCACCCATGATTGAGCATTTTCCATTCTCAATCAATGCACCAATGCGCCATTTCCCTCACGATGAAATAGGCATTCTCATAAACGCTTTGAGACCTCAGAAGATGCTCTATCGTCGAGACACTCCGATCTCAACTCCCAGAGGCTTCCGCAAGAAACCCTCTCGTGTCTCCATCTTTTCTTGTCGCAGGAAGATGTTGTATCTCTTGATCCACGTGGCAGCAATCAACCTCATCTGCATCTCAGCCAAGTTCCTTCCCACGCAAGAACGGGGACCATGGCTGAAGGGGATAAAGGCAATCTTCTGCTTATCGGTGATGTTCTCCCATCTCTCAGGCTTGAACTCCTCTGCGTCGGGCCCCCAGATTTCTGTTGAGTGGTGAACAGTGTAGGTAGGGACACTGAGAACTGTTCCTGGGCCAAAGTAGCGACCGTGGAGGGTAACACCCTTAGACTTGGCGGGAATCTCTCGAGGCAGACCAATTCCAGATGGTGAGTGATGTCGCAGCGTCTCGTTGATACACATGCCGAGATAAGGCAGGTGCTTGACAGACTCGTAGCTCGGGATAACTCCTTCATCAGCGGTGGCCTCGTCGATCTCCTGTTGCAGCTTCTGCAGGACTCCAGGTGTCTTTACAACATGATAGAGCAGGGCGCAAGAAGAGTTAGACGTGGTATCGCTTCCGGCAATAAGTTGAGTCAGTGCTTCGGCCGTGAGTTCGTCGCGTCCAAGGGGCTCTCCCTTCTCATCTCGGCCTTGCATCAGTCGTGCCAGCAGGTCCTTTCGGGTCGTGTCCGCTCCTCGCTCGAGTCTCTCGCTAACACGGGCAATCGCGATACCAGCAAGATTCTCGACGGCCTGGAGTCCCTGGCTGAAGAATGGATCGGGGAGCCATTTGGCGTACGGCTTGAGCCAGGGCATGCAACCTAGGGTGGCAGAGACTTCTCCTCGGCGGTTCATGATTTCCACAGCGGGAGCGTAGATTGCAGGGCTTGTTGGGCTTGCCTTGACTTCAGCAATATCGGCTCCAGTGGCGAGCATGCCTAAAATGTATTAGCTGAGCACTTGAGACGCCGATCGTGGTAGACTTACCGAACGGCTTGCCAAAGGCGAGATCAGCAATGACATCGAAAGCGAGATAGTTGACTGAAATATGTCAGTAAAGAGAAAATACAGTATTCTTGCGGATTATTTGACTCACACCAGGAGAGACAATCCAGTCGTCCAGCGCCATCAGCTTCGGGGTTGCTGGAGGCACGGTCCCACTGCTTGACAAAGAGGTCGAGGTTCTGGTGGATGTAGGGCTCAAACTCCAGGACAGACTTTGGGGCAAAGGTGTGAGACACAATCTTTCTCTTTCGAGAGTGCTCGGCCCTGCTTCGTGTGTTGAAAAGGCCACGACGGATGGAGACGAATGGGTCATAAAAGTCCCTGAAAGGTCAGTGCATGGACCAGGGGAAAATCCATGTTGGGGTACTCACGACTTGAGGAAACCATTTCCGTGACCATAGATGACATTGATAGCATCCGCATCCGCAATGCTGACATGGTTGGGGGCAATGCGAACGACAGTGCCCAGTCGCTTGTGAACCTGATCGACGACCTCGAATCTTTTACCACGTCGGCATGTTGACATTAACCAGAGGTTGCTGAACTGTGCGGGGAACGGAGCAGGAATTCCTCGAAGGCCTCGATTCGCCCCAAAGTAGGGAACAAGATACCAACCAACGAATAAGACTACGAGGGCGACAGGCGCCCAAGGCGAAATAAGGAGGTTGATCAAAGCCATTGTCCCGTTTTTTCGTGACTCTGGATCTGTTCGGAACTGGGATAGAGAAGTTGAAAGATTGAACGTCCTAGATCGTATATATATGCCCGCATCTTGTGAGCAAGTACCCCAGATTTACCTGCATCCACGGAGCAGCGGACATGGGGACCCCGAGCGCCACCTCCGAGGAACCCCACACTAACGGAACGGAAGCGGCTCCAGCCATCGGCATTTGAGAATGTCAAAATAAGGAGGCCATGATTGGCTGGTCAACATCGGCGTTGACAATGAGCTGCTCCGTGGTTTCGCTTTTCGGAAGAGACGTAAAGAGAGTTAACGGTCGTTAGAGCGATTGCCAATTCGCCGCTTCTGACTTGCAGTTGCACAAAGTCATGTTTCAACTTGTCCAAAGCCATCATGACTCTTCCACGCTCTGTCTCTCCCAACTCGGCTCTGCTTTGAAGATCCACTTCATGACGTCATCTTAGTTCCGATTGGCTGGAACTGGTTCGGCACTGGAAGCGGAATGCTGTAGGTTAGGGCATTCTTCGTTGACGGTCATGGCACTTTTCTCCTCATTGTTGAGATACAAATCGCTTGCTATCTATTTTTCTGCCTCAATCTCTCGGTCTTCCTCAGTCAAGATCAGATGTGTCCCTAAGATCTCGATCATGAACCTTTCCCTAGTCTGAAAATGTCTGGCGCCCTCATCTTTAAGAAACTCTTCCGCAAGTCCCACCAACTGAGGATGGTGGATGTCCGGTATTTCCAAAATGTGAGATAGGCCGAGCTCTACCCGGTTAGATTTTTGAAGGCCTAGCACATGTGCCACATGCATATTGTTGATGAGATAAAGACAGAACTTCTCAAAAAGATCGTGCTTGACCATGAACTCCACGACTTCGGGGAAAGCAGGACTAGGCAGCCCGCCAACGATGCGAGGGAGAATCGTGCCAGGGCCATTCTGGAAAGCTCGTCGAATTTGTGCCGTGGATTCCAGTGCGTGAACGAGGCCGTTGGTGTTCATGGGCGCAGGGTCGGCAATCCAGGGGCGATCATAACCAACTCTCTTGCGCCACCAGAAGTTGCAGAAAAGCGAAGACATGATGACGGGGATGAGAATCACATAACCCCACCATCGCTCCGCAGTCAACATGGATCCAACTCCTCCGAGGATAGTAGCAATGCCGTTGATAACATAGAATAGTTGGAGGTTGAAACAACGTCGCTTGATGAGAGGCAACGCGGCCGCGCCTTTCAATGCTTTCTCGGCTGCCAGACGATGATGCCTCATCTTTTTCCATACGATGACGGCCCATGTTGCACTGATCAAACCGAAGGCAGCGATGGGCGCGTTTCCGAGATATCCGGAGAGGATATTGCTGGCTAGCCATACGCGACGATTAGCACCGCCGATGGCCATGAACGTGCCCGTGCCTATGAGAACTGCACCTCCACCCAACATGACGTCCATTGCCCATCGGTTGATGATTTCGATTCGAAGCTCACGGATGGTGATTTCGAGAAGTACGTCAATCTCTTGGGTGGGTCGCGAATCCGTAGTTCGACGAGCTTTTTCATCTTCGAGCAACTTTCGCTGGCTGCGAAGAAACGAGATGTTGGCCCAGGCTCGCCTCGAGTCTATGAATGCAAAGACTGAAAACACAAGGGCCGTGAATCCTCCTATCGCCATGAGTACCACCGCGTAGACGGGCACCGGGGTATCGTTCCAAACGTTGGCAGCAAAGTCGCCAGCGTTGGCAAGCTCGAGGAATCCCACAGCCCCAAGCAAGTTGTTCCTGAGTCGAGGGCTGTCGCATTGTGTCCAGCGCATCCCTTTCTTGACAGCGATGAGGCTTTTGGGTCCAGCAAGACTGAACTCAGGATCCGATTCATCTTGTGGTTGCGCGTTGCTTGGATCGACTGCGTCAATGGATTCTTTCGATGGTGATGACGATGATTTATCAACGTCCTGAGGCAAAGCCACAAAATCAGTGGATTCTTTCATCATTTCCATGATGGCCCTGCAAGGTAAACGGCCTGAGTTCCAGTGTTAGCATGTATCTCTTGGCAAACAAAGTGAGAGTGAGCTTGCCTGGCACCTCTTTCGTCACCTGGACTGGGGCATGTGTTCTAGCGAGCGTGGAGACACGCGTCGAAAGGCTTCACCAGCGGAAAGAGAGTGACAAGATTGCAAAAGCAGAGACGAAAAGGAGAAGACGAATGCAAGAAATTTGTTTGCATATGAATGTCTGCTGATCGCCTCGCGCTGACTGGGAGACAGCGTCGTGTACCAACCCCACCCCTGGTGAGCCGTCACAACCGAGCCAGACGAGTAGACGAGCCAACCATACAGAGACAGCCTCAACTCAGGTTGATGCTTTAATTAGATCGAGGTTTGAGCTAGGTGTCACTCTCGGCTTTCCATGTTCTTTCAACGTTTTAAATCCGCCGTTGAACCTGTTTTTGACTCAGTGACATACCAAGCCAGGGGCAACCGCCAAGCTGACAGGCTTACGCAAAGTGGATCATCACGGCAACTTTCAGCCGATGGCGGTATTGGCATTTCCTTGTTGAGGTTTATACATGGTAATTGTCACCGGTGATCCCGATTGGTCTGGCTTTTGAGTTTACATGATTCAATATTGGCCGAGCTCTTCTTTGGGTATGGCAGACGGGACTGACAAACAGAAACTCTTCATTCGCCGGAGCGTAAAGATGGCCACTAGCCATTATCCATGATACAAGATCAGTATGCCTTAGACCATTGACTATACTTTAGCCCTTGAAATATCTTGATAGGCTGTAGACCAGTCTTGGAACAGTCTCTAAGGAGAGCATAGAAAGTGGCTGCTTTACGCGCCCATGGTTCACAAGTTCTGCGCCAGGGTGTCTAAATGCCTTCGCCAAACATAATACCGGTTTGTGGTTTAATGTTAATGAAGCTAATATTGTTCAGCGTTGGCATACATAAGTAAAGGAAAAAACTACTTTTGTTTCATTACTCTAAAGCAATCGTTTTGAACTCACGCTGTGCTTTGCACCAATCTGCAAGGTAGACCCAACCAACACTAATTCGGTGTGCAAGCCATGGCTGCTCCGTGCGACCGATCAGCAGGGCATTCACCACCGGCTGTCCATACCCGTCCTTGACCCTGCTATAGCCATGGAACAGCCGATTATGCATAGAACATAACTTGCTTTCCTCATCAAGACGCCCAGGAAACATCCAGCCGCCGCCAGGCTTGTCGCGGTTCTGTGACAAAGAGATGGCCATAAACTCACATAGTTCCTGTGATTCTTTTGACTCGGTGAGCGTGAGACCAGTCACGCTCCCATCCTGGCCCTCAATCTTTCCTATACGCTTGCCATCTGCATCCACAATGGATAGATCGCGAGAAGAACGGTCATCCTGTTTTCTTGAAACCGTGAATCGAGCCGTTTGTGTGCGAGTCAACAGGGCACGGCTAGGTAGCTGATCAATCAGTGGTTGGTCTTCTTTTCTGAGGCCAATGCTGAAATCTATGAACTCTTCTGGCCCGGCGTTTCGGGCACTTCTGATATCGTCCCAGACTTTCTCAAGACTTGGCCACCGGTCTGCAATGCCTGAATATGACTCTTCGGAGTAATTCTCAAGCTGCTGATCCAGATCGTCCGGAACAGGGGCCTCAATGCAACCTTTCCACCATGCAAGAAGGAGGTGAATTTGTGGACTATAGTCCGGCGTCTGCACCGTCTGCTGTTGCCCGGAACGCGCACTCCGTGAAGGAATCGACCTATTTATTGGTTCTGGTCTTGGCTGAAGGCTGTTGCATGCTTTGATAGCCCTGAGGCCTGTCTCCGGATCCCGATAAGCCCACCAAACGAGTGTTCCTACGAATCCGGCGAAGGAATTGATCACTGGACCAGTGACTTCCTCACTAACTGAGGTCCATGACCAGGAGGGGCAATCTTCGCCGGATCGCGTCGGTCTGTCGTTATCCTTACAGTACCAAAGCAGGGCTTGGTCAAAATCAGCCTCGGGCAGTCCATGAAAGCACCTTTCGCCTTGATAGACAGACGCCAGGACACCCGTGAAGGCGTTCAATATATCAGCTTGGTTTGTGAGAGATCGTGCTGTGTATGACTCCAGGTGGCGGACAAAGTTCGTGAAAGCAAATTTATCCCAGCGAGAGAAGAGGTTTATACGGAATTGTGCGATTCTTTCTTTATATCCGCCATTCTCGCTCTCCACCCAAGCTGAGAACTGGTCCTCTCGTCGACATGGATCGTCTGGGTCATTGCATTCGAACCAAACTTCGAAAGACGTGAAGACTAGTTTCCTTGTAGAGAGAATAGCTTCCTAGTATGTCCAGCCCCTTGCATTCCATTTGCAGTTTTCCAAGAGAACTCCGAGGCGAGGATAAGGGATCGTAAACTCCAGGCCTGCAATTACTGACTTGGATTGGAGGACCTTGCGTTCCTTAGAAACGCCTAGGATCGGGCAATGTATACTCTCCCCGCTTGCATGAATAATGGTAAATTCGGCTGAAGAATAGATTTCGCCCATTGCGTTGATTTGCCGCTGTTTCTCTCCTCCATCTTCGTTGTTCTGGATGATGCAGAATCGGTCTACCCAGAGGTAGCGCTGCTTCAGCCGCTTGCATATCGTGATGGCGTCCTCAATAGCTTGCGGCACCTTACCTTTCTTCAGGCCACCAGCTGCTTCGAACTCGGACTTGTTGGACTTCAATAGTGCATTATCTCGAGAGACATTGCTTCCCCCCCAAACGTAACTGAGGGCAACAAAATTGATGTCGACTCCGAGTTTCACCTGTTGTCCAAACTCAGATGTAACGCATCGATTATCCACATCAATAAGTCGGAATCCTTCCGGCACAGCTGAGTGCTCAGATCTTTTGCAGCGGTGTTCCTGGATGCAGTGGTTGAGCCATCCTTGTGTTCGGTCCCAGTTGACTAAATTTTGAATGATGCATTCTGAGGGAGTCGATCTTCGAGTATTGGCCAGTCCGATATGGACAAATCTTCGACCAGCGGGTTTGAAACCCAATACAACCATGCGATGGCCGTGTTTCTGATGTAATTGTATGTATGCCGAAGTCTGAGCCCGTCTGACCTCGTCACTCTTGCCAGAAATTTCAAGGTATGACTGTATAGCCTTGGCAATTAACTCGCAAAGTGCACAGCCTCTGGTTGTCATGACGCCCGAGACCCCACTGTCTCTGTGTTTGTAATAATCGCCCAGTAAAAGCCTGACGTGTCGAAGCTGGTCGCCGAGGCACGTCGTCAGATGGCGAAGTCGGAGGTGGCTGCAGAAGTTGCAGAGGGGTTCTGGGTCACTAAAAGAAGAACAAGAATCGCAAGGTTGATGGAATATAAAGTTCGCCTCGAGTCTCCTTCCACTTCCAGGATTTGCGAAACGAACGTAAGAACAGAGGCCAGCCGGACAATTTTGGTCACGAGAGGAGTCCCTAGGCGAGCTCTGCGAAGCACCTGCCTCGTGTGAGCTTTCGTTCTCCATGGCCCAATGAAGCTTTGGGAGTGAGCGGGGTAGTTATGAGCTGGAACTGTAACAATGGGTCGGTAGCTGGCCTTGAGGTTTCGTGTAGAGCTAGGGATGTGTTGTGTTGGAAAGTGTGTTAGGAAGCGACAAGAAGTGTTCTGTCACCGGGGATACATAAATTCAACGATACTCAGAGTGAAACCAGAGCATAGTGACGTTAATCATGCTACTCTCAGCTGAGATGTGCGCATGTCGATTCACCCAATCCCTATGATCCACGATAGCATAGAGTGGATCAGTTGGTAGTCTACCGCGTGCGGCAAGCACACTACCCGACAAGTAAGAATATGGTGTGCGGGTTTGACTGGTCTGTGTTGACGGGCTCGGACGGTTGCCTAGACCAAGGGGGTTGTGTGGCTGGGTATGACCAGGATCACTGGCTTACGAGTGCAAGTTAGAATTGCGCGAGGCTTAGAAGGTTGCATGAAGTGATTGGCCACCGGCAATAACAAGGTGGGGGGCGAGAAGTGCCGGTTTGCTCCCTTTGCACGAGGTGCGTTCATCAGATTACTTAGGTAGGCATAAGGGATTTGGCCGGTAGTGATAGAAATAGGTAGGCAAGGGAACAAGGCGAATTCAGGCAGGCGAGCAAACGCACATGTAGTGGAACGTGGATTCATGTTTGTAACAGTAGAATATATCCCTACTTAAACTTAAGTATGCGTGGTTTAGCTAGGGGGTCTGCTCGCCTCCTGTCTATTGAACTATGGTAGGCAGGCAGGCAGAACTAGCAGATATAACCTCCTTGCGTGCAGGGGCGAAAACAAGAAAAGTATGCTTGCTCCACCATATATAAGATCAGTATGCCCCAGATCGTTGACTATACTTGGGCCCTTGAACTACCTTGACAGGCTGTCGACCACTCTGCACGGGAGCACCAGTAGTGAGCCGCAGCTCTGGCAACTTGGCACCCTTGTCCTCGAGCGCCCAAATAGATACTCCAATCCAGTTGTCCCCGCGATAGTTGAGAACTCCTTCTGGGACAGGGAAAACCGTCTGCGGACCAATGCTGCTCACATAGCGTCCAAACTGGAAGCCGTTGACAAAGAGGAGAGCACGGTACGCGCCCATATCAGTTGTGTTCTTGAACGTGAATGATAGTGGAATGTCGAATTGACTGGAGGGGTAGTTCAGGCCAAGCTTTGCTGTGTAAAAGGCCACTCCGGCTTTGTCGATGCCCTTGAATGGTGAACCTTTCTTGAAGCGCTTAAGCGGTGGTGATGGGAGGTGATAGCCTTGGCGCTCAAAGTAGAAACCTCCTTCATTGAGAGGCCCTCGGAATTTGTCCACGTAGTCTTCACCTCCCAAGTTGCCTGTAAGCTTCCACTTGGCGATTGGAGTTTCACGACCACTCTTGGTCACGAGAACCCAGTCCAGAATACCGCGTGGACTCTTTTGCTCATCATAGCCGGGCGTCCAGTTTCCGTTGAGCCCAGTGTTGTCAACGACTACCGTCACAACATAGCGCTTTCCCTTTTGAAGTTTCGGTAGCTCATAAGTAGAGTTGAAGTTTCCGGTAGCGCCATTGCCAGTGAAAGAGCCGAGGAACTTGTCATCGAGCCACACTGCAGTGGCAAAAGCGCGTCCGCCTTGCGTCCATAGCTTGAGTTGTGTTTCGGAACCGTCAGCGGTGAAGTGGCCTCTGTAGATCAGAGCACCGGCGTGGAATCCGTAGTCGGAGCCATACAGAGATACCGAGTTCTGGAGGGGAACCCGTGTGTTGTTGGTGGTGGTCTTATCGGCCACAGGCCATTTTCCATCGTTGTAGTCTTTCTTGATCTCGGGAAGAGAATCGACATAGCTCCAATCCAGCGACGATAGATCCAGTGCCTTGATGGTGGGGAGTTCGACATCACGTTGGGCGATCCAGTTACCTAGCTTCGACTTTTGATATCGTATCTCTTTTCCGTTCAAGACCAACTTGGAAACACCCTTTGGAACACCGATAATCTCTAGCGGTGTGGAAGAGACATTAAAATCTGCCTGGACGGACAGTTTGGAGCCCTGAACCGAGATTGATCGAACCAGCTGTGGTCCGTTGATGATGACCGAGTCTGGGTTCATAACTGAGGTTCCGAACGCAGCCCGGTCGCCTTTACCAGGCAAGTCCGGCACCCAATACTTGTATGCCGAGTTTCGGTCTATTGAGAGTTAGCTTTTAGTCAATTGCGTCAGCAAAGTTGACATACCGAGCAGGTAGATGAAGAGTGAATCCCGCTGGACCACACGTCGAGATGAGGATGTCTTCCATTGAAGGACACCGGCATTCTTTTTGGTATCAGACTTGACACCACTGCCCTCGACGACCTTGAAGACGGACTTTCCCTTGATAGCAACCTCATGAAGCTCATCAGGGCCACCGTAGAGTACGAGGACCGTCTTGTCGCCAAACTTCTTCCAAGTCAAGACCTCTGCCGTCGAATAGAGTAGTGTGTGATCTCCAAATTTATAGTCAGCAACATGAATCTTGGAGTCTCTACCGTTCAGTGACAGTGAGCCGCCCAACTGGGGAACCGTGAGGGCTCCAGCCGAAGTCGGCAGCTTGAGCTTGTAGGATGATGACTCGGTGCTCGTAAAGTCCGCGTGCCTCACGACAAAGAAAGACCCTTCCTTTTCTGTAGTCAGTGGAGTAACGGCAATGTCTTCATTATCAGTGTACCGAGACGTGGAGAGGTTGCCTGGCGTTGCGGTTGCGTAGCTCGGGGAGACTCGTAAGAACTGGCCCTGGAGCTTGATCTCGGAGTACTTTTCGCGGTCGATAGATCGATCCTCCTTGATTGCCTTGAAGAAGTTAGAAACTCCCTTTCCCAGTTTGGTGCTTGTGCACTTACCGCGCCGTAGTCGTAGGATGTGTAGCCGTCACAATGTCCAAGGTTTCCCCAGTTGGTACCACCAAATGTCTGGAATGTTAGCTATCATTTCCAAATATGGAGAGAAGACTTACCATATAGATGTTGAAGATTGTAACACCAGCTGCAAGGTTGTTCTTGTAGAATACGCGAGCAAATTCGTGATTGGTGAGGACGTAGCAGTTTTCGAAACCTCCACCTCCGGGGGGGTCGAACGCGCCTCCTTGAAACTATTCACAGTGAGAAATGTCCATATGGAGGCTTGTTAAACATACCTCGATGATAGAGTATGGGGTATTGGGGCTCTTTTGCATATGCTCTGCGTGCCATGTTGTTGGGAGGCCGTCTTTAGGCCAGGTGTGAGGGTTAGCCTAGCTGGTTAGCAACATGCAGAAATTCATGTCCTCAATGACTTACACAGTCAAACCCAGCGGGATAGCCATCGTGCCCCTATGGCGGTCAGTAATTAGAATACAGCAGCCAGCCTCTAAACTCACATAGATGTCGACTGCTCCGATTCCTGATCCAGGTGCGCCAGTGCCACCTTGCCATGCGTCGTTGTTGATGAGAGGCACCACAATTCCAGCATTCCTAGCTTGATCGTTGACGTACTTGAGATACTCTTGGCTGGGAAAAGGGACTCCATCGCCGGCACTGTACTCGTTCTCGGGCTGGAACAGGATGACTGGTCCACCGTTGGTGATTTGGGCCTTGGCAATAATGGAGCAAATATGTTCCATGTAGCTAAGCAGCGTTAGCCAGAAGCTTTTCGGTTGAGTGTCTCCCTTACTTGTCAGTAGCACTCAGATAATCCGAAGCATTCGTTCTGAGCGTTCCCTTGACCCTCTGCAGCCAGCCCGGGAAACCGCCACCAGATGCTTCAGCATTGATGTATGGCCCAGGCCGAGCCAAGAGGAAGATACCCGCCTCCTTTGCAGCATCGATGAATGGCTCAATGGCCAAAACGCCCTCAGACCGAAACTCACCTGGCTTCCCCTCAAGCAAGGCCCAGTCAACATAAAACGAAACCATGTTGAATCCCGCCGCCTTGACCTTCTGGAATAGATCCAGGTACAAGCTTGGCACGGGGAGTCGGAACGGGTGGATTTCCGCAGAGAATATCGTGACCCGTTCTCCATTGATGAACAGCGAGTGCTCATCCCACGTCACGATGTCTTGGAGTACATCTCTCTCATGGGGACTCTGAATGACGTCAAATGGTCGTCCACCACGAACATTCAGGGTGCGAGCGCAGCATAGGCTCGCGCCCAACGCTGTAAGAAGTGTATTGAGGAGCTTCATTGTGGCCACATAGCCGCAAGGGTGATAGTATAAGTCAGACCTTGAAGTTGAAGCTCATGAAAGAGCCGGTTATATAGTAACAAAACGCAGAACCAGAAGCAAAACTTAGTATCAAACTATTTCGGAAAGGTACCCGAATGCGCCGACGGAGTTCAACACGATGCAACCGGTATTGGTGGATAGAATAAAATTCCGCATATGCCGATCATGCCATAGAGTATAGCCGCAAAGCTTCATTTAGCCAGTCCCGGGGTAAGTCGAATTCATGAGGGATATGCGGGGTTGGTAACATCGTGACACTGCGACTGGGGCTGCTATGACGGGATCGGCCACATTGAGGTTTTAAGCCCGTTGATCCTAGTCAATTGGCCTCTTTAATAGCCTGTCTGGCGGCAATGAGTGATCACATGCGTCATAAGCTCCAAAAGTCAACAGGCAATGCAAAGATTGCATCCGTACAATCCGACCATACTTTCCATGGGCTGTTTTGTTTTCTAGCGCCGGGGCCTACGCGAACTGCATCATATCATCCTACTCACTCTGCTTGAACTTTACATATACTGCCCCTAATCGGCATTGACGATGCTTAAGAAACGAAAAGAGTGGTATTAGGACTTGGAACGAAAAGTGTCTTATGGGATATATTCCAACAACGTAATGTACCAGACTATTCTAGTTCTCTAGCCTATTCATCGTAATCTTCATGCCACGTTTCTAGCATGGGCATCATGTCAAAGTTGAAGCCCACTACAAGTCAACGCTACTAACAATCCAACTATGTGCCCAAGGCACTAACTATGCGCCCAAGGCACTTTCGAGTGCTTCGCGCTCCTTCGCGGTGATGGGAATAACCGTGCCATGACGAGGGCTAGTAGGAAGCTTGTAGCTACTCGAAACCTTCCAGTTCGGATTGTCGATATCAGCAGTCTCAAGAGGGATGTAACCACGGCCACCGTACTCGTCAACGAACAGGTAGAACTTTTCCCCGTTGGCATCGCCTGGGTTTGATTTGAATGCAGTGGGGCCCTCGATGGCTTTGGTTCCAGCCTTGGCTCCAATGCAACTGGCCAGGGTCGTCCATTCATCATCAGGTGCGAGAAGTGAGGTGGACTTTTCTTGAATGATATCCGTGCATCCAGTGACAGCTCCTTCGTCCTTAGTGAAGCGGTAGAGGGTATCTCCGGACTTGATGACGGTTGTATCAATCCGAGAATCGCCAGTATCCTGCCAGATCTCTGCCTTCGAAAAGGTAACGAAGTCGCGAGTGAGAGAGTACAGCATGCGGTGATAGGAGCTTCCCTCATGCTTGGGATCATCATCAGCGTACAGTGACGATGCCCAGAAAACGACAAAGGCTTGTTGCTCAGAATCCCAAAATGCCTCAGGTGCCCAGGTGTTGCCAGCATTATCAGGTGAGACCTTGACATGGCGTTGTTCGGACCAGTTAACCAAGTCATGAGACTCCCATACTTCGAGGTAGAGACTACCTTGTCGGACTGCTGCTCCCCAGGAGGTGCCACTGCCAATAGAGAGGTCGGTGGCGATCAGGTAAAAGGTATCTCCCTCGGGAGAGCGAATGATGAAAGGATCCCGTAGACCTTTAGTGCCGAGCGTGGACTTGAGGACTGGTTGGCCGCCATTAAGTTCCTTCCAGTCGAGGGCATTGTTCCCGTTGCTTGAAGCGAAGAAGATATTCTCGCCTGAGAGAGAATTTCCCGTAAAGTATGAAAAGGCGTAAGCCTCCAAAGGTCCAAGGCTAGTCTTCTGTCGAACAGATGCCTTGAACTCTCGCTCAAGGACTTCGTCACCAGACTCAATTGTCGCAGTAAGAGTCACTGAAGTATCGCTTCCTTGACGGCTGACCACGCCGTCATTGCTGATGACTGCTGTGTTGCTGCTGTTCCATGTGACAGCTAGGCCATCCGAATCTGCTGGGAGGTGTATATTTCCGCGGACATCTTCGATGTTGGTCACAGAAATAGCAGACAAGGCACTTTCAATTTGGGCTAGGCTGGCCTCGTCAGCCAAGACCGAACTGATGAATGCCAGTGGCAAAAGTTGAAGGAACTGCATGGCGGAGAGTATGTGCAGCAGTAGATGTCTCTTAGCCCAGGAATAAAGAAGTGAGTAGAGAAGGCACTGCCAGAAGAGACCCCTCGAGATCTATAGCGGCAGCGAGCGTAGCATTATATAAGAGTTTGACTATAGTAACTTCTTACCCCAGACTGTAACAAAAGGCGCCGTTGCATTAACACTGACCACTACTGCAACTATTACCACTATTAAGGTTACACCTTCCCGTCTGCGAAGCTTGGCATGGAAGCTATTCCAACATGCGCACCTCTAGTCTGGGGTTTCCTCCGAGGGTCGTACCGGATCGCCGCGAATGACGCTGTTCTGGGGTAGCAGCGCCGATCCCTGCCACCGACCTGCCCACTCATTGCCTTGATCACGCGATGGCAGGCCCCAGGAAATGCCTCCATGATCCGCAGTTTCTCTGATCGGCAATTGAATGCCATTGGTGCGCAAAATTGGGTTCGTATTGTTTGGGGCAGTAGAATATTGGGCAGAACTTAATGTTTAAGTCAGCCAATCTCTGTCAACCATTCGCGCCCGGACTCAAGGGGACAAGAAGCGCTCGAATGGTAGGTAGGAGAGCCGAGGCTATACAGTCTTCCACACGTGGCTAAATAACCCGAGCTGGGGAAGAACGCGTCATGCGGGGTTTTAAGCCATGTTGGCTATTGGGCGTTCATAAAGACCAACCGCAATACCTTATAAGGGTATCTAAGAAGCGGATAGAGTACTGTGGGCCAAAGTCACAATCCACAGGTCATTATCATTGGTCTTGACGTTCTTGGGAATACCCGTATTTTCATGAAACCAACTATGTACTGATATTGTAAAAACTATGTGCTGCTACATCTGAATATACTCGAGAATAACAAACCCCACCTAACAACCACCCCGTCGAGCCACAAGGTACCTCCAAAGACATGCTTACAGCTTCTGACCAGCAGTGCCAGGGATGGTGGAAGCAACCTTGGCGGAGCCGAGAGCGCTGACCTTGTAGGGCAGCGAAGCAGAGGTCAGGGTACCCTTGGGGGCAGAGTTGACAGAGCCGCCAAGGTTGACATCCTCAACAACAGCGTAGCCAGTCTCCTTGGAGTCAGCGAAGAAGATGGCGCGCTCGGCAGAGTTGGCAAAGGCGGAGCTCTGAACGAGGACCTGGGCGCCCATGCGGGTGTTGACACCGGAGAGGATGATGCCGTCCCAGTAGTTGTTGACAATGTGGACGGTGGCGAAGCGGATGAGGGGCTGACGGCTGTTGACGTTCTTCCAGTAGTTGTTGGCATAGGTGATGTGGAGCTTGCCCTTGTCCTGCGAGGCGTTGCTGTCGGAGTGGCCAATCAGAGAGCCCTTCCACTGTAGTTATCAAGGTCAGTATATAGTTCCTGGCTAATGCAAGTTGTTTGTTGACTTACGTGGTCGTGGAAGTAGGTGTTGGAGACAGTCACCCAGTCAGCACCGTGGGAGATGTCGAGAAGACCATCGAGGTCGTCCTTTCCGCCGCTGAGGTCACCAGAAAGATCGCAGTGGTCGACCCAGACGTTGGTAGACTCATCGATGCCAATAGCATCACCGTTGCTGGCATCAACCTGACCAATCTTCAGGTTGCGTAGGATGACGTTCTTCTGGCGACGGACGTAGATGCCGACACCGGTGAGGGCTGTTTAAAATTAGAAACCGCAAAATATGGAAGAACTCTTAGTGAACTTACAGCTTCCAGCAGCACCGATGATGGTCTTGTCAGACGTGGGGCGGACGCGGTCAGAGCCCGACAGCTTGCCAGAGACAACGATGGTGAGGGGACCATCACGCTTGGCAGCCTCAATAAGAGCGGCAACAGAGGTGACAGTGACGGTCTCACCGGCGGCACCACCAGTAGTGCCACCGTTCTGAGTGCAGTAACCAACGCTGCAGGCCTCCTTGGACTGGCGCTTGATCAGTTCATCACGCGACTCAATAGGAGAGGCGACGGCGACGGTCGCCAAAAGAGTAGCGAAAACAGAAGACAGCTTCATGGTGAGAGAGAAAGAGGGAACAAATGGGAAAGCTTGAGTGACAGATAGTTGGAGTAAGAAGATAAGGTTGAAAATAAGGGGTTGCCAAGTGTGGACCAGCCGGGGAAGGAAGAAATAAGCTTAATGTTGGTTACCGAAGTGAAGAAAACATTTCATCAAGAGGCGGACGGCCTCGACTCTTATAGACAACAGAACAAGCAGAGAATACAAATCCAGATGAATAATTAATCCATATTCGTGCCCACGGAGCCCGGAGCATTGCCTAGACCTGCCGCATCGGGGAACCTCTCTCACGTTTTTTTGACTTCTTCAAAGAAAGGGGGATGCTAAAGTTGCAAAGAGTGGTTCTTTCCATGAACGTGAAACAGAAACGATCAAGGGTCTGTGGATGTGACGTTTTGGGAGTTGGGAAGTGCCGTCATTGGTGGGTTTTGCACGTCACCCACTGAACGGTTGGTGGAAAATCTAGCGAGCGACCCAGCGGAAGCCGTGATAGATGGATTTAGGACCCGTCGGTTTCTCAGGTGCGACGGAGGAGCGATGATCTATATTACCGTGCTGCGGTAAAGGATCATGGTCCCCTTCGGAATTCAAGCGTACCGCTTTGGCCCGGCCAGGGGTCTGCCAGTGACATTCTTACGTACAATGGGCTACGCGATGGCGTAATTTACACTGAATACGACGATGTTATCTGATCCTAGGAGGGCCTTCTGTTGACACGAGGAATTAAGTTTTCCCTCGTACGAGTGTATATACTCCGGCCTTCCCGTCTCTTGGTCGTTTCAAGGGTCAGTAAAGGCGGCATATGGAAACTTGCTCACCAAGCATAGCCATGCTAGGTACACGGAGCTCGGTCACTTATCTAGGCCCGTTACTGACTTTAAATACGAGCCACTTCACTCTGTATGAGCTTTGCAAGATGATACGTAGGTTGAATTAAGCGTTGTATGTTCGACGGGGCGCATCAGCTATGGACGTTCCAATTTCAAGTGGTTCGCTTTCATTGTAGACACAGAAAGAGTGCTGGGCATATGAGTAAGCAACACGACATTGGTACAATAAACATGAATCTGCAAACCGCAACCAGCATCAGTCAGCTGTACAAGTGTTGCGTGGCATGCATTGGGATATTTAACCAAGATCCAGAGCCGGAAATTCTCAAGTCGTCAGGATGTATGAGAAGACGTGTTTTTGGCAAGATTCAAATCGATGCACTGTGTCCTTGTCTTTCCAGAACAGCAAGGACAAGTAAGCAAAGTTGCCGAGCTGGCCAAGTAGTGTACATGTCGAAGATACTTTCTCGCGATTGACGGTTTATCGCAAGTCTACTGGTAGTAGATGCTCCTAATGATTTCCCGTTCGGAAGCCAAGATGCCAAGATGTCAGCGAGAGGGTGATGGCAAAACCCCCATTTCTGAGCCTGAAAGTGGACGCGACTCAATTTTGACCTTTCCCCTTCGCTCGTCCGTTCTCCTGTTCCTCGATCGCATCTGTTGTAAAACTAGCTTTGAAAAACTTCCACACAAGCCACTCAAGCACGTTTGTATTATTCCTGATCCTTGTTTGCTCAATTTTGCAAGAACCCACTTGACTATAGGTTAAGTCTGACAATTCGGAAGAAGGGCTTGCATCTGTACCACATTTAGGGTTTTGACTATGATTGCCACCGCCAATAGCGGCTTCTTATTTGCTACCTTAATTAAGCTCTGGTAACGGCAACACTATGCATAGTTCGTTAGTTGGAGATCTCCCTGCTGGCGTGCCGGGACCCGAGCCACAGGGGTAGCAATGCTGGAGATGCCGGAACTCGCAAGTAAAGAGAACTCGGAATAAAGTACGCATTTTGAAGTACTGGTATAATTTCTCTTAGTTAAGTTAATTTCTATGTACTTGTCTTTTACCCTTTCCGGTCACTTTGCTGGCTCAGAGTTCCCTGGTAAAGATGGAGCCATTAAGCATGCGGCTAGGCACAAGAGACTACCACACGAATTCAACACAGCCCTGAATCAGATGCGATGCCAAACCACCAGTCATGAAAATCATCGTCATTGTCATCACCACCTTTAGGTGATCAAGAGCTTCATGTTTTTTCTGCAACAAAGCAGCAACGGTTACTGGGTGGAAATAATGTCCCAGATGTTCCACGAATGGGAGAGCTCCTACGTTCTGCACCCCGAAACCCCTGTCGCTCACTGCAGTCCAATTAGTCTCAGGCTACCGGAGGCCGAGTTCAGGATTGGAAACAACAGAGACCGGAAACAGAGGTTGAGGAAAATGGTACTTGCTCAGTTGAATCCAAGTAGTATTGATGTTTGCCCTGATACTAGCACGCTCTTGATCCTCCACACTGGCAATATCGCTGACTGAATGAGCAAGATCTCGCAGGTGGTCCTCTTCAGAATGTACGGGAATTGCATCTTCATGAAACCGGGGCCATTGGAGGGTAAGACACAAGCCGTAAAAGATTTTCTGGGGGTATCTTCGGCCCTAAATTCAAGCCATTGAACTCAGAATTGACTCTGAAAAAGGCAGATGAATACATATCTGCCCAAAGTTTAGAAGTGAATGAAGCTATATGATGAAAAATCTCGAAGGTTACGGCTCAAGGGGAAGCCTGAAGCACTCATAAACCCGCCAACTACAATCTGGTCTGGTCCGTTCTCGACAACAACCATTTGAGTGATTCATAGCGCTGGGTTGTTTATCCACTCAATGATACCCGCTCCCGTACAGTTTTTTCCTGCAACCAGACCTCCAGTCACCGCCCAGCCTTCCATAGTTGTTCCTCTCTTCAAGGGGACCGATGTGCCAGGACCTTGAGGTATGACTGTATCGACGGTTGTCATTAGGTCAGCGGAGTATCGAATCGTCTAACCATGAGAAAAGAAAACGTTTTGAATATTGTAGTCTTGTATGCACATTGAATGAGTCTGCGTTGATGTTGTGGGCCCCCCTAAACTCCAGCATAGTTTTAGCATCAATTGCTGTTTGATCGTTCGGAATAGGACTCGGAGTTCATAACAGGATTGCGGTTCTCTATACTTCGCTATGATGAGTTTCATGGGTTCTACACAACACCTGATAATCTATGTGATAGGTCATGCTCAAAGTTATTATGGAACTGGAGAAAGCATAACGCGAGGCAGCTCAATTTCGGCCAGTGTCAAGCGATGGTGCGTTTTCCGGATAGAACGGCAACATCTGATAGCAGTTGGAAAAAGCTAAACATGGCAATAGCACGGGAACCGGGGCTTCGGAAGAGACCCAGAGCCTTGGCACGTGGCGGAGCCGCATGGTTGTAGGCCGCCATCTCTCGCGTGCCCCATTCAATTCAAAGCCACACTCGCAACGTCATGATCGATGGCGTCCATGCCTTCTAGAGAATACGAATAATCATGGCCGCTGACAAAGCGTTTCAAGGTTTGAGTCTCAGGCAGCGGACAAACTCGGGGGTTTTGCTTAACGTGAAATCAAAATTTCTAATGCAACAATGAATTTATTCTTTTTACAAAGTGGGCGTTGAGAATTCTAATAGACAAAAGATTTAAATATTAGGCCATCGCTAATGTTATCTCAACTTCTGAGACTATCACGACCTTCCCTTTTAGGCAATGGAATGGGGCCTCGTCTTACCGTTCCCCACCTAACCGAAGATTGCCCACGTGATCACCCCTGTCGCCGCCACGATGGTGAAGAGAACAGGCCCAGTCCTCACACACAATTTCTACGGCGTGGGCTGTAATCCTTCATTAGCGAGGCAATGTACATGTAGGATCCAATTCGACGTCATGCTTCTTCCATGGAGAAATAAGAATGGTTACTGGATGGAAATATTATCACAAATTTCCCGCAAATAGGATTTGTTCCCCATAGAGATCTCGAGCTAACCCCGCCTTCCCCCAACCCCGCAAACTGCTCACGTTAAGGCGTAGCACCTTCTTGGCTGCGGAGAGAAGCCAGTCAAGCCTGGTCAACCCCAGACCAGATTTTCGGTCTGTCAAGGATCGGGGAAGATCTCACTTTAAGCTTAAGCCAGTGATTCACGGAATCTTAAAGCTAAATTCTTCCGTAGGCTGGGGTTGGACGACCTGTCATCCATCGTGCACTTGCACTTGACTGAATTTGATAGACGAGAGGCAAGCCATCAAGCAGAGAATCCATGCCATCGGGCCATCGCATTTGTTGGCATGGCAGAGTTGTTGACATTCAGTCAGCCGGGAGGATGGTGACAAGGGACTCGTGAGCTGCAAACATGTTGGGGGCACCGGGGATTGCTCTAACCAATGTTGGGGGCAAATAAGTATATAAGTGACCTCCTAGAAGGCATATTGACTCTGTAGATCTTCTCAGAGACTGTGCATTGACTCACTGTTCTTCCTTCACCCCTTTACTGTGCCGTCACACACATCACTAGCCTCTTGCCGCCTCCACAATGAAGGCTACCGTGCTTTTGTCTCTCCTCCCTGCCCTTGCGCAGTCCGCCGTCATTGCACCTCGTCAGTCCAGGACTGGTGATGGCAGCCAAGGCGATAGCGACGCTACTCAGGGAGACCTTGGCGGGCGGCCACCTCCCCGCTTCCCTTTCCCCATCACAAAGTTCCCTGTTGCAAAGGAGACAGTAGTCTTCGAGAATGTCAAGTACATCATGCCTGGAGAGGTCTTTGATGGTGGAATGAAGCGTTACGAGCGTCCTGAAGGTAGCTGCAATGAGCAGGCTGAGGGCACTGACGCCGATGCCGTCTTCAACCTGATGCCAGGATCCACCATCCGAAACGTCATCATCGGCAAGAACCAGGCAGAGGGCATCCATGCTCTGGGTGATGCTTGGGTGGAGAACGGTATGTTGTCATTATCAATCATATTAGGCCAAATACTAACAATGTCAAGTTTGGTGGGAGGACGTGTGCGAAGATGCTTTGACCTCCAAGGGACTCAACACACAACTCAGAGTCATTGGAGGTGGAGCCCGAAGTGCCACAGACAAGGTCAGTCGGTGTCTGGACTATGACAGGACGTATTAAGCTGACACTCACGGTTACAGATCTTCCAAGACAACTCGCTTGGTGGGAAGTACAACATCACAGGCTTTTATGCCGAGGACTTTGGCACCTTCTACCAGTCCTGCGGCAACTGCCTCAACCAGGCCAAGCGCAACGCCACCATCCAGAACGTGGTTGCAGTGAATGGCCTCAGGATGGGTATCGTAAGTACCCCTGGACTGCTGACTCTGAGTTGCCATATGCTGACAGCCTGCTTTAGATCAACCCCAACTATGGCGACGAGTTCCGCCTCAAGAACTCTCAGATCGACAACGTCACCAGCATTGTCGACAAGGAGATTGGCAACAATGTCCAAACCGTGCCCTACTACATTGGCAACGGACCGGATGAGAAGTATGCTCTCTACAATGAGACGAGAGACCACATTGTCGACTTTGATGGCAAGGTCACCAACCAGTACGAGCCGGAGGACCCCTATGAGTGGCTTTCTGAGTTCTGGCCCGAGGGATTCAACTAGATGGAATTGGACATGTGGTGAATGTTTATAGGTGAAGTACACCTTCTAGGATGGGAACTTGGCGCCGCTGAAACTAGGGAAGTCGGACCGTGATGAATTTGAAATACCCCATCTTCACTGTAAATATTAATAACACTTTTGCCTCTAATGCTTTTGCGCACTTTACATTCAAGCCTTGTTTGTATGAGGGACAAAGTGATGTAGTCACTAGTGAGACACTTATCAAGCATGATGCTAAGGAAATAGTCTATTCATTCTTGTGCTATGCTCTGTGTTTGATACTTGGCATGAGTTACAGCCGTTTAGGCAATCAACTTTCGCAGATCGGATTCGTTTTGGCTCTCAATGTCGCCCAATCGAGCGACCTCGTTCCCCTAGAAAACCGTTAGCTATATGAAAATCAAAACGTTGAAGGGCTAAAGTGGTTACATATTGATACCGAACAACCGTAGGAACTCCCTGAATGTTGTACGGCTCATTGCGGTACTTGTTCTTGGGGTTGCCCTTCCACTCGGCGAATGAACCAACGCGGACAATGTAGGCAGTGGGTGCTGAATCACCGCCAAAGACGCTGTTCAGAGCAGGGAGGGCATCGCGGCAGTCCGGGCACCAGGATGGTTCGCCAGAGGCGAAATAGACGACGTAGTGAAGGTCGTTGGTGGTGGGGGGAGTATCGGCGTCGATGAGAGGCATTTTTGCTAGGCGGGCAAGGGAGCGAGGAGACTGAGGTTAAGAAGATTGGTGAAAGTAAGTAGCGGTGCCCAATTGGAGGATAGAAAATGTGAGAGAAGACCGTGGATGTGAGTCAAGAAGAGATTATATCTAAGTCTCAAGTCACGGGTGAGGTCGGGTCAAATTTATCAGCCCCTCTTAATTGGTAGCCGTACAGTGCGAAAACGAGCATGGCTCACGGAGACAGACCCACCTGGGCCGTAAATACAAGTCATCAGCTGATACCGACGTCTCAAGGCTCCGTGAACAAATTGAAGACAAATGCAATTGAGTCATTTCTCCGAAAAGCTTTTTCACGGTCACAATTTTGGACATATAGAACTATCAAAGGAGGCTCGTCATATTGTGTAGACACAAGCGGTCGAGAGCGCCCACACAGTGCACTATCACTCCCACGACATCACGCAAGCCACTTTGGAATGTCGTCATCAGCTTCACTGATGAAGGCTCTTTTCCACCGGATGGGACTATTGAGAAGAAAAAGAGGGCTGTCGAAGGTTGTCGAGGATGGTGAGTAAACGGGCGTGCGGTGATGCATTCAGCCGCGTCAGGTCACTTGGGGCCAAGAGATATATGCGAAGCACTTCATGTAGATAATGAATGAATCGGACATGCTCGAAACGCAGGACTAGTATTATAATTGTCCAATCGGAAATATATCAAGCCATGGTGGCTGCCAATTGCGACCATGATATCAAGGGTTGCAACCATGTGGCGTTGAACGGTCTCCTTCCAGTCATACCATAAGCAGTTCCGGTAATCACATGTGTGACCATCCCCTTTGCTTTCGGACTAAACAGAACTCTGTTCCTTTGACTCAATCTTGACGTCTTCGATGCTTGGAGCCCCTTCTGCAACAAGGACATTTTTGGCCGACGCCCTGTGAACCAGATATGTCAAGCCCGGAGTCCAGATGATCAATGCGATCGAACTAGCAATCATTGCCCACATCCCGCGCTGTTGAAGGGTTGATTAGTTAGAACTGCAAACTTGAAAGAAAGGTAAGGGAAAGCTCACGGTAAACCAAGGTGCCATCGACACGCCGTAGAAAAGAATGCTCCACCAGGCGTTAACGGCATTGCTGCCGAGGTTCATGCCTGCAAGCACAACGCCCCGGAAGGCTGACGTTTCATAGCGCATTGCATCGTTGCACCACGCGAAGAAAGTAGCCTGGCAGGCATAGACCGCACCGGCCCAATAATATGCACCAAAAGTAATTGAAGTCGAAGCAGAGCTTGTCGGATTCTTTGATGCGACGAGGATCATAGCAGAGGTCGCCAGGCCCGTCAAACCAATGAAGTAGCCAACCAGGTATCGCTTTCCGCCGAGGAAGTCGGTCAAGGTGGCCCAGAATAACGTCGAGACGATCCCAACAGCAGCAACGCCGGTGGGATAATTATTCATTTGGGCCACGCTATACGTATGAGTAGGGTGGTTTTGCAAGAACATGGCCAGGAGCGCATTAGTGCTGAAAGACTCTGTCTCACCAGCAATGATCCAAAGGATAACAAATCCCCACCAATACCACGAAATCAATACCTTCTTTGCAAAAGCAAGGGTCAGAGGAGAGTCCTTTTCGATAAGGGGGACGCGAGATTTCGCAAGTCGACGCTCGTCGTCAGTCAAGTAAAACGCTGTGGTAGTATGCGGAGTATCAGGAAAGCATAGGAACCCGTAGGTGGCAACGGGGACTGTGAGTAAACCATCGACGATAAAAAGCCATCGCCATCCACTAAGTCCGTGACGGCCATTGAGGCTTCTGTGGATGCCGGTTTGGATGAAGCCACCAATCAAGGTCCCTGCGAGGCCAGATGCTGTGAATATCCCACTGCGCTTGCCGAGTTCACGTTCAGTATACCAGGCGCCAAGGATATAATGAGTGCCGACAAATGTCGAGGCCTCGCAGATACCCTGGAAGAAGCGGATGGCCATGATTGACTGAGGATTCTTTACAGATGCCGTCACCATCGTTAAACCTCCCCAAAGAATCATCATGGATGGAAACCAGATCCGAGGCTTGACATATTGAAGCGATAGGTTTGAAGGTACTTGGCCCAAGACGTAACTGGGAAATGAGTTAGCATGTTGCAGACTGGGCAAAGAAGGAACAAAACATACCCAACGGTGAAGCAGGTGTTGATAACATTGAGCTGGTTCCCAACAAAGCCAAGCTCGTCTCTCATGCCGGAAACATAGGCATTGGCAAGGTTGGTTCGGTCAAGCTACAAAAAGACTCAGCAACATGTAGTGCACGAGAGCGGTAGGTTGAGGTGACTCACGTAGTTGACTAGATAGCTCAGGCAGCAGAACGTAAGAATGAAGAAGTCAATCTTTTGAATCAACTTGCGCTCCCCCGGCTGGTAATGCACGTGGAAGTAGTCGCGAAGCCGCTGAGTTGCCATTTACACGATTGAGACTTGTTGGTATCGATGTGGATAGGATAGTTGAATAAAGAGGTTGCTTTGGATCGTTTTCCACTGGCGATCCCTTCGACACTTATACCGTTTGCTTAAATGCACGTTATCTTTGAGTCGTCCGACATGGTATCAAACGCTGCCATCCTCTCTGTATTGAAGGGACTTTCTTGGCACTATCGCGAGAATCAGGTTCGTTCTTATCAGAGCGCGAGTCAACGTAGCCCCCACTTCGGTGTCTTTCTACATTCATCCAAAACCTGCGGGCCCTCATAGATGCCTTTCCTCTTACGGAGTAGAACGTAGATTGGTACGTCGTATGAACGCTTATCACCCCGGGTTTGGTCTCATTTGATGTCTAGTGGGCCGCCTGGGTGATGCGGGGGTTGCACGCCCGCAAGGCACCATCCTTGTCGTAGCCTGATCATCGGCATCGGTATCGGATGGTCTAGGTCACTTAAGATTCTGTTGCATGAGCGTATAGTAGGTGCACTGGTCTATTAGATTGTTGGCTTAGTGAGATTAGGGGCTTCGACAACCAAGAGCAATCAACTGGCTCTTGATGCCATATCATGCCCTTGCTAGATCCTGACCAGGAGGTTGAATCCATTGTTGTGGTTGGGTCAAGAATTTTGCAAACTAGATTTAAGTATCTAGATGAACACACTCGGCTTTATGATACGGCTTCCGGCAGCTGCACAAGAAGCAACCACCTGCTGTTGCAGCATGAGCATGGCCTACACGTCTCCTTGACCGTTAGGCTCTAGGGATATTCTTCCATCTCTCCTCGCACTGAGCCAGAGCCCCAAGATGCCTCGGGGCGCCATCCGCTTGAAGGTTGCGCCAGTATTCACGTATAACGTCACACTGAGTCAAAGATGTGGCGTTGATACCGGCCAAAAATGCAGGTTTGGCCATGTGCATGTATAACCTTGATGTCAGGGGGACAGAAGAGATTCCCCTGCAGATCCTGTCCACAGCAGAAGTTAATGCCTTCTCTCGGAAATCGGCCGTTAGATCGTCGGTAGACTGAGATGGGCTGTCCCACGTAAGAAGAGCTATCACCGCCGCGCATCTCCATGTGTCTCTGCACAACCCCTGATCATCCGCGACGAGTCCCAGTTGTAGGAGCTGTTGCATGGCTAGCACGTGTCGGCCTTGTTCAGCAATGAGAGCTTCTTCCTCGCTGATCTCGTGTGATGTGCTAGCAGATTTGGCCAAGGAAACGAACAGCTGGAATATCTCTGGCGGACAACCAACTGTGTCGAAAAAGTCGGCTCCTATGAGGGCGCGGTGCCAGTCAAGAAAGATAAGACGCCCATGCGACTCAGCTCGACTACCGCCGAGATGCCTGACTACGACGCCGGCTACATCCCACCAGGCGAAGTAGGCAATCATCTCAGGAAGGTTTCCAATCGGGGGCCCAAGCCGCTCAATGTCTTCGCGGCTCTGACAATGATGGTCCAAGAGCGAGCGTGCGCCTTGAAGGTGAAATTGCCATTCGCCGAATGCGCTGGTTGAAAGAACCTCAAAATAGGCGAGAACGAGGATGCCGAGAAACGCAACTGGGTTGGCATGCTCAAGTACCTGGTTCAGGCTCGCAAGGGCATCGACATACTGGAGCTCAAAATCGGTCTCGGTACCACATGCGGGCGAGTCCAGTGTCCTGGTACTCTGACCAGAGGGTCGAGGCAGAAGTTGCAGTGGCTCAGGGGTCAACGTTGACCGGTATTCCATGTGCCATCGCAAGATCCTTTCGACATGATCTAGGAGGCGAGTCGTGGCCACGGCGACTCTCGCACGTCGCTCATCGCCGTTAACGGCCCCAGAGAGCCTCAATTCAGTGCACCACGCTGAGAGACGGTCGGCGAACTGGTGCTGGGGGTGTTTGGTTGTGCTCTGATGGCCGTGTGGCCCCGTGTGCAAGCTTTGAGGAGATGCCTCTGATGTCGGCGAGCAGACTGGTAGTAGCTGCGACTGTGACTCTAGCGATGACCCTTCATGATTGCCGTAGGTTACCGTGCGTTCCATGCCCGACAATTCTGGCGCCAGGCCCGGTCTTCTCTTGACTGACAGAATGGTTGGTGTGACGGGTGTCTTGCTAGTCGCCCAGACGACTCTCTGCGGATACCCGCCACAAGTCAGCCCTGACTGGACGCATGGCAGGCATCGCGGTCTGTTCAGATCGCACTTGACTCCGCGAGACTTGCAACTCCGACAGTCCCGGTCCCGCCTGATGCCACGCAGTCCATGCCGAGGCCGTGTCACTTTTGCTTGAGACATTGTTTTGATATCTCCCGGGGTAGGGCTGTACGTGGGGCCAAAGAGGATAAACAGGAGACTGGGAATGATTGCTTGCTTGAAGAGGCAGGCAATTTGAGCGGGGAGACTGGGATTGATATATACCCGGGTCCAAATGCCGTCTATCAAGCAGCAAGGGATTGGCTAAAGGGGCTAAGCTATCTAATCGGCTACCCCAAAAGGAAAGTTATCTATGTGGAGACTGCAACCTACCGTATCTTCGTTAGGGTGTGGTAACGCCCGATGTCGGGTATCTATCTCCGGGCGGAGTTAGAGGTCATGCGTCGATACCATACAATCGCGATAAACAGTACGGGAAAAGGAAATCAGGAGGGTCTTTTCTCTTAATCAGGAACATCCTTTACATATGTGTAAACTGCCATGGATTTCACGCCAACCTCTATAAATCAGCTTGCCGGACGGTCCCGAGGATCTGTACACTAAACCGCCAGTTCTTGTTTCTTTGCTCAGGCAGTCAATATGTCAAACGGAATCACCCACTACAACGATTATTTGGACCGCGCCGCCAAAAAGCGAGCCGAGCAGCTTTCCTTGATCCCTCCAGAGTGGCGAATAACCGACGTTCCATCCATACAATCCGCCCCAAATGCCCTGGATTTCATCAGACGATCTAATTTGCTCTCGCCCGACGAGCAGCGTATGACTGAAACTCTTGATGCCAGAGATCTTTTGCAAAAGATCGCTGGTCGGGAGATCTCTGCGCTAGATGCTGTGAGAGCATTCGCGAAAAGGGCAGCCTTTGCTCATCAGCTCACGACTTGCTGCACTGAAATCTTTTTGGAACAAGCTTTTGCAGATGCCAAGAAGCTGGACGAGGTCCTTGAAAAGACGGGCAAAGTGGTCGGCCCATTGCATGGCCTACCCGTCAGCATCAAGGACAACCTATCAGTGAAAGGCGTGGATACTACAATCGGTAACCATCCCCATTCCCTGGCGGCTGGCATTAGACTCACCTTGACACACAGGATGGGTTGGACTTATGGGCAAGCCGGCGATGAAAGACTGCAATGCCGTTGCTGCGTTGCGCCGACTGGGGGCCATCCCCTTTGTCAAGACAAATGTGCCTCAGTCGCTAATGGTACGCATGCTTATGGAGAGATCCCGTTTTACATCAGAGTGCTCACTAGATAATCGCGTAGATGTCCGACTCTTACAATCATTTGTTCGGGCAATGCGTGAATTCTCTCAACAGAAATTTGATCTCGGGAGGTAGCAGTGGCGGAGAATCAAGCTTGATATCATTTCATGGAAGTCCTCTAGGAATTGGTACTGATATCGGAGGCTCGATACGGATCCCTGCAGCGCTCTGCGGCCTGTATGGCCTGTCGCCAAGTGTTTCGAGGCATCCATATCCACGAGGAGGGTAAGTCACGCTCACTGTCTATGCAGAGCAATTGGGCTAATCCCGTACAGACCAAGGCAGAGCTTTGTCATCCCTACTGCTGGTCCCATTGCTTCAAGCCTCGCGACCATCGAGTCTTACATGGAGGCGCTCGAGGGCGCATGTCCTTGGGAGCAAGACCCATTAGTCTCGCCGATTCCCTGGCGGAAGGAAAAGTGCTCTGTGCCGCAAGGCAAGAAACTTAGAATTGGGTTCGTGGTTGATGATGGGGTGGTGAGACCACAGCCTCCCATTGCACGCGCAATTCGCAAAGTTGTCGCCCTCCTACAGGGTGCAGGGCATGAGAGTAGGTCATGAGAGCACTGTCTGAGAGTTGGTTGTTGACAATTTACCAGTCTTGGAATGGGACACTTCATCGCACGCTCAGGCCTGGGATCTGTTTTCCAAGGCCGTCCTTTCGGACGGTGGTGCCACAGCGAAACGATACTGCAAGCTGTCTGGCGAGCCGCTGATTGAAGGCATGATGGTTGGCACATCGGCTGATCTGCTTACCACCGAGGAAAGTCATCAGGTAGGTTGGCCCAGCTCCATATCGGTCATCGTATGCTCACCACATGCCTCAGCTTTTCGCAGACAAGTATACTTATGAGGACGACTACCTTCGTCGCTGGCATCTACATGGCCTAGATGCTCTAATTATGCCCGTGACACCTTGGGTAGGTTATAAACCCAAGACTTGGGTCAAGTCGAACCAGTATGTCGGTTACACGAGCATATTCAATCTTCTGAACTGGTCTGCTTTGACCTTGCCTGTGTGCAAGGTGTCCAAGTCCTCAGACCTCCCGGTTCCATCAGACTGGGAAAATTATTGCCCAAGAAACGCATCAGACGAGTTCAACAAGAACCAATGTAAGTACCGTGTTCTTTCCAGAGATAGCGAGCGGCGTGGGGGCTGACTGATATTGTGATAGATGACTTTGACTTGGTGGAAGGTATGCCGGTTGGGGTGCAAATTACTTGCGGTAAATATGAAGAAGAGAGATGCATTGCCATTGGAAAGGTTATTGAAGAGCTGCTACAGGGTTCAGAGGAGGAGTAAGAAGCCACGAATGAGCCATGCAGGATTCAACGTAGAGTGCCTTTGAAATCTTTGTTCTCTTAGAAATTGAATCGCCTAGTTTACAAAAACAAACATTGTTCTTTTATATCTTGATTAATGCCCGCTATTGTTGGGTTTCAAGTTCAGGCGGTCTCATCCTCCAGCTCAGCAAGCGGAATATCTTGGGGCGACGAAAGAACCACGACAGCGCCAGTGTCGGGAGAATGACGGCGGTTAAGTTAAAAAATTAAGTATTTAAGGATCATGGTGACTATAGGTCTACAGGTATTAACCTTGATCCTTATTTTCCTTTCTCCTTGTACAGTTTTCCTCTTCTTGGGTGAGTTCAGGGTAAGACTTCGTCTAGATATCTCTCAGCCAAGGAAACCAACTCGTCCTAAATCTTCCGAAATCTCGTTCTCTGAAGACTCAGACTTTTCCTTACACGGACCTTTTAGTCCCCCCTGTCTGCTATAGCAATAGAGGGACGCACTTATCGGAGCAAATGGTGGACTTGCCGATCTCGGAGAATGGCCTTGTCCTAGGGCGCGAGCAACTCTCCTAATCTCGCCTGCTGATAAGCACATCTCCTCAAAAGAGTAGGCTATGAAGGTGGGGCACAGTGATTGTTTCGCTGGGGGAACCAGAGAACCAGCTGACTAGGGAGGGTCGCTTGTTGAGGTCACTAGCCCAGTGTTGCCTCCGGGTCTAAAAAATGATTCCGGGTGAATTTGCCAAGACCCAATCGCTGCAGCTCCCAAACCCCGGGCCATCAGCGATGATCTCGCCAACTTCCCCTATCTTCAGTCATAGTCGTCCAAGTCCTGCGTTCTCCAGGTAGGCCGACCCCTCTTCCTATTTACTTGCCACAAGTAGAAGGTGATTAGAGTGGACCTTGGCTGGCTAGGTCTAGAGATGCTTCCTTACCGGTGGTTGCTGCGATGTCATGTTCAGGAACAGGCTTCATCCCCCTCTTATCGCTTTTTTTCTTGTGGTCGGGACCATTATGTGTATCTTTCATACGATGCCTCTGGATTGGCATTTAAACTTGTGTCTTTAGGCAGAGTAATTACTCTGTAAATCCCCATGCCTACGACGAGAATGCCACAACAGCCCGAAAGCATCACGCTATCCTCGCAATCAAACCCTGAGCACACCTGGTCAGCAGTAAATCGCCAGTGCTCACACTATCCAAGATGGACAGCCTTGAAAACTCGGTTGATAACTTTCACGACGGACGAACCCCCTTGTCCAAGGTAGCTCTCGTCACAACCGTCAGTATGGCCATATTCGCAGTATCGTTCGCCTCCGGTATCTTTGGCCCAGCTGCTGTGATCCTGGCAGAAGAGTTCACAGCCTCTGAAACGCTTGTGCAGCTTGGTGTCTCGCTCTTCGTTGCTGGGTTTGCTGCCGGGCCTCTGGTCTGGGGTCCTATCGCAGAAGTGGTGGGCATGAAGAGGCCGCTTATCGTCGGGACTTTGGGGTGTGCCCTCTTTCATATTCCTTTCGGCCTGGCCAAGAACCTCTCTACGATTCTGGTCTCTCGGTTCCTGGCCGGAGCATTTGGAAGCTCCGTGTTGGCTCTTGGCTCCGGCTTGGTCGTGAAGCCCTACACAGCGATTCCGCGTGGTATAGCTCTGGCCTGCTGTGCAACCTCGATCAATTTTGGTGCTGTTCTCGCTCCTATCGTCGCAAGCTACGTGCTTGACAAGCGCGACTGGCGATTCTTGGCATGGATAGTCCTGGTTCTGGTGGCCTGCATGGTCCCGGCGTTGTTCTTCCTCAAAGAAGAACAGGCCTCGAAAAGCGCCGCCACTGCGGTTGGCCTCAACGGAGAGGGCAGCAATCACTCATCGACCAAGAAACCACGGATGCGCTGCATAGACTTTGCTCGAATCTACTTGACGAAGCCCATTGTGCTCTTCTGCAAAGAGCCCATCCTTATCATCATGACGGTACACCTCACTTTTGTGTATGGCCTCCTGTACATGTCGTTTCAGCTATTCCCGCTAGCTTACAAAGAGAGGGGATGGGCAGACACGACTTCGACGTTGCCGCTTTTGGCGGTGGCCATAGGCCTTCTTGCCTCCTTAGTCGCTGTTGCAGCTTTTATGACGACTTGGTTCAAACAGCAATGGCAACGAGATGATGGTGTCACGAACCCCGAGCACTGCTTGCCTCCGATGATGGCGGGTGCCGTCATTCTTCCTCCGGCCCTGCTATGGTTCGGGTGGTCTATGCGAACCTCTTGGGTCTGTCAGGCTCTTGCATCCGCATTCATAGGGCTCGGGCTACAACTTATTTTCATCAGCGGCATCTTGTATCTCGTTGACGTCTATAAAGTACGCATCGTGCCAGCAATGTCGATACACGTCACAGTACGTAGCATATTTGCGGCCTCTTTTCCTTTATGGACAAAGGGCATGTACGATTCTCTGGGGATCGAATGGACTGCATCAGTCTTGGCAGGGTTTTCTCTTGTTTTGGCGCCGTTCCCATTTCTCTTTTTCATGCACGGAACAAGGATAAGAGGATGGAGTAAGTTTACCGAAAAGGCGACGGTAGCAGGCCGTCGGATGTAAACTGTGTGCTATGACTAAGCCGAGACGGCCGCTGAGCAAGATCTAAATACGTCATTGAAGCTTTATATCATTCCTATCCTGTCTCCGCCCAACCTCGTCATTGCTTTTGTTCTGCCGGTGGTCGGACTTCGGGCCTTCTGCCTCCCGACTGACTTTACTTTATGCGCTTACTCATGATGTATCGATTGGTTCCCCGTTCCATACCCCGCCCGACACAACTGTCTTCGTTCTTGCACAGATCATTCGTAGAAGCTTCCATGCTTTCTTCAGGACCAGATCCCACATAGCCTGCCATCCCACAGCACGTATCTACCACATATTATGCTCCTGTGAAGCAGGATGCGCATCTGTGTAGCGCCAGCGTGATCAACAGAATCGAGCACCATGTCGCAGCTGAGCATTGAGAGTTTCAAGCGCTTAATTGCCCGCTCTACCAACGAACTCATTGCCACGGGCAGCTCCTTGGCTTCGCTTTGTGACCAATGTCAACCCGTCGAGATTCGACTCAATGAAATCTTCAAAGCCAAAGGCGAGGGCTTTTACGGCGGAGCCCGAGATAGCACCAATATCACTGTTCTCGGAGATTTGAGCCATGTTTTGGCTCATCCTGGCTGCCCGCTGTGCTGCTTGTTGACCCGTCTTGTTTTGAACCTAAAGCAGCAGGATCTATTCAAAAAGGTCAAGACGATAGGTGTCACCCCGAAGTCAACGGCTGATTTACACAACGCATTACTCAGTCTATACAAAGAGGTTAACTTCGACGCCGAGTCGACCTCAGTGGAAGCAGAAGATTGTGAGGGTAGTCGTGGCTCTGAATCCGATGGGCCGTACATTCAGTACAAGAATGCTGGTCGCTTTCAGGTTTCAGTAGATGCAATTCCCTCTACAGGAGCCATGTCTGTGTGGCTGCCACTCGAACAGAGCGACGAGGTCAACGACGAAGAATCTCAACTATTCATGCACCCAAAGCACTACACGGACATGTTTGGTGATCCTCCAAGCCACGTTTCGCTCCCACAGTCAGATAATGGGGCATGTCGGAACATGGATCTGCTGCGAGATTGTTATCATACCTGCAACGCCCATCATGTGGATTGTCGTCGGTCGAGAAATTCAGAAATGCCATCCAGGCTGGTGGATATGCTGGAAATGCGAGTCATGGATGTTCCGCAAGCTTCATCCTTCGATTACATAGCCCTCAGTTATGTGTGGGGGACGGCCCCCTTTATTACTTTGACAAGCACCACATCAGAGCTCCTCAGGCGTCGCAACTCTCTTCAACACGACTCCATTAGCATCCCCAGGACTATCAAAGACGCAGTAGAGATTGGAAGGTTTTTAGGGCATCGATATATCTGGATTGATAGCCTTTGCATCAAGCAAGATGATCGAGATGACCAGACAAAAGAGATCCGACGCATGCATGAGATTTATGCCAACGCAGCGTTGACTATTGTTGCTGCCACAGGCTCGAGCGCCCAGGTGCCTCTCTTGGATATCGAAGCAAACCAGCTCTCCAACCAGTATCATACGATCGGAGGTAAACGGTTTTGCCTTGACCGTCCGGAACTGAAACCATTGGTCAATTTCACGACATGGTTCACTCGAGGCTGGACTCTACAAGAACTCAACTGCTCATCCAAGATCGTGTACTTTCTACCTGAGAGAACGTACTACAGTTGCAACACCGGGTCTTGGAATGAAGATTTCCCACTTGACCCCTCAATTCCGGCCGAGACTTATAAGAGCCTCCGAGATGAGGATCCGAAAGTCGCAGCATTTTTCCACGGCGAGAACCCATCGGAATGCTACATCGAAATGGCAGAGCAGCTCTCCCGCCGGCAGTTTACAAGAGACGATGATGTGCTAAGGGCGTTATCCGGCATGTATACCATGTTCGCTCTGCAGAAGCTGGGGCCAGCTGCAGCCGGTATACCCGTCAACTTTCTCGAATCGGGGCTTATGTGGCAGCCAAGTGGGCAATTAAGGCGAAGAAAAGCTTCGTATCCAAACCAGCCACCACCTACATGGTCTTGGGCTGGTTGGGCGGGCCCAGTCACTTTCCCCTTCAGCGGAATTACCGACTCAAGCATCCGGCCAATCATCCAATGGTTGCTGTGTACACCTATGGTGGACGACCAAAGCCATAGACGACACGTTGGTCTTGACGTGGTCGATGCGGTTGACAGATCAAATCTGACACCAAAGATTACCCGATGGTCAACGCGAGCTTTCGAGATAGGAACACACCCACCCTCCAGCAAAGAAACCAGCTATATGCCTGAGAATCCAAAAGACTTTATCTCCATCTCAAACCCTTTCCTCCTTGACCCTGTTATTCTTTGCTGTTACTCACGCATCTACAACGTTCACATCGAGCACATCGAAGGCCCCGAGCTCGCGAATCGTTCAGGCTTAAAATTCTTCTCCATCCTTGATAGCAAGAGCGAAAGTATGATTGGTGAGCTCAAGGTTGATGCTGGAACTCTGGCGGCATTGCCATGGTCAGGAAATCGTCCCAACACAGCAGAGCTGTTGCCAATTGCCGAGCTTGACTTTTCGTCTTCATCTGCCGAAAGTGTTTTATATCTGAATCGTTATAGCAGACTGGGTCAGTTCTCGCAAGGCTTTATGGACGTGGTGGATCAAGATCATGACATGTATATTGTTTTGTGGATAGTTGGTGAGCGCGGGTTCTTCCGTCGCGCTGCTCTGGGGTATGTAACGAAAGCTGGTTTGGACTGCTATGTTGGAAAACAGAGTTGGGTGGTGCTCAAATAACTCGGTATAATAAGATTGCGACCTACTGTGTTAACATCGGGTCATGATGTTGTGATGTGTTGACAATCTGCTCTTTATTATAGTTGTAGCCCGGACCTTGATGGGAACTAAGCCAGAAGATCGAAATGCACTTCGTACAGTAATGATCAAGAATAGCAGATTATTCCTATCCAATTAGACGATCGCTCTTGTCTTAATGTATTGCGTCATAGATAAATAGATTCACCAACGACACATGGTAAGTTTGTCTCTTCCCCAAGCAACAAAAGTTACACAATAATAACCCTCAAAAGCGCTGTCGCCGTTTCAGAGATGTCTCGCCGGGTAACACGGTCCATGTCTAGACGGGAATCCGAAAAGAGGACCAAATCCCCAGCCGATGTTACGGAGCACAAGACAAGTACTCGACGGCTACCAGCAGGCCGAGTACTACCGGCCCCTCGCACAGCCCCTATCGAGAATGAACACTTTGGGCTCATACAAGAAAGTGTCGGCACTGACTTGTACAAGTTACTGGTTGCTGCCGTGCTCTGGAACCGTACTCGGGGTGTCCAAGCACGCCCAGTTCTCCTCAAGCTCATATCTGATTACCCATCACCAAACCACTTAGCCGAAGCATCCATTTCGCACCTTTCAGACCTTCTTCATCCCCTAGGGCTGCATAACTCCCGGGCCAGGCGGCTTGTGGCGTTTGCTAAGGCGTGGGTGCAGAATCCACCTTCAAAGTCAAGGCGTTACCGGAAGCTACACTACCCCTCTCACGGGAATGGCCTCGATATTCGCAAGAATGAGGTCTTGACAGAAGATGATGAGCGTGAGGGATGGGAGGTTGCGCATTTGCCTTCACTGGGCCCTTATGCTCTCGACAGTTTTCGAATCTTCCATCGAGACATCCTCCGAGGTTTGGCCCAAGACTGGAATGGCAAGGGAGCGGGGCCAGGATTTGAGCCTGAGTGGAAAAGGGTGGCGCCTATGGATAAGGACCTGCGGGCGTACATATGTTGGAGGTGGCTGAAAGAAGGCTGGATATGGGATGCAGAGACTGGCACGAAAGTCCGGGCATCTAAAAAGTGAAGTAGGACAAAGCACATCAAGGGACGGTTCGCCGTGTACTGACATGGTGAAGCGGGGTGACGATTGAGGTTAAGGAGACATCTGACTTGCCCCTTTTTAGTACGCTCTTTAGGTAACCGCGTTAGAGAGGCTCCCCGTTCCTTAACTTAGGTACCAACTCAAATGGCTGCGGCACAAGGCCAGGGGGCGGGGGCCTCGGAGCAGCCCCATTCCTTAACAACCTGGCATTCAAACGTCGATCGCGGAGACCCACACGATCGATACCTTAGTGGGGCAGTCCCGAGCACCGTTCATGAGAAAGACAAAAATCGTACCAAGAGTAGGTAAATAATAACCTCGATTACAAATCAAAGCCCAGATGCCACATGAAATGTTGGATGAAAGAACAGAAAGCTAAGATGACGCGTACAACTCTAACTTACCCTTCCTTTCTTGAACCATTTGTCATCAAGCACCTGATCTGATAGCTAATGCGGGCCGATTTCAACCACCCTACAGAGCCCCCTCGATATATATAGCCAATACTATACTTTGCGTACGAGATCTGATAACAGCCCAATATTGCTACTCAACTCTTATCCTCTTTATACTCATCTTCACCTTCCCTCAACAATCTTTATCCCGCCAACATGCAGTCTGCAATTATCTGGCCAAAGAAGTACCTTCCCGGGACGACCGACAACTACGTCTCCAATGAGGCCATCGCGAGGGGCATAACTGCAACCGAAGTCTGGCAATATCTATCCGACATCACGAAATGGGAATCCTACTATGGCAATTGCAGCCAAATCACGCCCCCATCCTCAGGACCTATTCTACAAAAAGGCGACAAATTCAGCTTTTCGACTTTCGGTTTCCCGCCTCTGCAGTCAGAGGTATGGGAATCAGATGCACCAACGTCGTCCAAGGCCGGTCGACTGGCTTGGAGAGCGTGGCAAGAGGGTGACGAGGATACAGCGCTGGATGTGTATCACGCTTGGCTTGTCGAAGATTTGGATTATGGTGCTGTGAGAATCTTGACTCAAGAATCTCAGATTGGAAAGCCGGCGGCGCAGCTTTCAACAGCTAAGCCAAACCCCATGCTGAATGGACATCAGGATTGGTTGGATAGCTTGGTCAAGTTTACCAAGGAGAATACCAAGCGGGCTTGAATATTCATGGGCACAGGACTGACTGGCCTGTGATTGAGGTCGAGATTTCAGGCGTCGGAGGAAGCTTTAGTGAGCGCGGGCAACTTGCCTACCTGGTGTTCAACAGTGTTGTGTGGATATTGTTTGGCTCGATGCGAGAGGTTTGCAGACAATCCCACGACCAAATTTCTTCAAGCTGTCGTGTCCCTCTTTGTTCCTCAATCTCTCCACTGATCAGGTAACTCATTTACATGGGTCGGATCCACTAAAACACAAGATAATGAATGATATGGCTTCATCGGGACTATCCCGCGCCCGTCAGCCTTGACTTCGGAATGCTCCCGGCCTCTTACCACATGGCCACAGCAAATCATACCAAAAACCGCTTATCCGAGCCCATCCCACTTCTCGTAGCCCTTAGAGACATTCGCTCCTTACTACGACTTGATCTTATATCACTTCCTTCAAGCTAATCTCGGTATTCCTGGCATGCGCAGTACATCGCCTAATCCAGCGAATTTCTGCACCTTCGCACCAACCCCAAAACATGCGTCCATTCCCACGGCCTCCGCAACTCCGGCCTCCCCAGGTCTCTCCACGTTTCCTGAACTCTTTACGGCCCCCCTCCTTGTTCCACCACTCAGATCCTTCAGTCTGCCTTCATCCACCCTTGCCCTTCGACTTTATGCTGCTGGCTCCATACTCCCTTTTTGAGATCCGGTAAATACATAATAACACCCACAATCTATCCCTTCTAAATCCTCGCCTGTAGATTGGAGACAGACGTAATTATTTTTCGAGGGAGCCGGGATGAAGCGCAGGACTACCCTCTGAAAGGAGTTGTTGTGCTCTGCTTGCAGTCGCCCTTGAAAGTAGAAGAAATTGGTCTTGAACTGGTTGGGACTCTATGTCACCCGTAAGTTTGCATTCAAATTTCTCTGTTGATGTGGTGAGTTGTCGCAGAACCACAAGGTTGGCTGACAAGTCGTCTAAAAGATGGGCTGAGCCCGAACCCTTGACCCCTAAGACCATCCTTCTCGAACACAAGTGCCCCCCGTTCATAGGATCACCAGATACAAGTACGACACTGCCTGCCGGTAATTATGAATGGCCGTTCGTATTCATGCTTGCTGGCGACACTGCGGAGACTGTTGAGGGTATGGCTGAAGCCCGTATCAGCTACAGACTGAAAGCGACCATCAACAGGCCGAAGCTATTACGCGCTGTGTACACCCGAAAACTTTTGCGTGTGTTTCGAATGCCATCTCCCGATACGTTGGAGATGATGCAGTCTTTACCCATTGAAAGGACTTGGTTGAACAAGATCGACTACTTTGTCAACCTGTCCACTGGGGCCGTTATGCTTGGCGGCTCAGTGATGCTTGAGATGAGACTATCGCCTATTGTGAAAGGCCTCGATTTGGACCATTTTTCGGTTGCGCTGATGGAATTTCGAGAGTTTCATGTTCAGAACCGAACGCTGTTTCATATCAGAGACCATCGCACCGAGAGAACCGTCGCGACATGGGACTTTCAATTCTCGAGAGAACACAACCGGCAAGAACTGCCTGAGGGTACAGGCCAGCAAGTCTGGGCGATAACACAGAAACTTGATATTCCGAATCAACCTTCCGACTGTATTCAAGATATGGACGTCCACGGCATACGGGTTCATCACAAGGTTAGGGTAGTCATCCCGCTCCGAAACGCAGACGGGCACATCTCTGAGGTGAGAGAATCTTACCCTTTCGCTGGTGGAATCATGACTCATTTTTAAGCTTACCATGGGGCTTCCGCTTGTCATCACCATCAACGCAAACATACCCTTGGGTGAACAGCGTAGCGGAAGCAATCATCTCACTCTTCGACCATTTGGTGAGGACAACATGAGCCCTCCTGGCTATGGCGAACACATTCTCGACCAACCCTTCGACGAACTACCCCACGAAGAAGTTCAGTCGATAGGCAGCATTCATGTCACAAGGGGTGGCACTGGACAGAGCCAAGAATTTGGAGGCCAAGGGATGATATTTGATATGGACTCGGATGAAATGGAAGAGCTGAGTCAAGTGCCTACCTATTGGACAGCTCTTCGAGCCCCGCTGAGATTCCACCGTCAGCCCGGTAGCCTCCAGCCTCCTGCCTACGATGCCGCAGCGAGAAGCAGTAGGCAGGATCAAGCTAAGTAAATCTAGGTCGAGGTTACGAAGGTTTGATACTACGAACACGGCTAAAGGATCTTGGAGCTGGAACTTCTCTTTAGGGTTTAGATAAGGAAGATATAGAACTCGTGGCCGGTGAGCTACACGATAGTCAACGGTAATCAGAACGGGTGTATCGAAAATGTTGTAATTGAACGACCAACACCCCCTGTCCTTCTCATAAGTGGACACGTGATGTGAAGTCGGAAGCATTCCGATGATGACGCCAGCTAGCGCGGGACAGACCCGACCAAGTTGTCTTTTTGGACCTCACCCTGTCCCTCGACGCGTGAATCAGCGTCCAAATCCGCCAAGCCGCGGCCATTATTAATGTGTTCTGCATGAATAGTTATCTGGGTATCCTGAAATGCCGGAGCAGGAACCGCGCCAACGTCGTCGCAAGGTGACGCTGGCCTGCGAACCCTGCAGGGAACGCAAGGCTCGTTGCGACGGAGTCAAGCCGCTCTGCTCGACGTGTCGCCGTCGGTCGCTGGGCATTGAGCAATGCGTCTACAAGGTGGGGAATGCGCGGACAGCATGTAGTGATGAGTAAGTAACTGTATTTGGATAACCAAGTTCAGACTTCATCTCACATTGACTGACCAATTGTTGCAGCTACACAAAAGCTCTCCACGAGCGTATTCGCCATTTGGAGCAGGCTTGTGCGTTGCATGGTATAGACCCTGACGCTCTCCCCGATGCACCCAATGACCAGCCTGTCAATACACAAAGTCAAGCTGAATTGGACGCCATCGTCATGGGAACATCGCAGGGTCAAACCCTGACTCCATTGTCATCAGCTGCAAATGAGGGGATGGAAACTTCCAACGACTCACGGCGAGTCACTGCTATGGGAACAACTACAGTCGCAGAAGACATTGGACAATCCCATGACACGACTCAATCATTCTATGGTTCGTCTTCTGCTGCTTCATTCTTGAAGGAGGCTTGCGGGACTGTGAATCCTCCTTTGTCCTCTCAGACATCCAGAAACCCCCAAGTCACAACCCCGGAGCCCCCATCTCTTTATAGCGGCATTGAAACACTCGTTCTTCCACCACGATCTCTAGCAGACCATCTCAAAGAGAGATACTTCAAACAGGTCTACTATCTCTACCCTATCTTTGACAAAGAGGCTTTTGAGCATGCCTATGAGTCACTGTGGTTACCGAGTGGACAAGCCACAAGCCCAGAGAAGTATCGAGATCTCGGGCTTGGAGGAGATGCTACCACGATTGCATTCCATTCGTCGCTCAACTCCATATTTGCCCTTGGATGTATCTTCTCGGACCTTTCAACTGCAGCCAAAACGACAGCTTACGAAGTCTTCTTCAACCGCTCTAAACAAAATATTGGTCTTGATCTGCTCGATATGAACGACTTGAGCGCTGTGCAGACGCTACTATTGGTAGCTCTGGTCTTACAGGGCACTCCCTTTCCGGAGCGATGTTGGAATGCGGTCGGTGTAGCATGCCGGATGGCCCAAGGCCTAGGGTTGCACACCATGCCAAAGTATGACGCCCAAGAATCGCGGGTGTGGCGGATTCGGCGCCGTACGTGGCACGGATGTGTTGTGTTGGATACGTAAGAACCCTGGAGCTTTATTACACTGGTGTGCTAATAATTTCAGGCTTGTGAGCATGACACTTGGACGGCCAACCATGATCACCAACCTCCCCGCACTTGCTGTACCGGCAAGTATGGACTTCAATACCCAGAACGCAGAGGGAAATGAACAGATAAAGCTTCAATTTCAGCTTGAAACTGTGCGGTTGAGTATCATTCTGGATAGTATCCTGTCAAAAGTTTACCAGCCTTGGCAATGTAGGCTTCTTCATGATGAGCAGAGTCTTGCGTCACATGCAGATACGGCTTGTCAGAGTATGGATACTTTCGTTGAGCTTCAGGGGCGACTGCAAGCTTTCGAGCTATCTGTGGCAAGCCTTCTTTCGTGGAAGACAACATTGACCACAGATTCTGTCTCACCAGAGGTTGCCAGGATTCTTGCCATGCAAAGAAATGTCCTGCATGCACGGTAAGATTAATCTTAGATGCAATGGAGCCCTAGATTCAACATGTTTACTGACCCAGCTTAGCTTTACTTACATTAGTCTCATGCTCTACCGGCCCGTATTGACACAACTGCTCTCCTCCGATGTCTCGGATGATGTGGATTATGACTTACAGTCATCTTTCAAGCGAGATGGGGCACGAGCATGCGTGAGGTCTGCGATTAGACTCATCAACGTTGTCCACGACACCTTTCGCACAGACGCAACTGAAGCGTGGTGGTGGAACGCTCTATGTAGTCGCACATTGTCCCTCTGTGTTTCTCAACTAACCAACGCTGTAGATGCCTGTACCGCTAGCCTTGTGCTCATGACATGCCGCCTGTGTCCCTCGCTATGGGTTACTCTAGATCAGTCAATAGTGGTCGAATCGTGGGAGAAATGCCACGCAGTTCTCGAGGCGATCTCTCCGTTCAGCCTGTCTATTCGAAAATCGTTCGATTTACTATTAAAGATAAACCAGACCATCACAGCAAGACAACAAGGTCAGTGAAAGAACAACTCCAACTCTTACGACAACTAACGATTGGTGGTTCAAGATTGTGCGGCAAATGAAAACTCGGAACAGAACTTTGTACATGAAATGTTGGACTCAGTCCTAGAGGGAGACTTGTCCCTGCAAGATGCTTTGACAATATCGTTTCCGTTCGATACTGACACTATGGTTTTTCCGGGTTGGGAAGGGATGAACTTGGCAGCAGGGAACTGAAGAGGGGACCCGGGAAAATGAGGCTATTTATTTTAACATGTATACCTGTATAATCTGTATATTTAATCTTTCTTATTCTAGTAGTCTCTTATCGACTTGTTAGTCATGAGAGTAACAGCATAGCATGCATATCGAGACAATACCACTCATTAAATAACCCCGATGCGATGTAACAGTAGATTTATTAGTATGACACGCTCAAATTATACAGGTGCACTCAAATTCTCGCAGTCTCCTGCCTCTCCATTGCCAACTCTTTGGCAATGCCCGTACCGATCCGTTCACAAATGGCCATGGTGGTGACCATGGGGTTTACACCACTGGCACTGGGAAGAACACTCGCATCAGCGACATACAGCCCTTCACAACCCCAAACCTTGCCAAACTGATCCACAACACCCTCGCTTTCCTTGGCGCTCATGCGGCAGGAACTCATCTGGTGAGCGGAGCAAAATGGTGTCTCTGGCGTCTTGTTTCCATGTGCTTCCATCTCTTTCAGCCAAGATTGGAACCTCCCATCCGTGATTCCCGCAGAGTCGTCAACAGGATTTGCAGATCCTTCCTGAGCGCGGATGAATGGTCGAAGGCCTGGGAGGGCGGGATGAATTTCCCGAGCGCCTTGGACGTAGAGGATCTTCGCCAAGGCGATCATGCCCGTCAGATTTGAGCGGGTATCATATTTGGAGGGAGTATACGCCACGCGAGGCGTGCCTCGTGTTGGGTCAGCGAGGACTTGGCCACTGTCGCGATCCCGGGTGATGGCAATGAATATCTCCATGTGGGGATATTTGGATAACAATAGTTTGTAGTCAAGTCCAGAGGTCCAATTCAACCAGGGAAGAGACATGGAAGGCTGCCAAGGTTAATATTTTCCCAAGGAGAGCATATGAGATTACTTACTATCATTGAGACACGTTCTAGCTTGACACCATGACCTTTTCCGTCAAGGTTATCAAGGCTTGTCACGACAGAGGTGAGAATTCCGCCTGCTGCCTGTTAGCTAGAGGCCCTTTGAGTTAGAAGGTCGCTAACTTGCCTTCCCATGGGCGTGTTTCTTGTTCGAAAACGCCTCCCACGAATGTTGTTGGATGCAGATGCAAATTGCGTCCGATATGCTTGTTCTGGGTGTAATTATGAGCACAGCAACCTCTCAAAGTGAAGGCTCATTACTTACCCTTAGCCCGCTGTTCTTCAAGATGATAGGGCTGCATAGACTTCCTGCAGAAACGACAACTCTCTTCGCCTTGATGGTGACCACTCTAGGCGTCGTATCCTTGGAGTTCTTTGGTGTCCAGGTTCCTATAACGCCACGAGCGACCTGTTTACCACGCTTCTTCTTGAAAAGCACCCTCTCAACCTTGAAGCCTTGGATGAACTTGGCTCCGCACTTGGCCGCATCAGGGAACCATCCGTTCACTGGGCCTTGCTTCTCCCCCCTCCCGCATCCCATCGCGCAGTGTCCATCGTGATGCTCACAATTACCAGTGTTTTGGGGGACGGGCTTTGCGCTGAACCCCAACTTCCGCCCGCCTTCGAGGAGAGTTGAGTTGCCATGGTTGTGGCGAATGAACTCGTCGCTAACGCCCATGTGCTCACAGACAGAGTCAAGGTGAGCCTGGAACTCGGATGAATTGAAGAAGGTAAGACCTCGTTCGTCCGCCCACTCATCACGCACCGTGTTTTGGGTTTGCAGGCACGCGCTCCAGTTGATTGTTCCACCGCCGCCGAAGCACGATCCCGCCGTAACGGTGATGGACCCATCTTCCGAGGCTAACATGCCACTCTGTTCGAAAAGATGGAAGAAGCCTTCGCTATGGTCAAGAGGAAGCGAGGAAGTTTCGAAATGATAGCCTTTGTCCACAACGATGACGCGATGGCCTGCCGTGGCGATGGCCCTCGCAACAACGCCAGCACCACAACCTGAGCCTACGACGATGACATCTGTTTCCAGTTGAATCGGATGTCGCGATGTGTTGAAGTCCGTAAATTCGAAAGGATAGGACTCGACCGGGTGCCATCCGGAAGGGGCTGATGGGTAACCAGTAATCTCGTCGAAAAGAGGACTCGCGCGAACATAAATATGCTTGGCGATTTGCGAAAGCTGTTTAAACAGCACACGGAAACTAGCCAAGGAGCTGGTTCTCCAAGAGTGCAGCACACGTGTTCGGTCTTTGATAGATAATTTGGAGAATGGCGTTAGACGACCGGTAAGAGGGAGAGTCGTAGTCCAGTTACTGTCGTGACAACGTCAGTCAGCGTTTAAGAAGACAGGAAGAAACTCACTCGATCAGTGAGAGGACGCTGTGAAGCGTAGCTAGTTTGTCAGGAGGAAAGCCGGCCAGCATCCGCTTCAAGATATCTCGAAAGAGTGGTATATCGGAAGGCTTCTCAGCGAGGAAAGCATCGAACGTAGACGTGTCGGAAAGGTCAAGGCTAGTATTCTGCCGGAGATGCGTCATGGTCTTTTCGTATTTGGTATCGCTAAGAGCTGCAGCGTCCACGTCATGAGGTTCATTTTTCTGACATGACGACAGGACGGTATCCATGACTGCCAGTAAGGTTTGCCATTGCGCTTCGGGCAAAGGATCTGGGTTTGGGGCCTCTGGAAGGCCAACTGAGCTGGGGTTGATCATCGCAATTGGGTTTTCTGCCATGGTGTTATTCGGTCGCCGGGGAGTTGTATGTGAGCTGTGGTAGAAAGATACCTCGGAAAATGGATCAATTGTCGCTCGATTTAAAACGATCAACTCGGTTTTAACCGAAGAATATCACATGCCGAAATTCATTGGTGTACCCCGGATTTACCCCGCATTCTTCGTCAATTTCTCGTCCATTTATTAAGGTCGTGATGCCGTGTCACGGGTTGGTTCCGACGGAGGCCCGCGGAACCCGGATCGTTACCGTTGGCCTCAGCTCTGTCTCATGCCAAGCCTTTAATGTGCTGTTGTCTTGGATCATTATTATACCTTGCGGCCTTGCTCGTATTCTATCCGGGGATTTTTTGGACATAAAATGTTGAAGATGCATGAGTATACTGGTCCATCTGAGGACTGAAGTTGTTTAACCTATCCAGATGACAGATCAAAGTAACCTAGGTGCATGTTCACTTGATCAACCGTGCTATTGGTTGCTGTTTAGGGTTACCGTCCCGGAGCTTGACGCTTCATTCCCCACTGTTGCTCCGTTCCCGCCATGACTCGCTCAGGCTTCGCGTTTCTGGTCAATGAAGGACGAGGGACTTGGTACCACCAAGCTAACTTGGTTTCAACCTTCTTGTGTGAAACGCGTATATCCGCCATCGTGGAGCCATGTGGGAGCCGAGGCTTTGTAATTAGCACTTCAAGGTAGGGGTTATGTGGCCAAATGGTGGACGGCCTGGTTCCGCGAGCAATCCTCAGGCAGAACCGGAATAGACCCGTCTCCCGTCGGGGCCCCGGGATGGTCAAGGGGCCGAGTTGGCAACGCGCTTGAGACGGAAGCTGGATTCTCGGCAGATGAAATCGGGGTTGAGATTCTGGGGTCCCCGCATGCTTCCCCACGGTACTAAAACGGTCACCTCGGCACAGGGAGCAATCTGAGATCTTGTCGTCGTCTCGATAACCAGCTGTTGATTCAGTCAAGTTTGGATGTCGATATCGGCGTGCTGCTTCCGACGATGCCTGTTCCATTTTCCGCGTGGGAGAAGCTTAAGCTAGCTTTCCGTCTCACATGCCTTGGTACGACTAACAACCCATCAGACTCGTTCGTTACCTACTGACATCTCTTTTCGCATAGCGCCTTGGCAGATATTTGCCTCCATAGTCCGTACCCTCTCCATCGCCTGGGCTAGAGGCGTTCCGTCCCGCCTGTATCTTGTGTGTGCAGTCGTCAAAGTGTTTCTCGGAACCTTCTCTCCCCGCCAGATTCAATACCTGTCTCTCCCGACCAAAGATGCATACAAATCATGGATGAAGCAAAAGATCGCCAAGGAAAAGAAGATTGGAAATACGGAGGCCATTGAAAGACTTTCCTACGATCTAGAACCTCTAGAGGACGGGCATTCGTCAATTCTTTGGATTGGCGATCGACGGAAAGCAAAGAAGGTCGTTCTGTTTTTCCATGGCGGTGGATACATTTCGCCATTGTTGCCTGGGCATCTAGAATGGTGTTGGAGAGCATATATCGCTGCGGGCATTGAGGCGAAAACCGAAGTCGCCGTGGCAGTCCTCGAATACACGCTCTGCCCCGAGGCGAGGTATCCGGTACAGCTTCGCCAGGCTACGAGCGCCCTAACCCATCTTCTCTCCCAACAAGTTCGTCCTGGAGACATTGTTATTGGAGGAGACTCTGCGGGTGGAAACTTGACAGCCCAGTTACTGAGCCATCTTGTTGAACCACACCCTACAGTCCCAAAGGTTACTTTGTCCGAGCCGCTGCAGGGTGCATTCCTTGTCTCACCATGGGTGACTCGACACACCAATGATGCATCCTACTCGGAGAACTCTTGGATTGATATGCTCTCGGGTCCGACTGTGGATAAGTGCAGCAACGAGCTACTGGGGGCTGCAACGACCGACGAGAATTATGACAAGTCGGCCAACCTCGCATGCCCCCTGGACGGGGACAAGTCCTGGATGAAAGGAATAACTTCTATTCTCGATCGAATGTTCGTCACCGTTGGAAGTCACGAGGTCTTCCGAGATCAAGCGGCGGCTTTCGTTCATGAGGTGCAACATTCAAACCCAGAGCTGAATGTGCAGTTCGCGTTGCAGACCAAGCAGGCACATGACTTTATCTTGCTGGAGGCTCAACAGGAACGTGACGGGGAATGCATCCTGGAAATGAAGGAATGGATGAAAGATGTGTTGGCGAAGGAGATTGAAAGTGGTTCGGAGTGAATACGGGAATGCAGTAGGTAGAGCAGCCAATATCAAATAAGAGAGTACCGAGGCAGACTTCTTGCCTATCCGAGGGAGGCGGCATGTCGGTGACAAATTGTATTTCAGCTGGCTTCAATCTCCATGTATGTTCTATTATTACGAGTACTTCTAATCTATAAGGACAAAGATAAAAACAGAAAATAAAAGTCGAGTGAAAAGAAAAATAGTAAAATCACAAAGTAAAGTGCAAGTTTTGCGAGGCCAGTTCCTCCTCCTTTAATCCTCTCTAGTCCTCTCTTGCAAGAGTACAGCCAGCCACACGGCTCCATCATTTCGCGGTCTTGGAAGCCTTAGTCCGTAGCTTCATCAGGAGAAACACCAGACAGTAAGAGCTCAAAACAAAGAGAGCGACGATAACCGCATCACGCCACCCGTAATAGTACTCCTTCAAGTTGAGAGCCCAGAAGTAGTCGTTGCTGTTCTGATACGGGCAAACGAGACAAGTGGTCGTGTCATCCGGGTTGGTCAGGTTCCCAGCGACTCCTCCCATCGTAAGATACGACGAAAGGTACTCGCCACAGGTCGATCCATCTGGTGGGCTGAAGGCCGCAAATTCATCATCGGAACAATGAATTGGAAGGTCCCAACTGCTGAAAGTTATCAAACTTCCCATGATATAGCTAAAGGGATTCAGCCAATACAGCCAATAGCGCCAGAAAGCCGTGATTTGCTCGTACGAAACCAGTACACCGCAAAACATGATCAAGACACCCAAAACAAAGGGGTTGATGAGCGAGGCAAAGACCGGGTTGGGTGCGTATGCCGCAATGAACTGCCCAATGCCGGTGTAGAGGAATTCGTACATGAGCATGACAAACAGGGTCGAGCCGGCCCTCTCTGCGGCCACAGGGAATCCGACTGTATAATACCAACAGGCAAAATACAGGATCGCACAGATAATCAGGTATGGCGTCTCTGAGATTATCAACCCGCTGACAAAGGCGATCCAGGAATAGGCTTTCGACTTGCTCTCGCGTGCCTCGAAAAGATTCCGGCGCTCGATAAAGAGTGGCTGCAACTGATTGATGACTCCGGGTGCAACGAAAATGAAGTTGAAGATAGTGAAGATGCGTAGTTGCAAGTCGTCCAGTGAGTCTCCAATTTGCCAGAATGAAAATCCGTTGTAAAAACCACAGAAAATGTGCAGTATGAACTTGTTGTTGATGTAGCCTGTGTTGCGGAACAATGCAATGTTCATATGCTGCGTGACGAGTTTGATCTGGGTCCAGAGAGGCTGTGCAAATTCATGCCCATCATCCGTTGTGGCTGGCGGCTTCGAAGCAGCTTCTGACAACATCAGGTCAAGATGCTCTACAGCCGCATCATGTTCTGTTGATTCTCGCCAGACCTCAGCCCAATCTCGTTCGGATTCTTTACCCGAGATAACGTCGATGATATGTTCGGCCGGGTTTGCCTGTTGAGGACAAGGCGCTCCGTTTCGGCCGAAATATGCCTTGACGACGTCGGCATTGTCACCAATATCTCCAAAATATGCCATCTTGCCACCACGGGCTAGGAGAAGCAATGTGTCGAATTGTGACAAGAGCTGGGCAGATGGTTGGTGAATTGTAACCAATATTGCCTGGCCAAAGTCCGCGAGCCTCCGGAGAAACCGAACAATGTTGAAGGCCGACTGTCCATCGAGGCCCGAGGTAGGTTCGTCAAGAAACAGAAGGATGCTAGGCTTTGATACCAACTCGACGCCGATGGTGACACGTTTCCGTTGTTCAACAGACAGACCGTCACCAACCGTGCCGATCAAGGTGTCAGCAAGATCTTCCAGCTCGAGCAAGCTGATAATCTCATTGACATATCTCAACTTGTCCTCGCGGGCAACATCGCGTCCTTGCCTCAATAACGCTGAAAGCTCGAGGGCCTCACGGACTGTGGCGTATGGCTCGTGAGCATCGAATTGCTCACAGTACCCAGCTGACCGTTGAAACGAGATCGGGAGAGGACGGCCGTCAACCATGATGGATCCTTTGATGGACCCTTCAGTCTTCCGCTGCGCCAGGACATCGAGTAGTGTTGTTTTGCCAGCTCCGGAAGCGCCCATAAGCGCCCCTAGCATCCCTGGTTTGACCCAACCGTACACGTTGTCGAGTAACTTTCGGTCACCTTCTGCCGTTTTGACCACATAGGAAATGTCCTTCCAGGTGAAGATCGAGGTGTTCCGGATGAGTGAGCCATCCGACGCCTGGTATGGACGAGGCTCACTTCCGACGGTATCCTCACCTGAGTACTGGGACTCCTCATCACTGGATCGAGGAGTTGCCGTCTGACACTCATGTCTCTTCTCACTTGGCGTAAGAAGCTTCGATGAGCTCTGAGAAGAGAACTTCCACCTTGAAGTTGAAACCACAGTGATGGCCACAAAGAGCGCCCACCAAGCCCAAATAATTCCAAAGTTCCTCCAAAGGTCAGACCGACTGTATGAAAAAGATTCAAGATACAAATCTCCCGTGACGAACGTCTGTCCTGGGATTGCACCAGCAACGCCTGCGCAGGATTGATGGTCCATGCTGATGTTGTTGTAAGCCGGGCCGACGGGCAACAAGTTGGCTCCGACGCATGGAATGGTTTTGCCGCTGAATTCGTTGGATATCAGGGCATTGAATGAATATGCCAGGGGGTTGATCCAGTAGATCCAGACAAACCAAGGTTTCATGTCCGGTTTTGGAATCATGAAGCCGGTGTACAAGACACTTGCAATGATAGCCAATCCGGACACCTTGGTTGCTTTGTCGAATGTTGTGAACGCAGCGCCGATGGCTCGAAACAAGGCTGTCATACACTGTGAGTCTTTTGTTAGCCGACTATGCTTCTCCCAAAGCCTCTCAAGTCTTGACGTCTCTGAAGGGACGGGAGCTCACGTACCATTGTGGTGGACACCAAAATGGCCCAAAATATGAAAAAGGACTTTGCCGACAACGTCAAGCCAACCATAAAGTACAAGACCAAGGAAAAGACAGATATTTGTCCCAGGATAATGGGAATATCGGCCGCAATCTGCGCAACACAGAACGTGGCTGGATGAAGCAGAGCAAACGATCTGTGCTTCGCAAGGACTGGTCTTCCTGAGAAGGAGTCGGTGACTTCCGACATGGCCAACAGCGTGTTGAACATGATGGCGAAGAAGATGGCGCTGGATCGTGGAGAGATGCCGGCCGACGTGGTCGGGGCGTCGTAGAAAAGGGAGCCCGCAACTAATGCTTGCACCAAGACTGTGGCTTGTTTGGTCCAAAAGGTGACCTTGTCGCCAAAGATGACCTGGTATTGTCTGACTGTACAGGCGCGGACTTGAGAGAGAAAGCCCACAGTCAGAGGACTTTTCTCTGGTAAACGGGAGCTCTTCTCTCCCTGTATTGTCGCTTGGAATTGTCTCGTCCAAACTCTTGCCTCGGTCGTCGAAGGATATTCGTATTCAGCCGTTGTTTGTGAGTATATCTTGGACTCTTCGTATTTTTCGCGGATGGCTTCAGCACTTCGAGGAAAGCTCAGCTCGAATCCTGGGCGAATGATCCGTTCGGTCTCGATCGTGATTCCGGTCAAGAAGTCGGCGACGTTGGTGCTCTCCCTGCACTGGAAGCCAAGACCTTCCATGAATGGACGCGCTTCCTTGGTTGGGCCGTAGAAGATCTGCTGACCTTGCTCGAGTATGAGGACTTTGTCAAATAGGTGATAAATGTCGTTGCCGGCTTGGTAGAGGGTCATGATAGAGGAGAGCCCGGAGCGGTCGGTTAGGTCTCGGATCGTCTTGATATACTCCAGAGCCCTGCCAATTGATAAATATGTTAGCCACGCTAATTGCTTCAATTTTTGAGTCCGTCGCTTGTTCAATAACTTACGTGCTAGCATCCAGCCCCCTAGTGCTATTGTCCCAACAGTATATCGACCCTTGCGTAGTAAGACACTCGGCAATCGATACTCGTCGTCTCTCTCCGCCTGACACTCCACGGATGTACTCATTCCCTATCTTGGTGGTGGTGGTATGATCGATACCCAGGGCGCGCAAAAGAGAGTGAGAAGAGTTTTCCGAGGGCGATTTGGTCGACGCACGCCGATCCGAAGATTTCAGATGAGCCGCAAAGTCCATTGTCTGGCCAACCGTCAAAGATGGAAAGAATATCTCATCCTCTGAGCTTAGAATGATCTGGCCACGATAGCGCTTTGCTTCTGTGGCATCCATACTGCCATAGTGGACGTCGCCAGACACTGAAGCGTACCCATTCCGTTGGTTCGCCAACACATTCAGGAGGGTTGAGCACCCGGATCCAGGACGGCCCAAGACGAGGAGCATTTCACCAGGCTTAACGCAGCCATGGCTATTGTCGAGAATCGTTCTCTTCGCTGGTCTGCGTCGCAAGCGGTGGAGGGTCTTGATGGGATTCAGCTGAGATAGGACATTCTCGTGAACAGCCGCATCAGAGGAAGCCACCTGGACGGACAAATTCTTCCAGGTTATTCCCAATTGTCGAGGGGGTAGAGTATTGTCTCGACGCGGCTCTTGAGTTGCAGTTGTCGGAGCAAGGGGTGATGAAGGGTTACCGTACGCCATGGCGAGAAGCGTGATGAAGAAAGAATGACGATGAACGATCAATAGTGCAGTCTCCAAAAAGATTTTCTGTCTATCATTGTTTTAATATTCAAAGAAAGTGTGGAAAAGGGGAAAGATAAGGGAGACTCGTCAGCAGCTGTGGAAATGAGGTGGAGCAGACCTGCGTACGCCGTCGGGACGGTTCCGACGAGGCCATTCCGGTAGGTATCAACACATGGAGCATCGTGGCGAGATGATGACGGCCCCAGTTAGGGCCTTATACGACTCCTAAACTCTGTGTTGATTCTATTGGCTATGGCAGAAGCAATCGGCCATTTCGTAAAATGCCCCCTTTGCCTCAACACTATGGGTGAACTTCTTGAACCCATAAGATCATTGAAGGATATTTATAAGCGTCAGATTGCAAATACTAGCTAATCATACAAACAATAACTGGCGATATCAGCAACAAAGCCCTGAAGTTCAGAGAAAGCTACGCCGGCCCAGTCACACCTTCTTCTCGAGGCCATGGCAATGTTTAGCTCTGCTGCGAGATGTTTAAATGCGCAGGGAGACGCTTCAACAGCACCGGCAGGTTGCTCCAGATCTTGCCGAGATCTCTCTTGTTCATCCGCCCGATGATACAAAGCATAAACACCGAAAACAAGCCACCAGTGACAAGAATTGCTTTGATTACTCGTCGAAACATCGAACTCTTGGAACCCTAGGATAATTAGTTGTTAAAGCTCAAAGAATCTTGTAGCAAAGAACTCACAGATATCGCCCAGTCGCTCCAGGTTGGAAACGCACTCCGGTACCAGAAATAGGCTTGCGAGTAGGGATAACTCATGGCGTTCCATGTTTGGCCCTTTTCCGGACTCCCTTCAATATACCAACTCTGACACCCAGAGTTCCAAACCGTGTTGGAAAGATCATGCTGGATGCGGTCGACGTAGAGCTTCTCAGCCTTGGGCTTGAGTTCGACTGTACCCATCTTCTCAGTGAGCACAAGCTTGATTACACGCAGTGCAAAATTGACACTGTTCTCTGCTGCCATGATCGCAGAGGTATGGCCTGTCGCTGCGTTGGGTCCTAGTCATGGTCAGATTCCAACTTTATTGAGAGACAGGACGGTCCCAGGAACTTACCAAGCAGGATGAAGAAATTGGGGAATCCACTCATGGAAGAACAATTGTAAGCTTCCGCACCACCAAATGAATCCCAGTGCTCGTCCAGTGTCCCGTTCCTCCCTACAACTTCTATGCCACCGAGAAACTTGTTTGTGATATATCCGTTGGCCATGACAATGACGTCTGCTTCGACGAAACCATCCTCAGTCTGGACTCCATTGGCCACGATCTCCATAGCAGGTGTGTTGGTCAGTGTGAAATTCTTAGAGTTTAAGGCTTCGAGGTAGCCGGAATCAAAGATTCTCCTCTTGCAGCCCACCTCAAAATCAGGGATCAGCATGCCGTGATACTTCTCAGGGGCTGTGCGTCTCATGTATTGCTCCGCCTGCTTGCGACGGTTTTGGCGGAACTTGGCGGCCGACTTTGTCATTGGAAATCCTCTGAGTTCGTTCTCGGCTGTTAAGAAAACGAGGAAACGCTGCAGTGTCATAGTCCCAGGTATGTACTTGAAGATGTTTCGCATTGCATCTGTTTGCGCCCCGTCAATAGGCGGAAGAATCCAATGTTTTGATCGGATGAGTTGTGTGAGATGTTTCGTCTTGCCGACGATGGATGGCACAATCTGAGCTGCAGTGCAACCGTTGCCAAAGACCACGACATTTTTGTCCTCTAGCTCAACGTCATGCCGCCATTTAGAGGAATGGAAGATGGGACCTTTGAATTTCTCAACCCCAGGAACGTCGAGTTCCCGAGGTTGAACGAGTTGGCCGGTACCGGCGAAGAGGAATTAACACTCGTGGATGAAAACGTTATCCGTGTTGATGTGTCGAACATGAAGGCGCCAACGTTTGAGTTGACCAATCCATTCGCACTTTTCGACGTTCATGCCGAAGGACATCTTGGGAGGTAGATGGTACTTGTCGGCGACTTGCTTTAGATACCTCCAAAGCTCATCATGCGAAGGCAAGACGCGACTCCAGTTTGGATTCGGCTCGAAAGAATAACTGTAGAGAGCGCTTGGTACGTCGCAGGCACACCCTATCTTGATCAACACCACGCTTCTGTCAAGGGGCATCGTATTTACCCGGGTATTTGTTTCCAAACCATGTGCCACCCAACTCAGAGTATCGTTCAAAGAACTGAATGTCGCTGATGCCATACCATCGTTTCAGAGTCGCCCCAAGACAGATGGCTGAGAATCCAGTGCCAATGCAAGCGAACTGGCTGTAGTTCCTCCGACTAGTTTTCTCTGATGTCATCGTCGCAGAGGTGGTGGCTGGTCAAGTGTTTGTACGCTATCAGCTTTGTTGGCCAGGAAGCGTTAGGTATGCTTTGACTTGAGCATTTGAACCGTGACTAGAGATAGCAAGTAAATAAATTCATCAACAGAGTTGCTTCCCCGCACACGATCGTATTTGCCGAGGCTGTGCGTATGTACGTGAAGCTGCCAAGAAGCCATCTCGCTGTGGCGTTGTGGACGGGATGCCTCCGAAAGCCTCTATCGGAGCACTTCCGCTATCCCCGACTCTGCTGGTCCTGCAAGCCACGGCGGGGTTGGCACCTATCAACTACCGTTTACCGAGTTTTTCAAGTTTCACTGCATGTGAAAGGTGACGAATGCATTGATTGTCAGGTTTGTCGTCCTTTAGGCGGGTAATGCTCGTTGCGTTGGCTATGGAGATGGAGTGTAGTCATGCTGTTTTCTCCATAAGCGCCGATCCAGTCACACTCAATATTATGGATGACACTACGTCTTCTATCCTAGTTTGCTCAACTCTGAAGCAATGCTCCAGTCTTTGGATCCAGCTTCTGTCTTCCTCTAAAATCAACCTGCGTATTACCAGTTGCCTCTCTTGCTAAGCGCCACAGCCATTCTGGTCCTCCTTTCTATCTCTAGTTGTCAATATGGCCTCACTCAACATCCAAAACCGGGAACAGGAAATTGGATTGATTCGTTTTGCCTTTGAACAACGGCGTGCGAGTGAAGCTGAGAACAACAAGTGATAGTCTGACACGGGTTGCCTTTTTCAGCTCTAACTGTAGCGCCTAGAATTTTTAGACCTTAAATAACATCGCTGAGGAACTTTACGCAGACTCACCTCATGCAAGGCTATCAGTCCAGCCTTGGTTGCAGCATAGTCTGCCACTTTGGCCGGTGGAAGAAATGCGCTCATTGAGCTAATGTTGACGATGTGGCCATGGTTGCGAATGACCATCTCTGGGCAAAACTCTTTGACAAGCAAGAATGGTGCGATGAGATTCGTCCGTATGGTGACCTCCACATCCGCGTACGATCCATCACAGACCGTGGTACCTCGACAAATGCCAGCATTGTTAACAAGTACCGTAGGATGGCCAACTTCATTTCGGATCTGTTCGCAGATGACACGAATTCGGGAGCTGTCGCTGAGGTCGCATTGGTAGTACTTAGTGTAGGCCTCTTCAATTGGTGTCCAGGTTAACGGGACGTAGTCAATGATGACGATCATTGTCTTTGGATTCCGAGCATGCAGCTGTCGGGCTAGATGAGCTCCAATGCCGCTGCTGCCTCCGGTGATAACTACAATCTCCTTGTTCCAATCCCAATCCGGGTCAGTGGTCCAGTTATTATGAAATTGCTTGTTCAGGAAGTTGGTAGCCCACAGCAGAAGACTCAAAGCAGCGAGTGAGTAGGTGTAGGGTCGTGCGGCCTTCAGCGACTGGCTCCACTCGGAATCGGTCGAACTGTAGATTGGCAGCCCGAATGAGCTCGCCGCCAGTGGAATGGTGATGATCGGGTTAAGAAGGGTGATTTGGGCTAGTCTGGCGACATAGTCGACTGTTAACCCTTCTCGTGGGAGTGACGCCATGGTGAAAAAGCGCTATGAATTGAAGATTGGAAGGGGAAGTCAGAGGGCGTTTTCAAGAGCTCTGGTGTACAACAGGGTAGTTTCACCGGTATGTTAATTATCACGGTTTTGGCGACAGAGCTACGAAACCTTGAGCATCGGTGTGGGAAAGGATATAACCTAGCTCCTCTGCAGTACCTGTTGAGAGGTACCTTTCATTGTTGCCGTGGCGGATTGGGACAGTCGGGATTGCTCCGAGTTCCTGCAGTCTATTTCGGGCTTTACCTCGGTGCAGCAAACATGCCTCGGCGGGACTAGTATTTCCCGTGATGGTGTTGGCCGCAGACTGGCGTTCGACTCCGTCTCCCTAACTGTGCGCTGAGTCTTCTCGATCGTCTTTGGCGACGGCTCCGAGCACTGGCGGGGGTCGTGCGAACCGAGTTGACGGTTCCGTGTTGTGCTGCGACCGGACCAATCTTGAGGGGATACTCTCCTCCAGACATAAATCAGCCAAACACATGATTACTCTTTAACTTCAACTTGTCCAGGACCTTCGTATCATCGGCCTCTTACTGAAATCAGTCAGGAGGGCCGCGCGGAGAAAGCTCCTAGCGCAGGCAATTGAGCCATCATCGAGCGACATGCCCTCGGCCTCGCCATGCGGCCGGAAGTAATGCTCAATCCCCCGGCTGTTAGAAAACACAGCAGTCAGCGTGCCGTTAACCGTGTAGCGTGGGCCCGCACGCTGGAAGAGCATGCTTCTGGGCCGCATTTGGTCGGCACCAGAGTCAAGTCCTTACCCATTAGATTTTAGTATAATTTCAAACATTCCATTCCACACTCGGTATCGGTGTCGGTATCGCTTTTAACCAACCCGGCTGCCACACCAAAGCTCTACGCCCGCCTTTGTGGGTTTAGAACCTGAGATACGAAAGCGAGGAACTAATGCCAAACTAACAATTGAGAATGCTTCTGTAAACCCTAAACGGAGAGCCAGCCGCTTACATGCATTTAGCTTGCCTTTACAAAAAGACAACAACTATATATATGGTGATTTCCTTGGCGAACCTGTGAACTGGTGCCAGTCTCAACAAGAATCGATTCATCCGAAAGTCTTCTGTCTTTGAACAAGCATCTCCCTGACTTCGCCCGTCCCCATACAAGCGCACAAAATGGCCGAGTCTGAATTTGTTTACTATTACTACAACCCTTCTCTACCAGCAGCTGTTGTCTTCGTCGTGCTGTTCGGTTTATCTGGATTGGCTCACGTTGGCCAAATTGTGCACGGCCGCACCTGGTATTTCGTACCATTTGTGATTGGCTGTATATGTAAGTCGCAGTCCTTGGCTAAGGCGAACAGTACAGTCAGTAGGGATTAAGCTTACGTGAAATACCCACAGTCGAAGCCATCGGATACATTGGTCGCACTTTGTCAGCCGAAGAAGCGCCCGACTTCACCAAGGTACCCTACATCTTGCAGTCGCTTCTTCTCCTCCTCGGACCCACGTTCTTCGCAGCATCCATCTACATGGTTCTTGCCCGTGTCATCATTCTCCTTCAAGCTGGACATCTGTCTGTCGTCAAGCCCTCTTGGTTGACCAAGGTGTTCGTCACGGGCGATGTCTTGTCATTCCTGGCCCAGAGTGGCGGTAGGTTCTTGGTTCTTACCCCCTGAGGAGGTCATGCTAAGCAAGACTGAAACAATAGGTGGCGGAATGCTTGCAAACGCCAAGTCAAAGAGCGCTACCCAAAGGGCCGAATGGGTCATCGTGGCTGGCCTGGCTATTCAGATTGTCTTCTTCGGCTTCTTCATGCTAGCCACGCTGATTTTCCACACACGTATCCATTCCAATCCAACACAAGCCTCGCGGGAGCTCCAAGTGCCATGGAAAAAGCTCCTCTACATCCTTTACGCCACTAGTGTCTTTATTATGATCCGATCAGTCTTCCGAATCGTCGAGTACATCATGGGACGGGGCAGTGAGCTTCAGGATAAGGAGTTTTGGCTCTATGTGTTTGATGCTTCGCTGATGGCCATGACTTCAATGCTGTTCAACGGTTTTCATCCCGGACGGGTGCTTAGAAGCACGGTCACCACCGTCAAGCCCGAAGCCTGAACGACCGTCCGCCAGCAGAGCAGCCTCGCTGCGATATATACCGATCATCTACCCTAGGGATTGCCTTGTGGATGGAACTGCGGAACAGCCACAGGAATAGTCGTGGACGACCTTTTTCTTAGAAGATTGGATGTGGTTTGTGTCGGGTTTATTTGCGCCAGTACTAGATTAGGTAGGCTTGTGCACTTTGTGGTGACATTGACGCGGGGGTCCTTTTTGTCGGATATCGATTTAGTACATTTATAGATTTGACTTTGCTTAAGCAGTCCTGATTTTGTTTTAGATGCAAACTGATTGATCCTGGAAGCGAGCCATAGTTATAATACTATCCTATCCACCGACTAATCTCGATCGATTTTCGCATTATCCAAAACGCCAGCCCTTGTGGCTTCCTCGACAATCAACCTCTCGTATTCCCTGCTGCGGACGGTTGCCTTGACCGGAAAAGGCTCATCTGTCGATTCCTGGTTGAGGATCCTCCCATTATACGGGCCATCCTATGCATCTTATCAGTAACTAGTTCCAAGACAAGAATTGAGCTTAACGAACCGCCTTGAAGTCGATACACTGAATAAGTCTCGCAATGTTAATGAACAGGCTTCTCTGGGCCAACCGATAGCCGACGCAGATCCGTCTGCCTCCTCCAAACTGCCAGAGCCCGTGGCTGATGTCGGTTTCATGGCCGTTCATCCATCGTTCCGGATAAAACATGTCAGGGTTTTCGCACTCGTTGCCCACTGCGACTTCGTTAATGACAAAGCCTGTACCGGCTGGAAACCTGCAACCCTCAAACTCGATGTCCTGTGAAGCAACATGATCTGGAGTCACGATGAAGATGGGCCGCCAACGCAAGACTTCCTTCGCGATCGCGCATATAAAGCGCAGATCTTCCATGTCTGAAAGAACAGGTAGACGTGCTTGTTCTCCAATGCCACACAATAGATCAATATCGTTTCTTGCCTTGCGAAACGGCCCAGGATACTCCAGCATTGCCATGACCATGATGTTGAGCGCCTCGCGTGTAGTGTCACTCCCCGCCTCGATGAGCTGCATCGCAACGTACATGCAGTCCTGATCATCTCCCTTGTATCTCGTATCTTTGTTCAGAAGAACATCGCGGACAAACGACGGTGGCGCAGTCCCCTCTTCCACCTGTTTTCGGATAGGCGCCCACCATGAGTTGTACACGTCGTAGTTCCAGTCACCCAGGGCTTGCCAGTGACGACGCCACGGCTGCATAAACTTGGGCAACTTTGCAAGATCCGGAAACCAATCTATGACGCTGGATCCAATGCTGCCAACGAAAAAGGTGACGCAGTTTTGAAGGTCGGTCAGCTCTTGAGTCGATTTGCCGAGACGCTCTCCAAGAGCAATCCGATGAATGACGGAATTCGCATAGCGATAGTGATGTTTGTACCACTTTTCGGGCTTGAAGAGGTACTCGGCCATCATCTGGGTGCTTTCAAGCTCCTGCCACTCCCCATATTGCTTCAAAGCGGTGCCGCTGAGAAGACTATGCATCACCCGTCGGCGTTCTGTCCAACTCTCTTGAGGAAGGACCAATGACCTTCCATCACGGCTGACTAGACCACTAGATATGGGCATGGGAGATCTCGTGTTTGTCGCGCTGCCGCGTTTGGCTATAATCTCGGAGACGGTACGGTGAGAGTTGAGAAATATCCAAGTTTTGGATCCGAGATGCACCGTCGTCATTTCTCCAAAGCTCGCAATTTGACGGAGCTTATTACATGTTTAGCAATGTTTGCACTCGGGCATGCGAGACTTACAAACGCGTGGTTCGGATCGTGGCGCCCGTCTTTCAAGCTAAGCAGGTTCCCAAGGATGGGAAGACCGCGTGGGCCGGGAGGAAGACGAGACTTGCGACCATCTTTGAGGTTCCGTTTCCCTGCGGGCTTGAAGTACTGAGCAACAAACACGAATACCAAGAATACCAACAAGGTAATTGTTAGGCTCAAGGCAAAGATCCTCGCCCTTACACTTGAGCGAAGGAGATACTGGCTGACTTGATCGATCATAGTGTAAGTTTAGCGATGGTGATTTGATGTGAAAACGAGTTAGCTTAAGAAACATCCTGGACAATAGCAGACGCAGCATAATTATGGCTTGGGGGACCATTTTCTCATCATGCCCATATGAGCTGAGTCTCGCATAGCCTAATCGGTGGCTGTGAGGAGTCGGAAGGATACCGACGTAGGTACGGAGACATTCCGTAGCCAATCTCAACAGACCCGAAGGGCCCGCCGGGACAGTTCCGAGGACTACGTCACGATTCTATGGTTATTGTTTTTTCGTGAGCGACGTCTGTACAAGGGCCAGTAAGCATAAAACCAAATGAGATAGTTATTAATTATGCATGATGAGACTTTGTGCGTCTTCCTCAATGTTTACATAACTTGGCCCTATGCCAAGGTTAGACCATAACAACAGCCGAAGGAACCCCCCAGTTGGTTCACCCATTAGAACCAGTGTTGTATGAAGTATTCCCCTCAGTGCATCGTATCACAGGCCCCATGTTGCACAGCAACTGGATACAAGTAACCAAGAGTCCCTGACCCGAGGAACCCGAACCTCTCTGCCGAGGACCCGATGAGCCTGACTCGAATGAATGACGCAAATGCCGACCGCCCTGGCATTTGACCAGAGAATCTAACTCTTCACACAAGCTGTACCACCAGGGTCATTTCCCTGCCGTGCTGCATGTCGTGTTTTTCTGCATGGGTCGATAGGACATGAGCAGGTCTTGGTCTCAGTCTCGTAAGACAACTCACTACTTATGAAACACATATGAGCATTGCAATCTCATAGAAACAGTTGGTTGAGAGACATAGGTTGTCTACTGATCTAGGAGTGCTTGAAGCATACATGACAACGTCAGCTTGTAAATATCTTTACTAGGTAGGTAGTATTCTTATGTATTTGCACGGCTGTCCTAAAGGAGTATTTCTTTTTCTTCGACCAGTGTTTTACAACAACGACTACAGAAAGGTTGCCCGAGGCGCGTCGATCTATGTCGTACAGTATATCACACAACATCGGAAGCCGTCATTTCAGCCACCCACAAGTTGATCCGGAGCCGTCACACAATCAATCGCAGTTACCTCAGTAGATTAGTGAGGGGAAATGGTTACATGTGCACGAAAACGAAAGAGCGAACTGAGCGTTCATATTCGCGCGTCATGGGTTGAGCTTGTGTCTACGGGACTATATAAAGGTGTCGGTTCATGTCGACGAGAATATGCCATCAAACTCATCAGGACTCAAGAATCTTCTCTCCCAACACATTTTACATATCTCGTTGCCAGCACGCAAACCAACATGAAGTTCTCTGCTGCTTCCATCCTCTTCCTCGCCCATGGCATCGCCGCCATGCCCTGGTCTTCCGGCAAAGCCAACGAAGACATCACGTAAGTCTTTTACACTATCAACCAGCCCTCCACACCAGAAATAGGGTGGCTGGCTTGATCTTTTCTTGATACGTGGGAATTACTTTGCTAATTAAAGTCCAGTCTTCGTATCCAAGTCTCGCAATCTCCCTCGCATAACGCTCAAGGTTCCGCGCCCAAGGGAGATATTCACCCTGAGAACTTTCAGGTCTGCTTGAAAGTGTGCTGGCCCTCGGTGCCTACCTGCCCTAATGGCTGGGTGAGTGTCTATTGCCCCATCCTTGCTTTGGTTCACGTTAGCTAACATGACACAGTACTCCAACAACATGGTAGCTTACTTCCCAGGCAAGCCAATTTCTATAGATGAAATGACTGACAAAATCACAGGGGACTGCCAACCACCCTTGCTGGACTTGCTGCAAGGCCCCCAGCGACGACTTTCAGCTCTAAGCCGCTTTCACGGCCGTAAGCTTGTCACCCTCGTCCTCAACAATTTTCAACCTCTTTCCTTTGCATCTGGTCTGGAGGGACTCAATATCCGATCATTACGTCATTTTCCGGCCTCTGAACAAGCGCAAGGTGTGGGGATTATTTGGCTGGGTGGCCAACCCCGTCAAGGGTTTCACAGGGAGCAGCTGTTTGTCTTGGCTCAGCACGCATACCATAGGTAGTCAATTTTACACTAATGAGTCAGGAGATACTGAATGCTTCATAACCTTGGTCTACTCTCTTCTCGTGATCTTTAGTTCCACGAAGCTACAAACATGTGTGAATACTAGCAATATGACCACCCGGGCCAGACTCTATAATCCCCATGTCTATCTATGAGTGTGTTTAATGGGTGCTACCTCGCCGGCACAAGCTCGCATCAACGGCTTATTAATATTATGTGGAACAATTTCTGCCGTAAAGTAAAGAGAAAGCTTGCGCCAACGAGAGTACAGAGATTTGTGAGACAAGCTTTCGAGTGTGCACTACCCCGGAGTGGCACTTTGGAGGCTGCCAAGCACATGACCCTTGAAAGATTCAAGGGTCATTGAGCACCCACTTGAAGGCTCCCATTTTGTCAGAAGAGCCGCCGTGTTTCTAACTGTCCGGAGTCGCCTGAACCTCCCCGGGGCGGTCTGAACATGCGGCTCCGTACTAACAAGTGCTGTGCCGCAGCGTCTCCATCAACGTTCCTGGCCAAGCATCGCAAGGTCCGAACGAACCACCTCGGACCGTGATCGGCGGGCGAATGGTGGCAAGGGAAAAGATCCACTATGACTCGAGTAAAGGCGTCAGCGTCTGCCATTGGATGGAGCGGCTGCGCTAGAAAGCTTTTAACGAATTCCAGAAATCGGCTAGAACCAGCGGCATTTGAGCCTCCGACAGGGGAGAAAAAGCTTGCATGCACTTGTCAGCAGGAGGCTGAAAAGTTTATCAACCTCTGTTAAACGCGTAATGATGTCAGACATCTTTGAGAGCTCAAGTAGCACGATACTGATCACAGCTGCAAGATTCAGATCGTTGAAGAACGTGCTCTTCCTGGGGAGACGTTCGAGACAAGCCCTGCGGCTCATGACTGTGGAGAGCTGTTGGCCATCAGACGACAAACGGCCTTGAAAGATTTACCAACTTGTGGGACCATAACGTAACAATTACTCAATTTCCATCACCCAGCCCTAGAATTCGGTTGCATTAATCCCCTGCAATCATAAACCCCGGCAGTTGGGTCATTCGATGTCTTGGCCGATCTCGTTCTAGGTCCCCTAGCCTAGCAAGATCTGCTAAATAGCTTCACCTACCATTAATGAATATTCAGGCCGAACTCGGTGCGCGGCGTCATCGGCATCGCCCGAAAGCTCATCTGTGGGTCGGCTTGACTCGACTCAATGTGATGGTTTTTTTTCTTGTTAATGACCGGTGCCGGCGGACCGCCTTCGCCCCCGGAACCTTCTTTAAACCTTTGAGGCTGCATTTTCTCTTTCTCCAGAAAGCCAATTTCTTATTTACTTACCCCGCGAATTTCGCCGAGGCCTTATAAAGGAAGTGTCCTCACGAACGCATATCGTTGAACCACACATTCCTCAAGACCACAATGGCAGACTTTCAAGCACCGAAGCATCACGATGCCGCCCCAGACGCCGAGAAGGCCGTCAACAATGAAGCCCCTCCTGCTTTCGACACCGCAATCGACAGCGGTAGCGGAGTATTAGATGGAGAGGATGGTGAATTGATTGATTACAAGACTTTGACGTGGTGGTAGGTACGGTCTTGCGACTTTGTCAATTGGTGCTGACCAGGTTCAAGGCAAGGAGGAATCGTCTTGATCGCGGAAACCGTCTCCCTCGGAATTCTTTCGCTACCTTCAGTTCTTGCTACCGTCGGCCTCGTTCCTGGCATCGTCCTGATCCTCGTGATGGGCTGCCTATCAACATACTCTGGTCTCGTCCTCGCCGAATTCAGAAAACAATACCCATTCGTCCAAAACTTTGGAGATGCCGTGGAGGTTATCGGAAAGTCGATTGGAATGGGACGCGTCTTCCAGGAGTTCTTTGGCTGGGCGCAGGTTATCTTCCAGGTCTTTGTCATGGGCAGCCATCTCTTGACCTGGACCATCTGCATGAATACCCTCACTGGCAGCTCTACGTGCACCATTGTTTGGGCGGTTGTTGGTCTAGCGGTATTCTGGGTTCTGAATCTTCCCAGAACTCTGAAGTACACAAGCTACATGTCGATTGCCTGTGAGTCTTCCGCTGACGCTGCATCCTTAACATATAAGCTGACATTTTTCTCTAGCCTGCTTGTCCATCACGACAGCGGTTCTCATCACGGTTGGAGACGTTGCTGCTGAACGACCAATTGGCTCTGGAAGTTTTCACATTGCTCGAGAGCTTGGCTTCACAAGCGCATTCCTGGCTGTCACCAACATCGCCATTTCTTTCTGTACGAGCGCCCACATCACTTCTGTCCCGCATCATCTCTCTAACATCTTCTCTAGCGAGTCACTCTTGCTTCTTCAGTGTCATCGCCGAGTTCAAGAAGCCCGAGGATTGGCCCAAGGCTCTGGCGTTCCTCCAGATCGCCGACACGACTCTCTATCTACTCGCCGCCATCGTCATCTACGTTTTCGTCGGTCCCGATGTTCCCTCACCTGCCCTCTCTGCCGCCGGCTCAAGCACAATGCGCAAGGCCATTTGGGGTATTGCCATTCCCAGTACGTTACTCACCCCCTGAATAGAAAGTATTTCGTACTAACATCGACTTAGCCATCGTTATTGCTGGTGTCATTTACGGCCATGTCGCCTCCTCGTACATCTTTTCAAGACTTTTCCGCAACACCAAGCACATGGTTCGACGAACAAAGCTTTCCAACTTTGCCTGGTTCGGCATCACTTTTGCAACTTGGGCTATCTCCATGGTGATTGCCGAGTCGATCCCCATCTTCAACAATCTGCTGGGACTTATCTGCGCCCTGTTCGCCAGTTGGTTCTCGTATGGCCTGCCCGGAATCTTCTGGCTTTGGATGCACCATGGAAACTGGTTCAAGGATTGGAAGCAGACATGTCGATTTGTTTCCAACGTGCTGCTGTTTCTTACTGGTCTGTTGATCTGTGTTGTTGGCCTGTGGGCTTCCATTGAGGCAATTGCTACGGAAAGCACCACAAAACCATGGACTTGCGCAAGCAATGCGAAGGAGTAGGATGAGATTCGGTGTATCATTTTGTATTACAGGGTGTTTGGTTCAAATTTCGTCTTTTAGCAATGAGGGCATGCATTCCTAATGGAAACACTTATGATTCATATAAGTACGGGGTATTCTAAGATGATTAGCATGAGACCACCTAATTAGAAATCCATCTGCAAGAGCATCATCGAGTCTTTGTGACATGACATTTCGCGTCCTAGTGCGTGAGGAGGCGGGCTTATCTTAATACCTCTATCTTTATTACTTACCGCGTCAGGCCAGCTACTATCCGAGGCATATCTTCAACTAATCTTTCATCCAGAACTTGATCAAGACTTACATACTAGGGTGTCTAAAGGTCCGTTCAATATCCACCCCTAGAATGAGCTGGGTGATAATGAGCAACCTCAACTCGGCAGGACTTCACTGGAAGAGGATACTGTCGTCTCTCATTCATCATCTCATATGACCATACGTCAGCTGTTCTTCGAAAGTTCGAGAGTAAGAGACTACATTGTCATGATTGAATGAAGGATGAATTCAATTGCAGGATATCTATAGCAGGGACAAGTTCGTCCTCGGGCCTTGGCTTGCAAATTTCAGGTTCACCGCCCATCTTACTCCCCCGACTCTTCTCCATTTACTCCTTGCCCGAGTCTCCTGAGCTTGGCACACGCCTCTGGCGCAAGTTACCAGCCTCATCGTGCTCCTCATCCCACTTGGCGACCTCGGCATTGGGGATTCTAACCAGACGATGGGTGTTGGCTCCGTTATCGTCAACGTTGGTGATTTCAGTGCGAATCTGGTAGCCCTTCCACTTGGGTAGGAGGTGCATCCAGAAGACGTAGTAGAGGCCGCAAATAATAACACTAAACCCGGGATTAGTACCAAGAGATGGGGCAGACAGAGGCGTAGGGAGGATAGACTCACATAGCAATACCGACGACACAGTAAGTGGCATACCAGAAGCTGACGTCTCCGGCATAGGGGCCGCCCTTAGGAGGCCACCAGGGCATAACAAGAATGAAGACCTGGATGAGGATGTAGAAAATGACAGCCACATGCCAAGCCTGGAAGTCATTGGTGTTGATGCCGGCCTGCTTGCGTCTTTTTCGAAGAACATAGACTCCAGCAGCCATAGCAAACTTGAACATAGCATCTGGGTAAGTACCCAAGCTCACAACTAGAAGGCAGGTTAGCTAAATACTCGACCAAAGTTCAACTCGCCACAAGGTCCACGTACCAAAGGTGAATGCATCACCAGCTGAAGGAGCAACAATCATGATGAATGTAAGCACCCATTTCACAAAGTATGGGCCCAAAGGTGTTCCAAAAGGCTTCGTAGAAACCCAAAAGTTGGTAAAGGGCAACACGCCTTGCCTAGGGAACGAGATTAGCGTACCACTTGTCAACCCAGGGACCATCGACTCACCTTCCAATCTCACGGATCATTCGTCCAGAACCAATCAAAACGGCCAAAAGGTTACCAAAGGCACTCAGAAGAACGAGGAAGTTGAGCACGTTGGCAGCAGCCTCGGATCCTCCAAACAGCTTGGAGAAGAAAACAGAAGCGGCGATTTCGCTGGCCTCAGCAAACTCCGCCTTGGGCACAACGGCGAAGTAAGCAATGTTGCAAAGCATGTAAAGAATAGCCACAGTGAGCAGAGAAACAGTGCCGTTTCGCTTGAGAGTGGGGATGGGGTTCTGGATCTCGTTGACGACGTTGAAGGCATTCCAGTATCCGGCGTAGGAAAAGACGATGCTGACGAATGCACTCGCCAAATCATTACCATTGGGTGTTTCACCATCGAAAGCGTTGCGGAAGTTGGCCTTGGGATCGGGAATTCGATCGACGTGCCCACCAAGGACGACAAGGCCGGCGATACTGATACTGTAACATGTTGTTAGTGCCTGAAGGAATGAAAGGCAGCAGATTGACGAACAAGACCAGGGTGAGGAGCTTCAGTGCGCCGATAAAGTTGACCAGCCACAATGAATACTTGTTGCTAGCAACCACAAAGATGACGGCGAGGGTGTAAGCAGCAATGGCCACGCCTCGCATCTGCCACTCGCTAGGTGTATCACCGGTCATTCTCCAAAGATACCGAGAAAGAACTAGACACTGTTAGTCTGAGAGCTCTGATGCAAAATCCGACATGACATACCGACAGCATTGCTGCTGCTGAAAGAGAGAATAACCGACTGGACTGCAAAAGTGACGGGGAAGAAGTGCTTGGGCCTGGGATAGGCCTGCTCAAGATACACCACCTCTGAACCACTTCGGTTGGGGAAATAGCTTGCCAGCTCCAGGTAGACGGTGAAACCAGCGGCGGCCATAAAGAAACCGATGACCCAGATGAAGAGGGCCAAGCCGACTGAACCAGATCGGTTCAAGATACTCGCAGCTAGAGGTTGTTTAGTATGAGATTACTCAATGCCAGTTATTGGATGGTCTTACGTGTAGAGAAGATACCAGTTCCAATCATCATGTCTGCAGCAAAGTCAGTCTCAGCCCTCCAACGACGAGGCGAGATACTACTCACTGACGTTGAGAAAGATGACGGTGAGCCATCCCACATGATACCCAAGAGGAGACTTGGACTCGACCGGAGCACCAACAGCCTCCTGATAGGACGGCTTGGAGCCGTTACCTCCCTTGACACGTGTGTATGCGAGACCACCATCGTGAATGACAGAGGGCTCAGAGTCGCTGGCTTCGGGGTCGGTTGAAACGTGGGCCGTGCTCTTGGAGCCGTCAAAAAGGCCTGCGAACCCCATGGTTACTGCACAATGTGTGTGACAGATAACAAGAGGGAAAAGTGCCGGCAGGGCGCGATATCTCGCGTACTGAAGTTGTTGCTGGCGTTGAAGCGCTGAGGCTGAAAAGTGGCGATGGGATGAGACGCTGAAACGTTGGAGCAGAATTCAAGGTATATATTCAATTTGAGATACTTTGAGATACACTTTACGCCAATATCGCCGAGAATGACACAATCCTCCCCAAGGCCATAAAGTTTGCCATGGACCCTGGCAACCTTACTCTGTACTCCTTCGACCAACACACATGACCCCACAAACTCTGGCGGTTCGGGGTGGGATCCCGACCATGCAGGCTATCTGACTTGCCTGCTGCTAGTGGCACCATCTATTCAAGGGTCATATAGACCTTGTGCCTGGGTCCAGGTCAGCTCGTCTCATCCGGGCAAGCTTGGACTTGGATAGTATCAATGCAGCGAGAATAGATTATGCTTTTACAGTGGGTTCTACGGGGAGCTGCAATGCGAAAATACTGCCACTGTCTTCGGCAGAAGCTGTAAATGGCATGGATTTTCGTGTGTTGCACCATAACCAAGCACAAAGTCGCACTGCCAACTCAATCTCATAACCCCCAACCATACACAAGACCTCGGTTCTACCTGAATCCTTTTCGCCTTCAGATAACGACTTTCGCATCCTTAAGCTCCTTCCAAAAAGAGACGGTTTACGTCGTGTTCAGAAACATTGACAACCAGTAAAACGCACCCTGACCCGTTTTCGCCATAGCTAGGATGGGATGAGGTCATGGGCAAATCTGAAGCTCGCTAGTGGGATGTCCGAAAAATTGACCGATAACGACATCTGAAGTCGAGATAGCGTATGGGTAGTCTAGATTCCCCCTACCTTCGAGCTAAAAGAGCTCCCCCAAAGTGGGTTAGGCTAGGGGTACAGCTTGGGAACCCGGGGCTACGGGGGGATGGGCAGACCCGGGAGCCCCCTTGTTGGTCATAAGCTTGGCAATAACTTATTCGGGAGCCAAGATCTCGCTGTGCATCCTTCGACTTTCCATCGTCCCAGTGGGGGCGTTCGCCCAGACCGTGGCGCGTCTTGACGTGCGTTGGCAAGCCGCAAGATGACGACAGCGAAACCGTCTCATCTAGTGGCCCTTTTCAACGGCAATAATGCAATGGCTGAATGGCTAATGTGGTCTTGGCCATTGGCTCGAGATGTCTTGGCAAGCCTCCCGTTGGGTTTAAGCTTGGTGGGATGAACGGCCTCGTGGCGATGGTGATGGCACGTTTCCCGAGACTTTTCTACATGGGGTTTAATGGCAGGGCGAAAAGTGGAAGTTCGGCACCGGCTGAAAATAGGATTTCCGTTTGGCTTCTTATAGAATTCTGGGCCATGTCTGAAGCAGGTGAAAAGCGCGCAGATGGAGGAACTCGATGCATGTGCGACTCTCGGTCACACACATCGACCAGACGGCGCGCCCCCATGCTCAAGAATCTTTGTCAGACTCTAAATTACCATCTGTACTACCAAAAGGCATTTCAGGTGGCAACACAAACTGCAGCAGCGGCCGTTGCGAGTCTCATCCCGCGCGATCAGCTCAGATCCCTACCTGACTCGCACCTCATCTCTCCACCCACAGACACCGGAAAAGCTCACATCCCCGGGGTGCTGCAACCCACCGCCGACTCGGGGTCCCCGCTGGTTGCGCATCTTTGTCCAAGGGTGGCCCCAGTAGCAGAGACATTCCGAGAAAAGCGGTCGCGGCAAATGGGGCCGAGTGGGAGATCATGAAGCTTGGCATAACACAACCGTTCGCGGTCCCTCCACTTTTGCTGCAGGCCTTGAATTGACTACAATCATCTCGTAATGCTTGACCTTGCTTTCCAAGATCTGACAGGTTCGACTTTTCGGTGTGGTTGTCAGAATTGCGCCTTTGCCGAGGAATCCTTTGGCCGCGCTCACCGAAAAGGGGAACCAGGGAATACAGAAGAGGTGCATTGCCATCACTTCGGCTCTCCCGATCGAATTTTTAATGATGGTCTCAATGGCGGCATATCCCACTCTATCCGATATTCCAGGTTCGCTGCAACAATGACGAACAGAGGATCCTCTGGTTGCATCATTCGCTAGATCAGTCCAGACTTGTATCGCTCGACCCATACGGATGGATCCAATAACCTTAATTCCAGTGCATTAACAGTGTAATAGGTCGTGGAGCCGTTCAGCTTTGCCACTTACAAATTTAATCATCAAGCAATGAGATTGGGGGAGACATCGGGTCAGCGCTTGGATATTGGAAAGACGACAGCAGTGGGATGTCAGAAGCGCGTCGTCGACATGTGTCCCCACGAAGATATCTTGTCTACGGCGAGGTCTCTCTTTCTCTCAACAAGGACCGGAATCGATTGTTCATGGGGAGTTGAAATTACAGTGACATTGTTCACGCAATGGTTTGCTCGGTTATATCATTGTAGGAATCGCATATTCTACACGAGGCATCTCCTTGTAATCGAGGTAATTTACTTGGAGTTAACCTTGCTCTCACTCAGAGGCGTTTTATTGTTTACCGTGATCGTAGTTAACAGGAATGGTTATCCTTGGCACGGTGAGAACGCGTTGGCAGTGTCTGTCTGAGCAATTTATTGCTCAATTGATACTACAACAGGTATAGCATTCGACCAATTCACGCCAGGATCTTTTCCTCGTTGGTCTTGCGATGTTTCACAGCCTTCTCGCGGAGCAGATGGTCAGCTATTATACACCTTCAGAGTGCAACAGACGCAGGCGTGTGGAAGCCGTCCAGCCTGGCCATTATTTACCTCGATTAGATTTCCTGTACTGCGCTATCAAGTTATTAGCATCTAATAAAGTTGTTAAGCAGTTAAAAGGTTTAACAATCTCTTGTATTTCGGGTTTTCAATGATTGTGATCGGTCGTGCGGGGAAATGACTGAGTTCTGAGGTTGCAGTTTCCCACCGGTACAAGATTCCATGATTCAAGATCACCACTCTACCAAACTCCCGTCTTGACTAGGGAAGAACAAAGTCAAATGACATTGAATATGGAATCAGGAAGTAAGAAACATCTAAGATCTAAGTTTCGAGCCTAAACTCGTGGTCCTATTTCTAATACTTGTTCTTGTTGGCGATCCTCGGAGCCTACCCTACAGTAGGTCACGAGCTCGGGATTACTTCCTTCCGTGGCAATTTTTAGCAACTTTGGCCGAGGAAGCTCGCGTTTACCCCGCACAGAGTGGGCCTGGGGAAGGAGCCACGGTCCACTTTCGCCGAGTCTTGCTACATTCTTCAGCCTGTCTATCACACTCTGACAGCAAGATCCGAGCCACGGTGCGTGACGGCATGCCCTCTTTAAAAAATCCCTGTTCGGAATGCAAAGGTATGAGCGATAAGCTATCGTATAGTAGAGGCCGGCTGACTAATGTGAGATAGGGAAGCACCTTAAATGTAAGCATGCCCCTGTATGCAGCCACTCTCCTGACTGCCAACTTGGCAGCCGTTGATGGTGTCTTACCGTGTTGTACCACCTAGGCGACGATGATGTACCTCAATGCAACCGGTGTCGAACAAAGGGACTCCAGTGTATCCGTCCAGGACGAAAAAGACCTTTCAGACATGGCTCGTCTGCCAAGTATGACGCGCAGTTCCCCGAGACACAAAACTGGGTCAATAGCAGCGCAAAAGAATGTGAGGCTGAGTATCACCTAGTCGTCAGCCGATGCTGATATAAACTTGCGTAGTTAGACTCCATACTGGACCGAAACGTCCAGCCCGGAGGATCGCTGCGGAAAGAGATACTAATGCGCGGTTGACCTCACCCCCCACACACGGGGATAGCTTCTCTATTGATGACAGGACGGATCTAGCCCACATCCAAGCGGAGGCGCCAACAGTGGTATCACATGAGGCTCTCGCCACAGCGGCCTCACCGACGACCCCCGGCAGTTCTACAATCCTCCATTCTGCAGGCTCGGATGGCATGATACCATCGCCGTCAAGTGTTGAACATCTTTCACATTCAACCCCATCAAACTATAGACATGTGCATACCCAGCACTTGCCAGTGTTATCACAGCGAGGCCCCTCTTGGGGCGGAATACTCCACAGCCTTGAACCACCACAAGACCAAGATCGACCGTTGGATGGTGTGCAAGAAGCTTGCCTTCTCCGATATTTTGTCGAAGAACTATCACATTGGGTAACTTGGCAACGAAACCGGATGGCATGAGCACGGACTGATCGTGATGCAGTTTGATCTAGTTGACCCCCAACGACTCTTCCAACTTCTCGTCCCCGAACGTGCTCGAAAATACCCACCCCTTCTGAACGCAATCTTTGCCGTTTCAACACGACGCATGTGTCGCGTCGCCACCTTCAAGACATCCCAGGGAATAGTGTACCGTGGCCAGCACCTACCGAATCTCACTCCAGGCGCCGCCGTCGAGTACATGCTAAAGTGCATCCCCGTGCTCAAAGAGTTCCACACAACTAGGGACGGAGAGGCACGCGAGCTGATTGTCACGACGGCTGTGGTATTACGCCAGTTTGAAGAGATGGACGATGAAGAAGACGACGATAGCACCGCTGACGCACCTATGGACGAACGGGTCAACTTTCTGGCTATCCTCAATGCTGTTCTTCGAAGTTTGACCTCGGATGACTTGGTTCATCACCGAGAGCTCTTAAACGCGTCATATTGGATAGCTTTGAGACAGGAGGTCTACTACGCGCTTAGAAGAGGGTACTCACCACAAATGGTTGAGCCGCCTGCCGAGTGGGCAGATATCTCGCCAGCGAATAAGCTCATCTTCCATACCAGTCAAGTCACGAAGTGGCTATTTGAGGACAAGTCTGAAACTGGTTGGCGTGAGTTTCATTCTACCAAATCTGCTACAACATATACTGACTTCCAATAGAGAGACTGAAGGAACAGGAGAGATATCTTGAACAATACGTTGTGGGCCGATTTGCCCCTATCCTTTCCCGACCCCCGGATAGAACGAAAGGGGAAGTGTTCCCGACGATATGGTACGCGTCAAATATTGCCCTCACGGGTATGCAGCATATGATGATGGCCAAGATGATTCTGGTTGCTGAATCGCCATTCCTTGGGTGATTTTCTCTTCAAGACCAAGACATGTAAGCCCGCTAATCATTAGCAGACGAGGTGATGCGGATGCCCGTGCAGCTTACCGAAGAGCCGAAAATGATGTGAGGTCCCTGGTACTTGACGTCTGCAGTACCGCCGTCCAACACCCAGAAATACCACCAGCTCTAGTGAACGCGACCCTGGCAATTCAACTATACGGCAACTACTTTACAGATCCGTGGGAACGGGACGCTCTGAAAGGCATCGTGCAGATGTTCAAAGACTGCCAGGCATGGCCTGTACCAAAGGCACTACGGGCATTAGATTAAGCGAATTTGTAGCATAATAGGATTAATCTTCAACTCAACCGAATACTTCAATCATAAAGTGATACTCTAGTTTGCTTCCATCTTGACGCCCTCTTGTGGAGAGTTCACGGCACTTATCTGCCAGAATTTCACCAACGACCGGCGCACCACAGTAGAAGACGCCCACTTTCAACTCTTCATCTTCCTCGCCCGACTCGCTAGTCTTTTCTCTTTCTTGGTTTCGCTTGCTGGCCCGGAACTTGAGCATCTCCTCATAGTGCTCATCAAGAATCTTCTCAAAGTCTGGTCGCCCAAAGTGAGTAGGGTTTAGTAGACCGGTTAGAGGAGAGGCTGGATGCGCCTCGGTGCGGTGCATCTCAAGTAGCCAGCGGTATACATGAGTAGAGATATCCTTGCGCTTTGCTGTAACATGGGTGTTGATGCGGATATCGAGGTGCGGGTGAACTTCGTGCTCACGATGCCACTCCTGGCTCCTCGAAACGTCATTGAGCAGATCGGAGAACCAGCGGAGGTAGTTTCGCTCGCGAACCATCCAATGGAAGTCCACGCGGCGATAGTCTTCTGAGAATGTGTGCGCCTTATCGGCCTGGGGCTTCTTGCCTTCATTCAACACATCTGGTTGGACGGTGTGTTGATCTGGCTGGCTCGAGGTGTCGTTGACAGTAGCATCCGAATCATGACAGCCGCGCGGTGCATCGTCGCCCGGGCCGCCGTGGTCCAGATCATCGTTGTATTGGAGATCAGCGAGGATGCCCGAGAAGGGAGTGACTCCAATACCGGCACCAATGATGATGGAATGACTGAAGTCATAGAACCGCTGTGCCGGGGCACCAAACGGCCCATTGATTCCAATCTCGATGTTGCACTCGCCTGATTCACCTCCCAGCTGACGCAGTCTCCCCGTCCAGTTGCCATCCGTCTTGATATGCAACATCATCTTCTGACCGCGACAGAAAGAAACCGTAAAGGGATGCCACTGAAAGAAGCTGATCTGTGGAACTTGGAGGAAGACATACTGACCTGCCTTGTACTTCCAAAGCCGCTCACTCGGAATGACAGCAGCGATTTCAACAGTTTCCTTGTCCAGAACTTTCATGGTGGCGTTGATGCGATGGAATCCTAGGAAGACTCGCACTATTCGCTCAACAATGACCAGAAGCGTTGGGAAGGCGAGAAAGTAGCCAAACATGGGCCATTGAAGCAATGCAGCAGTTCCATGTGCCATCATGAGGCCGATAATTGGGAACATCAGCAAGTGGCCCAGCTGGAAGATCTCGTAGTTCCACTTGCGGACTTGAGGGATGCTCAAGAGTGAAAGCAGGTAAAACAGACCAAGGGCTGTGATGCCAGTAGAGCCAGGCAGTGATCGAACATATTCGATATAAGGACGGGGAACCATATCAGGTCCGAGCACATCGGCAACCTCTTGTTCGTTCGCTCGGTCGCTACCGTGCACAAAGGAACCTGTCAGATGGCCAAGCGCGTGCAATGTTGCGAGAAGGATGGCAACGCAAGAGATGCGGATGTGAAATTTCTGAGACAGGTCCCAGTTGAGAAAACGCGAGATGTGGTAAGATCTGCGAAGCCATGTGGAAAAGTATCGCGACATGCTGAGTATGAGGAAGAAGAAGGTCGGATATAGAGCCCCGGCGCATGTCTTGGCTATGACGACACCCCAACCGAAAGCAGCCCGATATTGTGGAGTTGTTTGGTACTTGACCAGCTGCCATATGCCAAAGGCACATTGCAAAGAGATGACGAGGCCGATAAAGACAATCTCTGGGCCGTGGACTGCCCAGTAGGCACGAATCCTCCGCCAACCCGGCAGACGCTTGATGTAGCTCTTTTCATCCTCTTCCTCCTTCTTGGCCTGTTGTAGAGACGGGATCCTCCACTGGCGAACCAGCTTGGCAAAGTCGTTCCTTGGAATGCGCTCAGCATCGGAGCCCATGATACTCCTCAGGAAAGCATGTCGAGCGCAGTCGTCTTCTCCATCGTGGTCGCGCCGTATGACGTGGTGGGAACTCGGCTTGGGAACGAGTTCATGGTGGGTTTCGTCGAGCTTCCTCTCGACTTCTTCGTAGTTGATGTAGCCATCACCATTGTGGTCAAGGTCGTCGAGAAACTCGTCAATCTCCTTGTCGTTGAGGTATTGGACGTGAGTTGAGGAGCGGACTGGATGGCCCGCAAGGGAGTTTGGTGTGTCTCTCCGTTCTGCCATCGAGGAGAGTGCACTCAACAAATGGGTATGGATTTGAAGAAGAGATAATGTCTAAGGGAGGTGTTGAGGGCTAGAGCGATTATAAAAGCCTGGTGCTAGCTAGAGGCAAAACGAAAAATGCCCCCATACCAAGACCTCGTACGTCAACATTTCCTCCCGCCAAGACCCCAAACTCTTGAAAACGAGCCAAAGTAATGCACCACGTCCCCCCCAAGATCGATAACCTTGATTCCACGCGCTTGGCTCTGCTGGAAATATGACGGACCAATTATGGGGACCCGATAAGCTTGAGGCATTCGGACAAGCTTCTAGGCAAAGCTCGGCGTTGCTTGGCTTTTGCAATCTTATTTTTCTTGGTGGTGGATGATGACGCAACAGACTCATGGTGCCAAGCCTTGGAAAACGTCACAGGAGAAAGTCGCGCGATAATGACTCCAATGAGGTCTATGGTTTTACAATGAAGTGAAACTTTCTTGACTCATGTTAATATTCTATCTCGATTTTTTTTCCCCAACCGGGATAACCTCACTCGGCAGGCCACTTGGGGTTGGACAATGGGAGGATGGTTCGGGGTGGTTTCTACATTGGCGACCCCAAGAGTGTCTAATAATAAACGAAAACGCATTCCAATACTCTTCGGAGGTAAAAGACAGTGCGGAGTAGGGGAAAATACGAACAATTTTGACTTTGAGTGATGTTTTGGGTGCGATTACTTGCAGTATCAAAAAGAGCCAGTTTTCCATAGCCAGTGAGAACCCGTCTTCTAGAAGAAGACTTGATGTCTCCAGTAAACTGGCAAAGCTTAGTAGCCAAAGTGAATTGCTTTAAAAGGGGATAGGGCTATGATACATGGTCTGGACATTGTTCGCTGCGGATCTGACTAAGCCACCGATCTCTACCGTATATGCTTTCTAGAATAGCCACTGATACGTACAAAGATAGGTGGTTAGTTGTTCTTAGAGCTATTCAACTCTGACTACCAGTCTACGATCCGTCTGGAGGATATTGGCGAGTTTCTCGTGTCACCGGTCGGTAACTGCTTAACGGTGGTAATCATCCTTGACCTATCGCATTGCACTGCGGTCAAGCCGTAGCTCTGCACCCCTTAAGTTCTCACATTAGGGCTCTTATTTCCTCTATTTCTGATTTCGGGCAATTTTAGCAAGCAATCCTTGACTCTGCGGCCATCAAACTGGTCTCATGATCAACCTTCTCCACAGACAGACATCAGAGCTCCTAATAGTCCAGACCAAAAACTGTACTATTAGTCCAAACTGCAGTCCAGACTAATAGTCCACAGACTATTGGTCTAGTTTGCGTCTCTCGGGCTAAACTGACGGTCCAGTCCGCGTCTCTCGGACTTGGCTGACAGTCCAGTCTGCACACCTCAGCCAGACTGCTAGTCCCGTCTGACCAAAGTCAGACGGACTGCTGGTTTAGTTTAGCCAAGTCAAACGGACTAAATGGGCAGTCTGAGGCATCCAGACGGACTGATTGGACTATTAGGAGCGCTGACAGACATGTTCCCCTATGCTGCTTCACTCACAAGAAGTCTTGAGGCCTTGTTCAATAAGTATTCATCAATCCTAATAGAGAAACCTTGCGCGAATTGCCATATTTGGGCCATCATCTTGGGGCTGAGACTTGTGGTATTGCCAACGAGTTTTCCAAGATTACTTGATACGGAATCTGGTGCCGACGGATTACTAAAATAGGCAAGTCCCGACACCCTCCGATCGCCGATACCTACTAAAAGAGGCAATATTCCAACCTCCTCATCCACTTACACGACTTGCGTCCTGCATCGCCTCTGTTCTTCAATGATCCCGGCAACTTTTCTCAAGGCAAGTGTATCCGTAGTCCTCTCTGGATGATCGCAAAGCACGAGGAGGAAGTTCAACTATAAAGAATGCAGAGACCCCCATTCAAGAAGACAACCAGCACCTCCCCATTCATCCTCAAGCCGGCGTCTTCAAGACAATCCAAACTCTTCTTCAGACGCATTCACTCAAAGAACCATGTCTCAGCCACTCAATATTGCTGTTGTCGGCCTTGGTCGTATGGTCAGTAGTTGTTCTTTCACTCCAAGTCATTTGGAAAATAGTCCTCACACATCCACAGGGCAAGCGACATGTTCACACGCTCCTGTACCGAGTTCCCCATGCCAAAGTGGTTGCTGTATGCAGCTCCACGCCTCATGAGGTAGAGTGGGCAAATGCGAACGCCGAGTACAAAGAGTTTGGCATCACTGTTTACAGCGACTACAACGACATGCTCAACCATGGTGGGCTTCAGGCCGTTTGGGTCTCTACTAGCACCGATGTCCACGCAAGTCAATCTCTTGCAGCTATCTCAAAAGGCCTTCACGTTCTCTGCGAGAAGCCACTGAGCACAGACATGGCAGAGGTACAATTCTTTCGAACGCGTCAACGTCTTGCTCCGATGTTGACCACTCTGACAGGCCCAAACTGTTGTCGACGCTGCCAAGGCGAACCCTCACCTGAAGGTCATGGCTGGCTTCTCCCGGCGCTTCGATGCTTCTTATCGCGATGCTGCATCCAAGATCTACAACGACAAGGCCATTGGAGAGCCTTTCATGGTTCGCTCAAACACTTGCGACCTTCTTGACGAGACTGGATTCTTTGTCCGATACGCAGCTCGAAACGGTGGCATCTTTGTCGATTGCGCAATCCACGATATTGACCTGTCGCTTTGGTACCTTGGAAATCCCCTTCCCAAGGCATGCTGGGCCGCTGGTACACTTCAACACCACCCTGAGCTTAAGGAACTGTCAGACGTCGATAACGCTGTCGGTGTCGTTGAATTCTGGGGTGGCAAGATTGCCTACTTCTACTGTTCCCGAACCCAAGCTCACGGCCATGATGTGTGCACTGAGATCACGGGCAAGACGGGCAAGCTGTCCGTGAACGTGGTTCCCAAGGCCAACAATGTTGTCCTGGCCGACCGCCTAGGCATCCGACACGAGGTTCAGCCTGAGTACTGGCAGAGGTTTGAGGACGCATTTGCGCTCGAGGCTAACGAGTTTACCGAGTCAGTCCTGAAGGACAAGCCAGTGCCTTTGCCAATTGAGGGTGGAATGATGGTTATGAACATTGGTCGGGCGCTGCAGCACGCCCTGCTCACCGGAGAGGTTGTCAAGTTTAACGAAAAGGGAGAGCGCCTGTAGAAGAATGCAGATAGTTATGTTTGTTTAGAATTCTTCGTTAGGCTGCGGTGGAAATTTGAAAAGAGATGTTGTGAAATGAATGATACTTCAGTCTGTGAGAGCTTTAAAAATGACCACTACATTTCTCCTGTCTTTGACGCCACGGTACTAGACCCTCTTGGTGTTTTCGCGGCGAAGAGAGCATGAACAGTGGTAAACGGTGAGAGTCTTGAAAAAAATTAAGAAGTACTGAAGCTGAGAAATTATATGTGACGAAATAAGACAAATCAATATTAACAATCCCTCTATCCTTCCCTGAAAGTGAATATTTCCCATGCCTTTCCTCGTTAAGCCAGAACAGTGTCAAATCAGGCTGGATGGTCTCAGCTACCTGCCAATTTGCTCACTGCGGGCATCTTGCCAATCCAGTCTGTCAATCCTCCCTCGACGGCATTCACAAGCCATCTTGCCAGTGCTCCTCTCTTCTGGGACATGGTCCAACCCGTCTCGGCAACCCAACCCACAAAAGCCTTGCCATCCTCTCTATCCCTTTTCCAGCTCTCATGATCGGATTCTCCGGGGATACCGGCAATGCGAAATATCGTCCAATCTAGGCCCTTGGCATCCTCCTCAAACGTTTGGCTGATGTTGATGATGGTGCGATAGGCTCCACCAGCGGCAAGACGCACAAGTGTTTTGATACCATATCGAAGCAAACTGCGGGAATCTTCTGGGCGGACGATGGAAATGGTTCCCATTGCGTAGACGCGTTTCACGCCATGCTGACGCATCGAGGGGAAAAGAGAGTCTTTGTAGAAGCCAGCCAAGAGGCTTGGATCCTGCTTCCAGCTGCTGATCATAGGCCCAAGAAGTGAAACTACGACGTAGCTCTTGGAGACTGCTGTGGAGAGGGCTTCAGTGTTGTCGAGTTCTCCCTCGATTATCTAGGACTGGGGTTAGCAAGGGTATACACTTGAAGCCAGGATGCTGAGGTAGACCAACCTCGATTAGCGGGCTAGAAGACAAATCTTCTGGAATCTTTTTGGGGTTTCTTGCAAACGCAACAACCTCGTGATTACGATGGATAAGCTCTCTCAAGAGGCAGATGCCTGCAGGGCCGGTGCCTCCAAGGACGAGGACCTTTGATCCTGGCATGATGAAGTTGTAGGAATAGCGACTGGGTACACAAGAAGAGAAAATGGATGAATGATTCGATTCCAAAGTAAGGTGATTAAATGCCTATTTATAAGTATCTGTTTATTAATACCAGCTGCAAATGAGCTCATGGGATTCTATTTGCGCGGGGAAGCAATCCCGCCCGGAATCCAAGTTGGGCGGTAATTGCGTGCTCACGTGGCTCTCTAACGAATTCCTTCCGCCCGGAATCATCTCCGCGCGGAGACTTGAGTCAAGGGGCTGCTCAATCTTACTTCTTCACAACAATGCCTCCCACAACAAAGACATCAGGCAGTTGCTGGATCTGTCGAATCCGACACAAGAAATGCGATGAATCATTACCAAGGTGTCAAAACTGCGAAGCCCTCGAGCTATCATGTCTCTACAGCGATGTCAAGCCAGAATGGATGGACAATGGGGACAAGCAGCGCGAGATGTCCCAGCGCCTCAAGGCCCAAGTCAAACGCAATGCAAAGGAGCGTCGGGGCAGGCGAATGATCCAGAAGATAACCCGAGAGATCGAGGGGCACAGTCCGTCACCTCCGAGCAATCCGCCTTCCTTATCCCCAAGCAGGGATGCGCACTCGACGGCCAGTGTTCAAGAGTCAATCACGGTAGACCAAACAACAGACCCTCATGTCTCAGATACAGACAATACTACCCCGACTGAAAATCTGCCATTCAATATCTCTCCTACGGCTGAGAACTCGAGAAACCTCATACAAAGGGAGGACCCAACTCATACTTTCTTCGGCTCTGGATCAGGACCACTGGTTATCCAGAACGAGCAGGATTTACGCTTTATCACAGCCTACACGGACTACATCTTCCCTCTTCTCAATCCCTTCTACCGCCCGACCTTTCTTGAAGGGGGGCGAAGCTGGCTTCTGGTCTTTTCCATGAGAAACACGGAATCATGCCAGCTAGTCATCAGCCTGGCGACATACTTTCTCTCAGTTGTGCCTGTTTTCCCAGGTCCTGGACATGGTGTGTGTTCATCGCATACCTGGCAACAGGTACAGAGTCAATCTGATCTTGCAGTCAAGGGCATGCAGCAGAGGGTTGAAGCGATAAGCCGATGTGGTGTTTCTGGCAATCTTTTGCAGAGCACTCATCTATTAGGCGACATCATGTTGCTTCTCAAGTTTGAGACCATGGCAGGTTCTTCTTCAAGTTGGGGAGTTCATCTCTGTGCTGCGACCGTTCTCTTTGAGCAATTCCTCTCCTCGCCGGACTTTGACGATAGCGTTTGGAAGATACCGTCTGACGTGGAAGAGCTGGTCTCACAATCGAGGTCGGCGCTATCGACCACTGAAGCCCATAGATTTGAAGCTTCGCAAACAGCATTTCGGTTCTTCAGCGCGGCCGTCATAACCGCCGACATCATCGCCAGCACGGCTCTGGGGCAGCTGCCTCAACTGAGGGAGCACCATGAGAGGGTGCTAGGCACTCGAGAGAAGCCCCATCTCAACTTGAAGCATATCGTGGGCTGCGAAAATTGGATTTTTCTATCGATAGCGGACATTATTGAGCTTGACTTGTGGAAGAAACAGGCCAAGAAGAGCGGCGCGTTCTCGTTGATGGACTTGATTCAGCGCGCTAGCAGGATCACTCAAGATCTGGATAATGGTCTTGCAAGTCCTTCTGGCCCAGACAATGAGGATGCACGCAACAAGGACGGCATCTTTTCAATGTTCAATCCACAGCGAGGGCAAATCATTGATCACAGCATTGTCACGCGCATCTGGGCCAATGCTGCGAGACTCTATCTGCTTGTAGTTCTCTCAGGCTGGCAACCCGGGAGCAGCGAAATACGAGAAATCGTCTCAAAGAACACCGAGCTGCTAAATAACCTGCAGTCTCCAAGTTGGTTGCTCGCTTTGGCTTGGCCTTTTTGCGTGACGGGCTGTTTGGTCACAAAAGACCAAGAATACGTTGTTTGCGACATTTACGAAGCGACTGAGCCGTTGAAAAATATCGGACCGATTTCAGAGGCAATGGGAATTATTAGGCGCGTATGGGAACAACGTGAGGGACTAATCGGAGAGACATGGGATATGGCATCATGTTTTGGAAGCATGGGAAGAACAGTTCTGTTAATCTGATCTGATGATTTGACAGCTCCGATAAGAATTTGATACCGCAAGCTTACAAAGCGGCGATAACCTCGTTTCTTAGGTGGTATCGGCAATGGCCGAGGTATCAATGGTCGTATCAAAGACCCAGGAAACACGCAAGTGGCTTGTTCCCAGCCCCGATTTATTCCAGCCTCTTTTTTCGTCTTGCGCCTTTTTTGTGGGGAGGTACCGACCGACGTTTATCCCGCTAAACCGCCCAAACCAAGTTCGGGGACTTGGCCGAGGGGAGAAGACGCGTCTTTTGAGTTTCAAGATCTGAGGCTCATTTCATAACCATATACCGTACTACTCCCCTTCTATCAGGTGTATAATCGTCACAATGGGCATCATTCGCAAGGCCGTCTTCTATTCCCTCCTCGGCACCTCCACCGCCGCCGCTTATCTCGCCGCCAAGAACCCCGTCATCTCCCCGCTCCCGCCCAATGATCCCATCTGGTCTGCCCGCATCTACAAGAACCACAACCCCAACCGCAATCCCGCCACTCAAGATGTCTGCATCAAGCGTATTCCCTTCAGCAAGATCCGTCCCGAGCTTCTCCAGAAGGAGGCTGATCTGACTCTCGAGTTCTGCCGCGGTCTGTGGAGTGGCTGGGGTGAGTAACCCGCTCATTTCGAGATAACGATTGATTGACCCTTCCAGGTTACGCTGTTCAGCGCAAGTACCTCGAGTACAAGTGGCGAGGTCCCGAGACTGAGGAGCAGCTGTGGGATAATGAGCAGCTTGCTGAGAGCACCTACGACAAGGGAACTAAAATCACCGACCACTTTGAAGTTGTCGAAAAGACACCCACAGCCATCACTGTCCGCTGTGGTGACTCTCCTCGCAACCACGCTGTGCGACCTTCTGACGGTCTCTTCACCATTAGCGCTACTATTGACAAGCAGCGGGAAGAGGTTGAGCTGAGACTCAGGAGCTGCCTCTTCTCCAGCGAGGGCAAGATCCCTGGAATCAAGGGCCCTATGCCCCCTTGGACGGAGGAGCTGCACCAGTGGTATACCCGGATCTGGTCCGAGACAGCCTCGTGGAAGCTTCTTAAGTGATCAGCCCGAGATGATTTTCATTGCAATCCCCAGAGTGGCTATCATTCACAGGCTGCTCGCCATCTTTATTGGAACCTGTGCTCGAGGCACTGGACTTGGTGGAGGCATTATTACGTTTTACAGAGCAATAAACCCAATTACTACGTCTATTATAGCACCGATATATCATCCCCATACTTTTACTTTCTCCCCCGTCCAGTAACTAACATCACGAAGCGTTCCCTCAGCTAGGTTAGCACACAATCTCAAGCAGAGTAAGGAAGTTGTCAAGGTGAGCATTATAGCATGGGTCGCCAGAATAGTCTATTCTATTATTAAGGAAACGTCTCGGTTTAGGCGTTTCGTCTACGAAAGTGCTGGCTCGCCAGGAGCTGAGGGAAGCCGACCAAAGGTGTTACCAATGATGCCTCGCAGGCCTATCCTTTCGTCCGAGGACAAAGAGGTTCATGTTGCCCATGCCCCGACTTCCCTGCAAATCCTCGCTTAATAACTGGGGTGGCCATAGTGACCCTGGTGCTTCTTAAAGTGAGCAGCCTTGGGACGTCCAGAGCTTTGTCCAGAGAGCGTGTTGAATCCCTCACGCATAGCGGTAAGACGGCTCCAGTCCTGACTGTCCTGAGCAAGACTCCAGGCAAAGATACCTCCAAGACCCTTGGTGGGAACAAGACCGTTGATCTTCTGGGTGATCAGGTCAGCGGTATCCCAGGTCCAGTACAGAGAAGTGGTGGCATCCCAGTACCACTGGCCGCCAGCAGCGGTATCAGTTTTGCCGTTCTCAAGTGCAGTGAGGAAAGAGCCCGAGATATCGATACCCTCGCATCGGCCATAAGCGGACTGGCAGCCAGTGCTGCAGTGAGCAGTAGAGTTGCCACTGTATCACACGTTAGAAACCATCGATATAAGTAGACAGAAGCTGACTCACCAGAAACCAAACTGACTGCAGCAAGTAACCTCACCACACTTGAAAGAAGTCCCAGCTCCACAAGAAGCATCGGGCGAAACGGTCAAGTTCTTAGGAGCCCCGACAAAGTTGGCCTTTTCAAAGGTAATAGTGCCAGACTTGCCAGTGTCGCTTCCATCAGCAGCCTCGAGGAGCTCAGTAGGGCATCCGGTGGGTTCAGTGCACTGGACGCCGGCCTTGGTGGTGAACCACTTGGCATAAAAGGCAAATCCAATGTTGAGCTTGCTGGGCTGGAAGCCGCGAGAGATGTAGGCGTCGACGGCCTGGGCGGTTCCCTCGTAAGAGGAGTGGTGGGTGGTGACGCTATCACGGCGGTTCATGAGATCATAAGACATGATCTATTCAACCGTTAGACTTGGTTCATATCACACTGGTGGTCTTCAAAGCACTCACGTTGACGAAATCAACAGCAGCGTTGATCTTGGGGACCTGCTCATGAGTGTAGGCGATCATGTCCCGCTCAAGACCAGGAACGGCAATGGAGAGCTCCTTGTCACCAATGGCATTCTTGATCTCCTTCAAGAGCTTGGGGTAGCTCTTAATCTCGTCGACCTTCTTAGAGTTTGGGATACGCTTATAGTCCTCGCCGTTGCCAGCGGGGTACTCCCAGTCGATATCTTGGTCCGTTAGCCGTCTGCCCAAACACTCACATAATAGTACTTACCGACACAATCGTATCCGAGTCTGGCCAGGGTGTCTGCGATGTTCCTGGCGTACCTCTTGCGGGTCCTGTCCGTCTTGGCTCCCGCGCCGAAGCCGGCAGTGTCGGCCCAGCCACCAATAGCCATGCAGACCTTAGTGCCATCGTCGAAGAGAGCACGGATCTCATCGAGAGGCTTGAAAGGCTCATACTTTCCAGCGGGCTCGGCAGCAAACAACGAGGAGTTGGCAAAGGCGGTGATGACATGGGTGACACCAGCGGTCTGAGACTTGTCAGGTAGGTTGGCTGTGTGCCACCTGAAAAAGATGTTAAAATGAGGTTCATCGACGACAAGGGCAAAATTTACTGGTCAAAGTAAAAGATGTAGTTGGGCGCAGCAGAGGCAACAGTAGCCAAAGCCGCCGTTCCAAGGACAAGAGGAGAACGCATGATGATAAAGTATCAAGCAACCAATTATAACAAAAGATCAAAAGAGTGACTGACTATGCACAAACAAATGAGTGACTATGCAAAAGCGAATGAGTGACGATGCTTGATGCTGAGGACGGAGCATTACCATGAGGGGGAAGTCCTCCGCAGATATAGTCACCGACGGGCCGGCACTGACCAGGATCGGTGATCAAAAGATGGTGATTTGAGTTCCGTATGAGCCAGATTTGTTCAAGAGAGTTCGTAGTGGTGTGTGTCATTCGAGCAACTAGCTAGGATGGGACCCTTGCACGGCGAGCTTGGCAACATCGAAGGGGTCCGCGGGCATGCGGGATAGAACCTGGAGAGTAGACCCGGTGGTTTGAATTCACGGCTCTTTCCGGTCCCGGATGGTTGTGCTTGTTATGCTCATCCAATAAACGTACCATTCTGGCTTGGCACTGAAGACCCCGTGGGTAATAGGCCTCCTGTTAACTGCTCTATCCCACTCTGCACCCGAGATTGGACAGCGATGATCCTTTAATCCTTTATTTAACAAACTTTTGTGCCTTATTAGCCTGTTGTCCGGTAGTACCGGGTCAGCATAACCAATATAGAGTTTCAGCATTAAGCTTTGCCAAGTGGCCCCTTTAATTTCCCAAAGACCCGGCACTTGCGTTGCCCTATGGACAAACGTTGAAGCCCGAGCACGCCGGAGCCCCGGACCTTGATGGTTTACCCTGTAATGGAAGACGATAAGGCTTCTGGAAGCTTTGATGCCTGCTTAAGATCTTGGCTGTGCAACCACATCATATAGAGTTGACGCGAGTGTCTAAGCCATGATTGGCAGGTCGGTAGTTCTGAGCCGTGGCTGGGTTTATCCGTCAATGGGAATGAGGGGCAACGTCATCGCGTTCCCTTCATCTGACTTGCTTTGTCTGGGGGTTTAATTAATCGGCTGGTGCATGGCACTAACGGCATTGGAGTCGGGAGCGATCCGTGAAGCCGGGCAACATCAACTTGACGATTGACTGACCGGCTCAGAAAATGTAGACATGACATTTCGAGGCAAGATATATTGAAATGGCAACGGTAACTACCAGGATTCTTATTTCGAGGCCGATTGTTGTTCGTGGATAACGGCGGCATGCAACCACCTGGTCCCGGCCTGGAGAACCCCAGAAAGCTTATGTGGTCCGACTTCACTCTCAGTAAATTCTTCAACATGAACAAAAATACAGATCACAAATGTTGCCTTACCCATGCTTCAGTTACTCGCTGTTGCTCTCGATGGAATACTTGACCGGTTTCTTAGACGTTGACCAAGCCCCAAGGACATTATTATTTTGACATTCCAGCTACAAGTAAATGCTTAGCTTACAAATTGACGCGATCTTGCCACGAAGTGCCACCCTACACTTTGTGAAGGTCTCTTGATCGCCTCATAGACGACGGTGATATCGGTCTTAACATCACGTCATCTTTCAGTGTATTAGTCAGAAGAGTTACAGTATTAACCTCTTGGCTCCTCAAAAGATCAATCCTTCCCCTCTTTTTAGCATCAAATCTTTACAACCTCAAGAACCAACAAAAACAGCAATAAATATCTTCAACAATGACGCAGATCGGCATCTTCCCCGCATCCGGGGCGCTCGGGACAAGCACTTATTCCCACCTCTTATCAATCTTTCCAAATAATCGGGTCACCCTGATCAGTCGATTCCCTGAAAAAGTGCCTCAAAGTTACATTGACAATGGCGTTACTACTCGTCAAGCTTCATACGAGTCGAGCGCCGAGGACCTTGAGTCTGCTTTTGGCGGACTTGATTTGCTATTTCTGATTTCGTATCCGAGCCACGTTCACCAGTACAGGACCAAGGTCCAAACCAAAGCAATTGATGCCGCTCATAGAGCTGGGGTCAAGCACATATTCTACTCGTCCCTTGGCTTTGCATCCTTGGGTAAGGAAACCACGAAAGCAGAGGTCATGGGAGCACATCTCGACAGCGAGGCTCATCTCAGGAAACTCGCCCACAAAGACTCTCGATTCTCGTGGACGAGTATCCGCGAAGGACTCTACAGCGAATCATTCCCGATCTACACTGCTTTCTTCGACATAAAGAACCCTTCTAGTGAGATTCTCATTCCTCACGACGGAACGGGGCCTGGCATAAGCTGGGTGAAGCGAGATGAATTGGGGGAGGCAACTGCGCGACTCATTGCCTCGTATGTTGAGTCGCCGTCGGAATTCAAGTACATAAACCAAATCGTCACTCTCACGGGACCGCGGCCATGGTCACTGGCTGAAACCGTCCAGGTTTTGTCGAAGGCTTTGAATAAAAGCGTTCGGATTAGACAAGTCAGCGTGGATGAGTATGCCGCGCAGACTCAGGTGGTTGGGAGATTTGGGTCAAAGGAACTCGCCACAACCTGGGCTACGGCATGGGAGGCTATCAGAGCCGGAGAGACAGAGGCGGTAACAGAGACGTTGGGGCAGCTCTTGGGAAGGGAGCCTGAAGCTTATGAGAAGACAATCGAGGATTTGGTAAAGGCCAACTAGGAAATTGACTTGGCGTGAAATTCATATTCAACAACCATCAGTTGGCAAACTATAGGACACCTTCAGAAAAAGTTTGCTGTTAAATATCTTAAAAACCTTAGTGGTGTGTTCACAATAATAGGCTAGAACGCCATGGACCTTTCGGATGCTAGCCGTGTAAGAGGCATAGTGTAAAAGTCTAGCTACTAAACGACCAGGATAGCAATCTCGTAGGCCTTGGTAAAGGCTACGGAAAAGACGCCATTCTGACCACTAATGGTCTTGACGGTAATCTGGCTGGCCTCTCCACCCATCGAAGGCAAGTTGTTGACGCTGGTAGAGCCAGGGGCGGACAGAAGCGTAAGCTTTGCCGTGCTGGCGCTTGACCCCTTGAAAGTCACCTTGACTGCAGCGTCTTCGCCTGTCGGGCCGTTGTAGTTGACGAGCTTCAGGATGGTTCCCTCACTGCCCTTTGTGGCAGACCAATACGTCGGCCCAACACTCCCCTCTGTGGCTGTCACGGGAAGCGTTTCGGTACCCATGTAGTCAGCAAAGAGCTTCTGCACGTAGTAGCTCATGGTGTACAGCACTTCAGTAGCAGTGTGCTTGATGACGGCGACAGTATTGGGTTCTTCGTCATAGTGCTTTATCAACGCACCGTAAGCCGAGCCAACAATAATGTCAGAGTTTCGTTCGCATCCAAGCAAAAAGACGGCCTCGGCACAGGCCATTCCAAATGTCTGGGCTCCTATTTCGGCTCCGGTTCCCGTACCAGCCCGGATAGCGGCGTATTCGGCCACAAAGACGGGGTAGTCCCGACTCGCCTGGTCGAATGTGTTGTAGAGGCTTGCAAAGTGACGCTCATTGTCGTAGATGTGGAGGTCTATCATGCCTCCGCTCCCCTTGTCAGGTGATGGCGATGGGTTGATGGTGGAAATAATGTTCATCTTTGGATACTTTGCCCTGATCGCATTGTACAAAACCATGAAGCGGTAGGAATAGTAAGACGAGCGACCATTGTTGAGGTAGTCTTCGTTGCCGATCTCAACCCATTCCACTTTGAACGGAGTCGTGTATCCCAAGGCGGCCCTCTTGGCCCCATACGTGGTTGACTGGTCGCCCTATAGATATGGTTAGTTAGGTGTATTCTGATACACAGAGAAAGCTTACAGTGAGGAACTCCAACTCATTCAACGCCATATCGATGTAGGGCTGCATTTGGTTTTGGGGAATAATGTTGCCGTTGAGATACAACCCAGCGTGCACTCCGAGAATGACAGTGAGGCCCAAGTCCTGAGCCATCTGCATCTGGTCCAGCAGTCCGAACCCATCTGTGTTGATGTCCCCCCAGACGCCCAGCATTCCGGGGCGATCCTTCAGGTTTCCAATGGTGTTGTCCCACTTCCAGTGCTCACCGAGTCGTAAGCCCTGCATATTGTTTCCGCCAGGAAGCCGGATCCATTTCGTGTTGAGACCTTCAAGGCTAACCATCAGATCCTCACGGAGACCGTTGTGGCGATTTTTATATGTTTGCTTGAAGAGACTGAAGAGGTTGAAGTAGATGCTCTTTCCAGCAAGCTGACGACCGTCAAAGGCAAAGTAAAAGGTGTTGTTTCCGTTTCCAGCTGCGACGGTGGGTTTGAAGGTCGGTGTTGAACTCTGTTTCCATCCATCCGAGGCCTTCTGGTTCAGCTTAATCTTGGAGGACGAGAGCTTTTGGCCAGAGATGGTGTTTTTGAAATAACATTCCACCTCGCCATTGTAGTCTCCTCTGACGTACACACTAGCGATGTATCGCTTGGCCGCATCAACACTGAAGCCCCAGAAGCCATCATTATAAAAGCCAACAGTGCCCGTCGTGCCTTCTGGGACATCCATTCGCAGGTGGTACCCGAGGCTGGACGAAAGACTCGGCTCGGATTGATCAATAGAAAGGTTCACTCCACCAACAGGATTCCAAAAATCCGTGTTTCGATCATAGCTTGCTCTTCTGCTTCTTCCGGACCCCTGGAAAGCCCGGTTGCGAAGCATTTCGCCATAGAGGCCGCCGTCTCCGGAATGATAGATGTCCTAGATGCTTCGTTAAACAGTTGAGAGACGTACAGTTTGACACGCTGTAGACTAACCTCGTAGAGTAAGCCATACAACAGCTGGCTGGAAGCATTACCGCCGGATGAGCCAACGGTAAGGCTCAGGGTCGTGGCGACCTGAACAAGGGGTAAAATTGATGCAAGAAACAACATGACAGGATCCAAGTGATGAAAGATGTTCCGAAGAAGGTCTTGTCTGGAAGTGGGCTTTAGCTTGAAGAGTTGCCATTCACATGTGTCTATATATCCAAGTTAGTCCCCATGCAAACTCGTTGTTTACTCTCCCGAGGCCCTTGCTAGGTCGGCGTTTGCTTGTCCGAGATAATTACTGAAAGGTTGCATCTCGGCCCATGTTCTGAAAACTGGTGACCAGGGACAAGATGAATTTTTGGACAACAAAGGGAGTTAACTAGCCGAGCTTTGACCCGGAAGTTGGCCCGAAACAGTCGTTGTTTCTTCATTTGTCCAAGATGCCAACTCCATGAGTTCATCCCAGGTCACAAGCTGATCCTTGATGAAGAGACACAAGTTTAGCTTCGGGATTAAATAGATATCACTGGCTCACTCTCCGTAGTGGCGTTTGTCTCCCCATGTTCTCTCCACTCAACCCCAGACAATCAATCGCCGTGTGCGGGGATCTGCATTAACCCCAGGTTCCCCCCGTAAGGGGTGAGTATGATTGGAGCGCATGACATTTGTCAACCAACTGTTTTAGTACAGCTGAACAGATCATTGTATCAAAGCGGCCCGAGGATTGTTATGTTATGCCATTCTTCGGGACAAATTGGTGCGATGGGTCAACTATATCGAGACCAGCTTCTCCCTTCCCAAACGAACCATGATCAGCAAACTTCGCTTCTTGTCTTAAACCTGCCTACTAAACAGATCAACTTGCATTGCCAATACCATCAAGCCTTCTCTACCAAGACCATGGCGTTGCCCCCTCGAGTCTATCAGTTTCTGGTGGGTGTCTTTGCGGCCGTAGGATCATTCCTGTATGGATATGATCTCACTATTGTGGCTGAAGGTATGGATAGCATACGACCTACACCGAACCTATCATCTTTTGCCCTTACTAATAGGCCATTACCACATCAGTCGTTGCGAGTCAGTCCTTCCAGGACAAATTCACTCCCTCGACTGCTGAAATCGGTCTCGTCGCGTCCCTTCTAACCGCCGGTGCCTTTGTCGGAGCTGCAATCGCTGGAACAATCAGTGACTATTTCGGCCGACGCGGTACCATCTTGAGTGGTGGCCTTGTCTTCTGCCTTGGCGGTGGTCTTCAGACGGGTGCCCCAAACTATAGCTACATTATCAGTGGTAGATTCATCGGCGGAATCGGGTAGGTCCACATCCATGACCAAGTCCAAAACACTGACTAACCTGTCTCTGAAGAATCGGTATCCTTACAATGATTGTTCCGCTGTATCAGGCAGAGTTGGCCCACCCAGATATTCGTGGACTCGTCACAGGTTTGCAACAGTTTATGCTTGGTGTCGGTGGCGTCTGCGGTGCCTGGATCAGCTACGGAACCTACGTCAGCTTCACCGACGACCGCCAATGGCAGATCCCATTTGGTCTGCAGATTGCCCCAGCTGGAATTCTCTCAGCCCTCATCTTTTTGTTCCCTGAGTCGCCTCGTTGGCTGCTGCAGAAAGGCAAGGATGAACAGGGTCTCGCTACACTTGCGAGACTGCACTCTCAAGGCAATACCAATGACCCATGGGTCATGGCCGAGTTCCAGCAGATCCAGCTCCAGGTGGCCACAGAAGCTGAAGCCGAGGCCAAGTCTTTGTCTGAGTTATTCCGCACCAGGGCCAACTTTCGTCGAGTCATGCTTGCCTGCGCTATCCAGGCTGCCACGCAAATGACGGGTATCTCGGCCATCCAGTATTATTCTGTCACCATCTTTGTATGATACCTGTTCTTCTCGCAACTTATATCTTGCTTACGCACATCCTAGAAGCAAATTGGCATCAACGGCACGGACACCCTCCGGTATCAAGCCATCAACTCTGTCATTGGGCTCATTGGCGAGATTATCATCATGGCCTTTGTCGACAAAGTTGGTCGTCGAATCATGATCATTAGTGGAAACCTTGCCATGTGCGTGACGTACATCGTCAGTACCGTCCTGATGGCCGAGTTTCCTGCCTCTGAGGACAACTCAGGAGCTCACTGGGGATTCATCATCATGACATGGTTGTTTAACTTTTGTTTCGCCAGCATGGGCTCTCTTTGTATGTCTAGACCCTACGCCTCTTACGGGATACAAGCTAACATGATGCGTTACTTACAAAGCCTGGATTGTGCCGGCCGAGATCTTTGACACAGCTACAAGGGCAAAGGGTGTGGCCCTGGCTACCATGATATCCTTCGCGTTCAAGTAGGTCTATTCACCAGCGTATTTCAACGGCTACAGAGCTAATAAACACTTTAGCACAATGATCGGCCAAGTGACCCCTATTGGAATGGAGAATGTGGGGTGGCGCTTCTATATCCTCTTCATCGTAAGTCAGAAACTGTCGATGGTTTAAAGACCCTTACTTACTCTCTGTCTCACAGGTGACAAACTTGACGAATGCCATCTTCTTCTGGGCCATGCTGCCAGAAACTAGGAAGCTGCCCCTTGAGGAAATGAACCGTCTGTTCTCGGATGCCCCTCTCTTTGTCGGAAATAGAGACATGAGCCGCTACACGATTAATGAGACATCCGAAATGGCAAGGAACATTGATGACAAGCAGCATGAACAAGAAGGAGAGAGGGTCCATGTTGAGTAGACTTCAGAAGCCGTATGAATCAATGAATCATTACGTGAGGGCTGTCAGTCATTCGGGTTCTGGGGGTGTCTACTTCGTCAGATGGGCTTTATCTATTAACTCTGTCCAATCTCAATAGCATACTACAAGATTGCCCGTTTTAGAGAACAAGCCGGCACTTTCTTCCTACATATGCATGCTAGGAGCGGTCGCCTCCCAAAAATCGCATCTAGCCTGCTCGTATGCTTCCACAGGCTCCATAGCAGTTGCGTTAGTCTGCAGCCTCAACCTACGACCCTTTCCATACTTCTTCCACTTTGGATGGCCATCGCCTCTGATCGAGTCAAGAGAACCCTTTGCCAGAGCGAAATCAGTCCAGTACTTCTGCACCTGGCCAACAATGCGTCTGTTGGCGCCACCTGCATTATAGCTGGTGGCGCCAGGGAGAGCGACGTATGACGTCGCGTACTCAGGTCCCCAGACTGCCTGGGTCTCCCACGTATGGGGCACGATGTAACCAGCAGCCAGCTCTGCGGCGTCGACGATGTTGTCACGAAACAGGAAGATGCCAACTCCTGCAGAGCTCAATTCTGAAGCGAAGTTGAGTGCAGGACAAGTATACCCCGCATCCCCGTACATCTGAGCAGCACGGTAGTGTAGTGGTGACACCGAAACGTTGACGCCAGGATAAGTCTCTGGGACGCACGAGTAGAGATCTTCCGCCTTATTCAATTGGGCATTGGTCAAGTCCGGGTACTGGGTTTTGAGAAAAGAAGAGATGTCTTTGGTCGTGTTCGCCTGTGGAGCAAAGAGTGTCCCCTCGCTATGGGATGATCCAACAATGAGGGGCCTATGCTTGGAGAAGTTGCCGGCTTTGAGCATCGCATATGGAGTGTCGGTAAACAGCTCCCCGTCAATGACCGGGCCGTACGGGAAAAGCGGAAGATCAGCCTGTCCGGGCGCAGCGCGTCCGAAGTTCGCAGCTTGCACGACGCTGGAGTTGAGGCTGCGTAGGCAGGCGAGGTTGTCGCAACCGGTGGCATTCAGCAGTTGATGATACTGAAACTCGACGTCTTGGACACGACGAAAGGGGGGCACATAAGTGGCTGCCGCAATACCTGCCCGCCAGTTGACGTCTTCTCCCTTAGGGGGGTTGCCGCCGTACGCCAAGGTCTGCAGCAGGACACCTCCACCACCGACAGAAGTTCCAAAGAGCGTGATTCTCTCAGGATCGCCGCCAAACTTGGAAATGTGCTTCTGGACCCAACCAATAGCTGCCCGCTGGTCTTGGAGTCCAATGTTCAGGTTGCCCTCTTCTTGGAGCTCCTTGCTGGCAAGGAAGCCAAAGGGACCAGTACGATAGTTGAACGTCGCGACGATTATGCGTCCGCCGCTGGCTTCAATCAGGCCGGTTCCGTTGTAGTTGGGGTTGAAAAGTTGCACGAATGCGCCGCCTTGCAGCCACAGCATTACCGGAAGTCGGCCAAGTTCGGAGTCGGTCGCATTAGAAGGGGCGTAGACATCGATAAACAGGCAATCCTCGGACAGAGGAACGGGGACAGAGCCGAATGCAAGTTCCTGGACGCCATAGCAAACGGGACCGTGCTGTGATGGGGATCGTCAGCATATTGGAACAAGTACAAGAAACCTTACGGACTGAAACGAGCCTCTTTTGCTTGCATTACATGCTTCTCTCGCATGGGGTCCTTTGCACACCTGAATCGATTGTCGCCGACAGGAGGTGCAGCGTAACGCATACCCAGATATTGGTCGACCCCATTGTCGAGTGACGTCCCTTCATAGGTAGCGTATCCAAGTTTGACTCTTGGATCAGCCCCAACCACTCTCAAAAACGACAGGGCTGTCGTCCATTGTAAAGCTAAAGATAGGGTTTTCATTGTAAATGCACCAGGAAGTGACTTATCGAAAAGAGCCAAAGAAGGAGATGTCAAGATAACCTCAGGGGATAAACAATGCTGAGACTGCCTTGGGAATTAAGCCATGCAGTTTTCTCTACGCCAAGTTTTATAGAAATCCCACTGATGGCTCATTAGTTTCTCTCATATGGATGGCTCAGTCATAACGAAGCTATCCCACAAGTTTTTTGGCCCATATCCCGCCATCCGCCCGAAACCTCCACGGCGTCCGAAATTTCCACGGCGCTCCACGGCGATCACTACACAGAATTCGAGTTTAATTTGTAGAACAGCAGGCTGATCTTTTGAGCAAGAGGGTCTAGTCTTGACTTTATTACAAACAAATTGCGATTGATTGCAAATGATGATCAAATGAGAAGTTGGTTTCTCTCGCATCTCCATGACAAATCCGCCATGCGTGATGTGCAGCCAACGTTAACAACAGTCTGCTTTCTTCATTTTGTTCCCAATAGCGTCGCCAAAAGATATCTTCAGACCACAGTCTACTTAATAGGCCGTTTCCGCTATCAAAACACATCAATCTGTTCATCCCCCACCCAGTTTCTCAACCGTGTGTCGCCCAGCAGACATCTAAGAATATCCTTTTCAGTGCCTCAACAAATATCCTCCATGTCATCTATCTTGGTCGTGGGAGCTGGTGAGCTCGGGAACTCTGTCCTTCGAGCACTAGCTCTCTCCCCCAAGCGCCCACAAACAACTCAGATCACAGTTCTGCTACGACCTGAGACCCTTAGCTCCCCGTCTCCAGCAAAGAAACAAAACATCGACGAAATCCAATCCCTCAGAGTCAGGATTCAGAGCGGCGACTTTATCGCAGCAAGCGTCTCTGAGCTCGCCACCATCTTCCAGCCCTATGGCATCGTCATCCAATGCGCTGGGTACGGCATGCCCAAAGGCACTCAGGTGAAAGTCATCCAGGCGGCGCTTCAGGCCAAGGTGCCTCGCTTCTTTCCGTGGCAATTTGGGCTTGACTTCGATCAGATTCCGGAGGCCAGTTACGGGGGGATGTTCGACGACAACAAGCTTGTTAGGAAGATGTTGCGTGAACAGCATGACATTGATTGGACCGTCATTTCAACCGGACTGTTCATGTCGTACTTGTTCCTCCCGTCGTTCGGCGTTGTCGATGCCAAGAAGAGAGTGGTAAGGGCTTTGGGAAGTTTGGAGAACAAAACCACCATCACTCTACCCGAGGATATCGGCAAGATGGTCGCTGAGGTGGTGTATGCCCCTTCGAAGGGAGATTCGGACCACATGGTATACTTGAGTGGAGACACCATCACATACAGCAGGCTTGCTGACCTGGTCGAAAAGCATTTCAACGCCAAATTCACGAGGGAGCTGTGGGCGATCCCAAAGCTGATAGATGATCTAGAAGAGGATCCTGGCAATCTCTGGAAAAAGTATCGGGTGTTTGCTACTGGGCATGGTGTCTTTTGGGGGAAAGAAGCAAGCTTCAACGTCAAGAGGAAAATTCCCCTGACCAGTGTCCCGGACAGCCTTGAGCGCAATGGAGAAATGATTGAGGATTTGGAGTAGATAGCTCATCTGTTAGTGAGTGGTCGCCAGAGTGTTGAGGTCAGAATGTTGAAGGGGGACTAGAAGGAAGTCAAGGTTCTACAGCACCAAGAGAGATGGCCAGAGGGTAGACTCTGGTCGAGTGCGGGTTCGGGGACTCTAGACACGTCACTGTTAGAGGAAGTCTACTTACATTGGTCAATGCCTTACCTAACCCTAACAACTGTTTAGACAAGACCGTGACAAGATAATATGTGTTTGAAGTGCTTTCACGACATGGAAAACTGTTAGGCCACACTTCTTATCCAGAGGTAACAAGAGCAGTACTAGATATGGCGAGGGGCCCGAATATATAAAGGGGCTGGAGGGTCGCAATGATAATCACGTTGCGTTCTGCCGCATCCACTTAATATTGAGCAAGGGGTGACAGCGGAGCAGAGTGTCCACCGTGAGTGCGAATACGTGAGGAAGAAGCCTACACCGCAACGAGATGATATACTAGCTTAGTTAAAAGTAGTTATTTTAAGTTCACCGAGTATACATGGGCCTCTAGTAAGTTATTCGGATTCTAGAATGATACCGGGTAGTTCCGTCTGCCTCAACTGCCGATAGGAAGAGCAGGGTTCAATACCAGGGCCCATGGCTTAGCACTGGACGGTATTATTCATTGGAATTAAGATGTCATTAGAATTGAGATGATTCTTTCACGAAAAGGAGGGAATTCGCATCCGACTTCATGCTCTTGTCAGTGATTCGGATGAGAAGTGCAACCTGAGCGAGCAGATGAGTCCAGAACGACAAAGGCTGAAAGTTACCGAATTGCTGAGGCTGGAGGACACCCACTGCTGCCAAGACGTATAGTATGGAGTAAAACTGGAGCGCTGCGGGAAGAGGCCCGTGGTTTGAGCCATATAATAGGTTTGATGGCACAAGACGATCCATAGCTCTAAGAGAATGCACCAGCTTTTATGACGTGGCAACGGATGAGAGGAATCTTTTAATAGAACAATAACAAAGAAGTAGAACTCTAAATAATTATGCCTAAATTACCCAAGGGAATGCTCACTACCTAGGTGGCAGCGTGACTAGACCATAGACTTGACTTAACCCCATTACCCTACATGGGATTCCGTAGACTGCATGAGAATTCGCTTGTACGCCCCAGCCAATTACATGCCACCCGCGTATACGCATTGACTTAATAACTGAGGCCTCCATATTGTTGAGGATGCTGTTAAGAGTGACATCAACTGGAGACAAACATCAGGTGTTTCCCCTCATGAAACAAGTTCCCTGCATTACTCGTAAGACAGACCGACAATCATCGATCCTGACACCCTCGAATGGCATCCCTCCATCGACCTCGTGTTTCCCATTCCCCAAGTCCAAAAGGTTCCCATCTTCCCCCAGGATGAGCCCAGCAATAAAAATGGCATACGTCAGCGTGCCCCCAGGTACTAAAAACAGCATAGCCCAGCTCCGGCAGCTGCGGAATGCAAGGGTGGCAATAATCTTCCGGAAGCCTCAAGGGTACGTTACAGCTGATCCTCGGTAAACGCACGAAACAGACGAGTCCCCAGTTGTGATGGCCTCTTGAAATGGGTCTCTTGGGCTCTTGGCTGTTGTGGAGACGTACATAGGGGCTGATAGAGGGCGGCATTCCAAGTTGCGGGTGGCCAATTGGTGGAGAGTCGGGATGAGCTGTGAATGCCGTCACCGGAGTAATAAACATCAGACCCCCAAGTATCGGCCGAGTCCCGCTCCAACCACTGAGAAGGGCCCTGAAAGTGCCTGAAAGTGCCGTCATTACAGGAGGCGTGGACAATGCGGGCCCCAGCCAAGCCCCGGAGCTGGGGTGCGTTTTTCTCGTATTCTTTAGAGGGGAATGATGTCAGAAGGGCCCGCTGTCTCCCTACGCATAGACTCGTTTACGAGAAGATCTTCATGAAGATCTTTGTGTCGCCTCGTTTTGTTTGCTATATAAAGGGCATTGTAAGAACCCAATCTGGTGGCTGTTTGTACAAGTCATCCTACAGCATCAACACCATAAAAGCATCACAATCCACAACAACACACACCAATACACTTCACCTTTTACCACTTTAAATCCTTCAATATGCAGTTCAAGACTCTTCTCGCTCTCCCCGTCCTCAGCGGCCTCGCTGCTGCCGCTCCCGCTGCCGACGCTGCCAAGACTCCCGGACCCTTCCAGATCCTGGCTCTCCGCTCCGCCAGCGACATCCACTTTGCGACCGTCAACGCCGCCAAGAGCAGCCTCTTCCTCCATCTCCCTCACTCCAACGCTACCTGCGACACCAAGTCTGATGGCGCTGCCACCTTCAGCTTGACCGAGGACGGGGAGCTGTACCTCTACTCTACCGACAACCCTCCCCAGAAGCTCTACGCCGACCGATCTGGCATGGGTAAGCATTGTTCCAGGAAATAAAGTAATGCCGCTAACATTAGCAAAGGCCAGGGTAAGCTCGGATACACCACTGGTGCTCAGCCTCCACCCAAGAACGGCGAGGTCAAGGGCTGGGTGATTGACAAGGACGGCAACCTGTCCCTCGACGGCGCGAGCCTCCTCGCCTGCCCCAACAGCATCGAGGGCGCCTGGAGCATCTGGGTCTCCGCCGGTGTCGCCAACCCTGCTGGCAACGAGGGCTGCCTGGGATTTTCTGCCCGCACCACTGAGGTTGAGAAGCCCAACAGCTGCACCTACACCTCGTAGATGCGATGATGAGCATGATTCTGTAAATTAGATACCACGGACAAACCGACCTTTGTACATTCTTACAACCTATTGATAACAGCCTCATCTTAGACTCTTTCTGAGGCTGCTTAGCTCAATCAGTAAATACAACTGAATGCATGCAACCATGGCACACTCACTGTGACACTTGAAGTTCAAACGATCACCAGACTGCATCAGCGTGACATCCGAACCGTACCCATCCAGTTTAGCTCATGTACCTGCAACCCGAACAAACCAACATCAGGGTCCTCAGGTGGCTTCCCCTACCCACTTAGTGAGCAATTAATGCTGGTCTTGTCTCCCCAACGCGCGAGATCTGGCAGAGTGAAAACCCCAGATGACACCTTGAATCGTTATCAATCTTGTCACAATCGATCAAGATGACCCCCAAACTCGTGGCGCGTGATTCTCCAACGAACGAGTGTCAGGAACAACGCGCCTGATGCCAAGTTGCCAACCAAGCCCAACTGTGGAGAAAGCCAGCGACATCGGGTCATTCGGCCTGAAGGATTCCGTAGGATCACTCACGTGACTTCGAGCCGATGTCGTGCCGCGTTTTATCAGATGATCAGATAAAAAACCTCGCACGAGCCTCCCCTTGTCACCCACCCGTCCGCCATCAAAACTGCCTCGACACATTTTGCGAGCTGCCGGCCATGAAGTTCGCAGCGTCTCTGGCTGTGCTAGCCTCGTACATCGCGATATGGAGCTCGCCAGTCCGTGCCGCTGCGATCAGGTCTCCCGATGAGGTTTGCTACGATTCCTGCCAGGCGTGTCTAAAGCCGGTGCATTTCGATGAGACACTTTGGAACCAGACGGGCCTGCTCAAGCCGTGCTACAGCCCGCGAGCCATAATCTCGCTGTACCTATGTCTCGATGTGCACTGCAAGCCTGGGGCTCGAACCGTCGGGCTGGGTCCCCTCAACGAAACATGCCAGGAGCGCGCGCATACGGTTCTCCCGCCATTCAGCTTGATTTCCAACTACAGTGCCGATGATATTGCCAAAGTTCGAAGGTTCGAGTTGAATGAGACTGGCCAGTCTCACACTTTTAGAGAGGTGGTGATTCCGTCGGAGCACTTCTTTCGCGTTTGGTGGGACACGCTGGTAGGCAGCCAAATCAGATCGGTAAACTGCGGATTTAACTGGGTTTCTAGGACGCTGTTGCCTATGTGTATTGGTACCACTTTATCTATGGGTAAGATACTCACTCTACCACTTAAGTAATGGGCTGACCGGCAACAGCGCTGCCATGGTCGTCTTCTGGGCCGTCGTTATCGCTATTGGAATCATGAACCATGTCGGACAACACATTGCCGCCTTGCGCATGGTTCGGAGCAAGCCATCAGGATCTGGATCAAAATTGGGCAATTTCTACACCCGGACTTTGAGTTCGATTACTACGCCAGCCACGTTTGGGGATCGATGTGCTCAGAAAATCGGTTGGGGAACTGTGCCGCCCAGGATACAGTCCCTGACTCTGGTTGCTTTCCTCTTGGTTAATATTGCGCTGAGCATTCACGGATACAGAATCACCCCCAAGAACTTCTAGTAGGTGCCAACCACAGCCGTATATGACGATAGAATCTCACCTCTACTTCTAGCTTCGAAACCAAAAAGCGACAAATCCTTCGCTACGCTTCCGACCGCACAGGCATCATCTCATTTGCCAACTTTCCGCTCATTTGGCTGTTTGGCATGAGGAACAACATTCTCATGTGGCTTACTGGATGGGACTTTGGAACTTACAACAACTTCCATCGCTGGGTTGCCCGCATTGCTACTGTCCAGGCCATCATCCACTCCATCGGTTACACACTCCTTGTTATTGATGGTATGCGATATGTACATCCCCGCTATGGGCCTCATGCTTATTTGGATATTAGAGGGTGGCTTCGAGGCTTTCGTCAACTGGTGGTTATATACATTCTGGTGGACTGGTGAAGTGGTATGTTTCTCAGCCCTGTTATCCACGCCCCTATTCACTAACATATGCAGGCTACCATCTTCATGTCTCTTCTCATCGGCGCATCATTCTACTGGATCCGACGTCAGCATTACGAATTGTTCCTGGTTGTTCACATCGTCATGTCCATCATCGTATTGATCACCATGCTTGGGTAAGAGAAGTTGTACCTTTCCCCTGAACTAATACTGATCAAGTCTAGTCATGTCTCCATCTTCGGTGGCCAATTTGATGGTCTGTTCTGGGTTCCCTGCTTCATTTGGGTTGGTGACCGCGTCCTCCGAGCTCTCCGAATCGCAGCCTTCAACCCCAAGTTCTGGGATACTCGAGCGACATCCATCTACAACCCTTCCTCCAACATTGTCCGACTGGTAATCCCTTGGTCTACAAGTCTCTACAAGCCAGCTCCAGGAACTTACTACTATATACACGTGCTAAATGGCTCTCGTTGTTGGGAGAGCCACCCTTTTACCGTCGCCACAGTATCAGATGAAGGGCAACCAGCGGCGAAGCTTATGGGCGAGCAGGTTCCTCTCCTCGAAGCAGACAACGCCGGCACAAGCTCAGACAACGCGGAGACCCAAAGTCTTTACCCTGACGCCTGTAATATGACCTTCCTCGTCCGACCATACGACGGCTTTACTTCAAGACTCCGAGACGCTGCCGAAGCGGCATGGCCCAGGAAAGTGCCCCAAACGGTACTCGTCGATGGTCCCTATGGACACACCCAGCCGTTCCATCTCTTCGACAACGTTGTTTTCGTTGTTGGCGGTAGTGGCATTGTCGTTCCACTATCCTACCTCCAAGCACTGACCGGCCCAATCGCCCCCAAATCCGTCAAGATCCACTGGGCAGTCAGAGAACCCGGTTTTGCGTTAGATGTCCTTCACAACGACATCGGCGAGCTTCTCGGAAGTTCAAATCTCAGCGTAGAGATCCATCTCACAACGCATACACCCCAAGACGAACTCAACGATTGGCCATCACAAGTAACACTCCACCACGGCCGCATAAATGCGCCATCAGTTGTGAGGAGCACAAGCGAGAAAGCAGGCAGCGAGAGCGTCGCAGTCGTTGCTTGTGGTCCTGCACAGATGGCAGATACAGCTAGAAAGACGGTTGTAGAGCTGCTGCACAATGGGGTCTCACGGATAGAGTACTTCGAAGAGAGCTTCCAGTGGTGAGACGGCATAGATTGATTTGAGCGCCTACATATAGATTTGCATCATTTGTTAGATATTTAGCGCATGGCATTAAACGCATGGATGGTTTCACAATCATTATAGTTGAACATTCCGCACTTCACCGTCCCTCTTCATCTTGATCGTAGTCTGCCTTGTGCTTAACTGACGGGCTTATAGCGGCGTCTGGGGCGTTTTCTCTCGCGTAATAGTTTGTTTTTAACCATATCTACAGAAGCTAGGAATGGTGGCACCAGTCTGCGCAATACAATGCCGGCATGATCAATCTCCTGCAAGGCACAACGCCATGCTTACAGCCCATGTCATGCTGGTTGACGCCTTCAGCCAAACGATGAAACCCGAGCCACTTATTGCTTTCGAACGCAGCCGGTGAACCTAGACCAAGGCCATTTCCGGTCTTTATGGCGTTTTGTCTCGGGGCTATGGAGAACTGTGGCTGACGACCCCCTTCAACAGCCGCGCCTGGACTGGATCTAGATTCCTTGGCGCTGCCATCACCAGGGACGCTATCGATTCTAGCACCATGCCATTCGTTTGAATTGTCTCTTTGCGGGATGATGTCTCTCGTAGGACTGCTTCTTGCTGTTAACCCTTCGGCTGGCGCGGTCCCGTTCTAAAAGCGCCATCTCAGCCCTAGGGATTCAGCTGAACTGGCCAACAGCCCCTTATTTCTGTCTAGTCTGGTGGACTTTTAAAGTGGTCGCTGACCTGTGTCTTGTCGATGCGTCAAAGCTCCTCAACTCATCTATCAAGATGCGGCTCTCACTACCATCTCTCTTGCCATTTATGCTGCTGGTGCAAGTGGTGATCGCCCAGAATGCTGCTCTCAATACCCTACCAGTCATCTGCGCTGGCGTCAAAGAAGTGTCAACATGCAAGATCAAAGTCATCGTGCCGAGTGGTGTCAAGGTCAACATGAAGACAATCAAGGTCCCCACGGTAGGCCAGGCTCAATAAGCACGCATAGACAGTCTCATGCTGATACTAGGTAGTGGAACAAATGCAAAAGCCGCCTATGGGCGGCATGGAATTGCCCGACCTTGAAGAAACCCCTCAGGATTTGTCGGGGATGGACTTGTATCCCCGGTAAGCCTTGCCCTTAAGATAACGAAGAAGAGGTTTACTGACACTAGCTTAGGATGGGAGAAGAAATCGGTACAAGTCCCTTCCAGTTTGACCATTCTCACCAAGGAGGTCGATCTCTGCGATGAGATCCGGAGGGCGCTCGGCAAGGGTCTGGGAGACAAGTTCATCAAGTCAGCCGAGGCCATCTGTGGCTGCTTCACCCGGCTGCAAAACTTCGCAACGACTGGTTCTTTCACTGCCATGTCAATTCGGGGCGAGATGACGACAGCTACTGCAAAGGTCGCGGACGACACTCTTAGTATTGAAAAGGTACCGTACCCATATGCCTCCCAAATTCTCATCTAATCTGTCCAAGTGCTTCGGGAAAGTCAGTCTACCAATCCTCAACAACAAGGTCGACATTGCGAGCGTGCTCAAATCCATCGCTCCGTGGGTTGTCGCCCAAGCCAAAGAGGTAAGTCTTGTTTGCGCTTACTAACTGCATTGATATTGATGCTCAACTTAAAATCTTAGATTGATCTTTCAGTCTTCCAATCTCTCGCTCGTGTAGTCGCCGCATGTCAAGCCGGCAACTGCAACGCCAATGCTATCAGCACAGCCGTCAACAATTATCTAACCCCTTCATTCCAACTGATGGAGCCCCCGATCAAGTCGGTACTTGTTCAATGGGATGGTGCCCTGACTCGCATCCAAGAAAGGGTCAACGATATTAACGAGGCTGCTAACTCTCTGGCATCGAATTACGACATTATGCGAGCCGAGTTCGATTCAAGTAAGCAAAAGATCTGCGAGGAACTTCAAAGGTGCGATGGGCAGGGTGTCCTAAAGTTCCTCGACAAAGGTACGTCTCCAAAACCTTCGTGATAATGCAAAACGTACTGACTGCCAGCAGTTGACGAAGTTATCGAAGCTGCCAACAGACTTTGGCCAGTCCGAGGTCCCCTTGACGTTCCCGCTAATCAGCTGGGAAAGAGACTGGATGACATGATTCAACTAAGAAAAGACATCAAAAAGTATCCGGACGCTGCCAGTCTGGTCTCCATGATCAAGCAGGGCAAGTTCAAAAAGATCAGCGACCTATTCCTGTTCATGCCCATCGTCCAGCGAGTCCCGGAACTAGCCAAGCAGATCAAAGCCGACCTTTCCCCACTCCAAGACATCATCAAACAATACAAGCAACCATCAAGCGATGCCCAGGAAAGCACATGGTCCCTCAGCTGGTCAAACATAATCTGGCCAGACACGGAACTCACATCCGACTCACCCGAAGCAGACGCCGCTCTGATCGCCGAGCTAAACGCAGCAGACGACCTAGTGAGGAAGTACCTATCCACCCATATTCTAGCGTATAGCAACGGCATGGCAATAATGGACGCCGAGCTTAGGGGCTTCTCGGTGGTCAACGGGTCGTTTGCCATGGAGACCAAGGTGGCGACGTATAACCGGTGGACAACGCTCTCTATGGACATGCCCTGCTCCAAGAAGGAGACCAAGACATACAAGAAGAGCGGGCTTCAAAAACCATTCTCGTGGAGGACGTACTTCAAGTGCAAAGTGGCTCCTGTGACGGCATATTTCCCAAAAGCTCATGTGCCTTACGTCAGGATCCGGGGTGGAGCGGGAATAGATCCCAACGATCAATAGTATCATGCCTTTCTCTTTTCTGCATGCTCTCTTTCCTTTTTATTGGGGTAAACATTCTTGCTTTGTAATTTCCTCCTATTCTTTCTCTCTTTGTTTATCGTTATGACAAGTATCCAAACCTGGCATCTGCTATAATAACAAAGCCAGTTGTTATGTATATGGGAAAGAAAGCCCTCTCTCAGTGCTATGCTCACGGTACAGGTTTAATGTGTTTGCCCGGCACCAGTTAAATTCACCTATGAACAAGTTGCAGCAACGTTTCCTTCGTCATGCCCCATTTCGCTTACCAATGGCTCATGCGTCATTAGTGCCGTTTTTATCGTGGAGAAAATACTCAAAGTCAAAGTCATGTAGTACGTTTGTGTCGCTAATTGGAGAGGGCAGCGGTTCCTCCAGCTCAAACTGCTCCTCTGATGGTTGAGCAACTTGGAGTTTTGGAAAGCCACCTCTCTTCGTGTAGGCACGGCAAGCAGCCTGCAGCACCAGGCTTTCTTGTCGCCAGTTTACACCCCGTCGGCTCTCGGCAAGTTCAGCGTATGATCGGTCAAGAAGACCCCTTGTCGGGTCGAAATTCGGGTGTGAGAGGAGTAGACTCAAGACCTTCAAATGTGTGCCACCAATTGTTGCGAGAATCGGTGTTGAGAATTCCAACTTCACAGAGTACAGTTCGATCCTCTGGCATGCGGGTGGGTCTGGGTCGAAACCCTCCTGAAAAATGAGGTATCTAACTGTATCGTAGTGACCAAACGCCGCGGCAGCCACCAATCCCGCAGCGCCCCTTATTGTCTCGTGATTCGGAAGCGCATCCATCAGGTACAATGGAAACATCTCACCCCGCAGACCCATTTCGTTGAGGCTTAGATATTGTGTTGGGCGAAATAAAATGGAATCGTTAGGGGGGACATCTGGCTGGAACTGAGATAGGGAATCTTGATCGTCAGTAATAGCATCTCGTGGACCTTCCCCTGTCTTCTTCAAAGTGGAGCAGTCGTATGGTTGCCTCTCATGCTCACTTTCGTTCATCCGGCGATCTTGGCTGTTCGAGTCGGAAGAGATAGTGATTATGGACTGTTCCCTGCTATTGCGGCCATACTTCTGTACCTCCATCAAGCCGGTGAGCTTTGGGGATCCCAGAAAGAGTGGGGCAGTATGATTGGTGACCTGTTCTGGACTATCACCATCGCTTCCTGGCGTCTCCCATGGGGGGAAATGGTCGTCTTGCGGTTGTGGCTGTGGGCTGCTTCCAGACGCCTTTGTTTTCTGAGCTTCCAGGAGGCGCTGTCTGAATACAGAGGTCGTTGACTGTTGTTGGTCATTTTGAACACTTCCAGGCCCAGTCCTGCGAATCCTCTTCCTAGCTGCCACTACAGCATGATGTTTGCTCATGTGATTCCTTAGTGCCTTAGCGGACGCTAAAGGGGGATACTGACAGCCGGGAAACGTGCATGGGAAGTATCTGACGTGGAACATTTCATGCTCGGAACGGAGTTTCTCCGCCTCAAAGCCCAATGTTGCCCTTGGACAGGATCCCAATCGGCAAGTGAGCGCAGCGGTCCCAAAATGGACTCTGAACAGTTCCATCTCGTCCCCAGAGAGACCTGGGTAGTGATCGTGGTCCAGTAGTGACTTGACAACGTCTTGATACGATTCAAGCAAGTTGGAGATGCTCTCTGACATGAAGCGAGGGTTGGAGGGTTCTAGGGTCCTTTTAGAAGCTACTTCAGGTTAGAAGTCATTGAGAATACTCATTCTGAGGTCTTACTTACCATACCCTCCCAGCAATCTGGCCTCAAGATTCTTCAGAGACCTAGCCTTCAAAGCTCTCCCAACACAATTGTAAAGTGTAGGGTATTGCCGTAGATTTTGGAGGCGCTCATCAGGCTGACTGGTGCCCATATCATGCTCCGCAACACTTCCTAGGCCTGAAACCTCCACCGCTTCCGCCAATTGGCAAGCAAGAATCGTTAGTGGTGCAGGGGAATCCGTGGCGAGCCCGTCAGTCGTTGCAACATGAGACAGCAAGTACTCACTCCAATACTCGGTGGCATAGACGTGAAACCCATGAAGGCCCTTGCCGACCCGAAGGAATCTCTCTTGTTCAGAAAGCTTGCTTCCAAAGACTCGAAACCCAGATAAAAGGCAGGTGACAGTTGCTACACCATGCTCGTGAAGCGCTTGCTGCTTGTGGATCACTATATTGCTCGAAGAGCTTTGAAGAAACCTAGTCCAGTAAGCTAATCATCCAAGACTTGACTTGCTATGCCTCTTACTCTCTCACAGAGATGTGAATAAATGCCAGGGTTGAATCCCTTCTCTCCTCGACAATTGTCCCACAGATGTCCAGTATGTATTGAGGCGCAAGAACATCAACCTTGGGGTCACCAGGACTGAATGTAATGGCAGAAAGGAACTCAAGCTTCTGGAGTGGCCGTTTCGCAAACGCAACCCAGCCTAGAATACACCTGACTCGGTCCACGGAGCGAGCGTCCAACTGAACCAGGATCTGGGTTAGCATCTTGCGGTAACTGGTGAGAGTATTAGCATGGGGTTTCAGAGGCAAAAGGTAACATAAAACATGCAAGTCTGCAAGCTTCTTCGGCAGTTGGTTTACCGACTGCTTGATTTCGTCGCTACTATAAAAGATGTTGCTCGCGAGGTAGTCCATAACAAGGCGAGCGTAGAGGAACATGCCTAGACAAGGTCAGCCGATTTTCAGTGGAGCTTACTGTGTCAAACGAACGACGCACCATCGGCTTTTACCACGATCACACTCCGAATCTCTTCAATTTCTGCCCGACCTATACCAAGCTGCCGGAGTCTCGTGTCTAGTGATACCAACCTCTCTCTGACGTACTGCCCTATGGCTCCATGCAGAGAGGTCTTTTCGTCTGTGAGCGAGACAGTTTGTTTTCTGCGGAGGTTCTGCAATGCATTCGATGGGGAACGGCTTGACACCAAGACCTTGCACACAGTGCTGCCAGGCAAAGAGGGCTTGGATGTAACCTGGTTGATCAAACGTATCAGGCGGATCTGTTTGTCCAGCTCGCACTCATCCAATCCGTCAATGATAACCCATACATACTCTTCCTGACTGGGTTGGTTGGACATGTTGGCAAGAAGAGTGTGAAAGAGCTGCTCAAGGGCCGTGGTTGTAGGCGACTTCTTCTCTAAGACGTATGCCTCGTAGACATGGGCTATCAGATCGCCATCCTCTCGGACAAGCTGAAGAATAAACGACTTCAGGATCTGCTCATACGCGGTCGAAGACACGTAGCGGTAGGTGCAAAAGTGGTGAACGACAAACATGTTGGATGCCTTCATGAAGTTGACCAGCTGCGTGCAGAGAACGCTTTTCCCAGTCCCGGCTGGTCCTTGCAGCCAAAGTGCTGGAGTATTCGGTTTGTTCTGAAGCCAGGAGCTGATCTTTGGGTTCTTCAAGATCCATCCACAGGTTCCTTGGTGCTCGGCCACTTCTAAAGATATCGAGTCGAAGATGGCCAGCTGGTCAGATTCGTTGGTCTTTAGCCACGATGCGATGGCCTCAAATTGCTTCGCGCTCTGCTCAGTCTCCTCGCGGCTGAGTTGGCTTTGGCTCTCTTTTCTCCAGGCTCGGATTTCTTCTCGCATCTTCTTAGCTTCAGATATATCGCGGGCGTTAGCCTCCTGGTCGATCAAAGAGCCGTGTTGTCTCAAATCTTCGAGAATATTATTAAACTTTCTCTCGAAGCGTCCCCAGGAAGTGAGAAACATTAATTTCCAGCCTATGAATGTCAGAGAATACCCCTTCTAGTATGGTGTCGATACTACTTACCACTTCTTCGAACGAACTTATAAGCATGCTTGTGAAACTCCAGAATGTCGGCGTAGAAGACAGCAAGCGTCTGCTGGAATTCCGGGTTACCAAGAAAGGCATCACTGAGGATTTCAAAGCGCTTAAGTGACTCGGCGATGCTTGAATAACCTTTGATGATCTTTTCAAAAGCCCCGACATACTCACAAGCTATCCGTAAAATGAGAGTGATTGGTGCCCATATCCACGGCAAATAGGGTGTGCCGTTACACAGAATGTCGACAACCTTGGAGTAGTGCTCAAGCCCTTGGAGGAAGGGCATGAGGCGGCGCATGTTGCGGAGCGACTGCCGAGCGGCAAGCTGATTTTCAATGTCGAGAGCCACTTGCCGGACATTCTGGAGAGTCGTATTGCCAAAATCTCGTTTATCTCCTGGAGCAATGGTGCGGTCAAGCTCGTCGTAGGCGATCTTGATCGTTTTTCTCGCAAGAGCTGATATGGCGGGCTTCAGAGGCATCGTGGGCGACTGTAGGTCCGACGAAAGTTTTTGAGGAACAGATGGGGAAGCCCGGCGGAGAGTGCCTCGTAATTATGGCAAAGCCCAGAGCCTGATATGCATGTATCAATTTGTGACAACACTCAGCCACCGCCAAAATCACAATTCTGGGGCGAAAGTGCAGTTGGGAGGCAAGCCTATTCGCCATCTACGCGCCCAGAACCAACACCATGGGGGCTGTACATACCCACCCCCTGTATACCTGATATCCGCATTAGTTTTAACCACTACATTCTGCCTAGCGAGGTTGATAATGGATATTCAGCCTCACAACGCTCAGAGCCTGACCCGACCTGACCACCTCACATCATCCATTCAAGCTCCAGGGAACAAAGCCAACGGCCCTGACCCATCATACGAAGCGAACTCAGACGCAATAGTCTTTCAGTACGATGGAAGTGCCTCGGGGTTCCAACAATGCACTCAAACGACGCCGGCTAGATGAGGAACCCCAACCACGCCCTCAAGAGATCGGCAGCCTGACCTTGACCGCGGGCCATCAGGCGGGCTATGAATCCTCTACAGCACCCACCGCAGCCCAACAGAGCTACTCTGGTTCAGTAGCTCAATGGGTATCCGCAACACCGCAACCAGATGTCTGGCCAACCGGGAACCTCAACTCGACCCTGCCGTCTCCCTCTGACAACCAATGGAACCCATACCACAGTTTTCCGTCCCAAAGCGGAGCAGGAATTTTATTCCAAGGCAATCCCTACCCAATAGTGGCTAATAACTCACAGCCGCCATCAACAGCTTTCACCTCATGGTCATCCGTCCCCCTGCGATATCCAATGCCGCAAGAACCTGCTCAAAACTATCCACTGATATTTCCTACATCTTTTTGCCCCCAATATCCCATGAATACCACTCAGATTCCTTTGAGTCTCCAGCCATGGCAAAGCGCAGTCTGCGTGGAAGCTCAGCTGAATGTCGACACCATGACAGTCCCGAATCACAGTCCTCCCACTGCACTCGCACCAGCCCAACAGGCCCCCGAAGAAGAAGGGCCAGAAATGGTGTGTTTTGGCATGGTAAGTTGATTCAACAACTATGGAGGTCCATTAATCCTAACCTTATCGAGGTTCCCTACATATCTGCTCGATGTGACCCAAAACGATCACTCAGCATTCCATCATCACCGTTTTCCGTACAGATACAGAGCTCGACAGAGTTCAACTCAAGTGACTGCCCGGAGATCTCTGGCCACATACTATCAGAACATGGCCAAATGGTCCAAGGCCTTCTCGATGAGGAGACCCTAGACCTCTACGTCTCTTGCACCACCCCAGACTCTCAAGGCTCCGCGCAGCAAAAGACGCGTTCCACTCCTCTTCAATGTACATTGGAGATTACCGTTTATGGTCCCTCGGATCTTTTTGAGGAAATTGGGACGTGGTTTGAGGAGTACCAGGTCTACCTACAGGATCCTCGGGAGTGCCACCTTGACGTCAGATACTATAACCCTCATCGTCTTTCTTCGAATGATCTTGAATCCTGCTCTTTTGTTTCGGAAGTTGTTTCAAATGGCCTCCAGTCCATTCATCTTGAGAGAATACCACAGCAAGAGGACCTATTAGACATGCTGGGTAGGCCAGACGATCTAGAAGAAACACCACAGCCCAAAGTTATCAAGGGGGAACTCAGAAGGCGAGTGAATTGAAGTGAATATGCGTATATGTTGCTCAAACTGACCACTCATAACAGGCACCAGAAGCAGGCTCTCACATTCATGTTACGCCGGGAACAGGGTTGGGCTTTCTACGACAAGCGGCCAGATGTTTGGGAGATGATAGACACCGACCAAGGGCGAACGTATGTGATATGCCGTAGCATTGACTTTTGATACCACTGACACACTCTTAGCTTCCTCAACCGAATCTCCAATGCCTATCAACCTGAAGAGCCCCCTCAGTGCTATGGGGGTATCATCGCAGATCCTATGGGACTTGGCAAGACTCTCACCATGATTGCCCTAGCAGCAACCGATTTGGATGGAAACAACACCGACATGGACACAACCGAAGAATGCCAGCCCAGCGTCTCGGCAACCCTCATTGTCGTTCCACCTCCACGTAAGCTTGCCTCCACTGCGATTACTCATACAATGGGATCTGGGTCTAATGCTTCGCAGTAATCGGGACATGGGAAGAGCAACTATCTGAGTGGGTATCTACGTGTGTTTGAACAAGTCCATTCTGACTTCAACCAGGCACGTCATTAACGGCGGCATGGCATGGCACCGCCATCACCGAGAAACTCGCCTCAGCTCCACAGACAGCCTTGACCACTTGAACATTGTCTTGACAACATATCACACAGTCTCTGCAGAGTGGAATAGTGGAAATGGTGTACCAAACGCAGCTCTCTTTTCAGTGCGATGGGAAAGAATCATTCTCGATGAAGGTAAGTCCAGGAGCACCTTCGTGGCAACAATGATGCTAACAAAGGTAGCGCACCTTATCCGAAACGGCAACTCAAAGATGTCCCAGGCAGTCTGTGCACTTGACTCTAAGTCACGGTGGGCTGTTACCGGTACTCCAATCCAAAACCGTCTTGGCGACTTGGCGACTCTATTCAAGTTCATCCGCGCCCACCCCTACACCGATCGAAGATGCTTCGATGTTGATATATCCCGCCTCTGGAAGTCCGGCGAGTATGATGAAGCCATCAAGAGACTGAAGCGTCTCTCAGCCTGCATGCTACTCAGGCGACCCAAGGGAACCATCAACCTTCCCGGCCGGCGGGATATGCAATGTCCTGTCAATTTTAGCACCGAGGAGAGAGTATTGTACGACAAGATACGCCAGAAGGCCATTGTGAGCATCGAAGAGGCTCTAGATAGGGACTCGGAACACTCTAGGGCTGGCATATACGTCAACGTCCTGCAGCAGATCGAGTCACTGAGATTGATCTGCAACCTGGGCCTTCACTATCATACGAGACATGACAAGACCCCTCAAGCCTCCCTGGAAGATAGTGACTGGCCCAGCGCCGCACAGAGGGCTTTCAATGTTCAGCGAGAGATGGGGCCGCTGGTCTGCGTACAGTGCCGGTCAACACTCGAGATTGCAGAGACGCTTTTTGAAGACCCAACCATTTCACAGCAAAGCGCTCAGTTCTCGAGCTGTTTGAGATTTCTCTGTGCAGATTGCACGCAAAAGAGTTTCCAGGCCAGGCACGTCGTGGAATGCGGCCACGATCCTTCTTGCTCCATGGCCGCTGTCTCTACGAACAGCAGTGCTCTAGAGTCAAGTCTAGACGACGTGCAGCAGCAAACAAAGGTCAAGTCCATTGGCCTATCATCCAAGGTGGAGGCTCTCATGACTGACATCAAGACTCTACCACCGAGCGAAAAATGGTGCTTCCCCTAGCTTCCAAGTTAAACTGTCACTGACGTATTGTAGCATTGTCTTCTCAACATGGAGACTAACACTGGACATGGTAGAAGTCGGTTTGGAAAAGGCACACATTCCAAGTGTTCGCTTCGATGGCAAAGTACCTCAAAATGAGCGACAGGAGATTGTGGAGAGATTCAGAACTGACCCGTCTGTCCGCGTCATGCTCTTGACACTGTCCTGTGGTGCAGCTGGGTAAGTATCTATGACTTGTGCGCGAGTTGATGATTGACGACTCCCAGTCTCACCTTAACGGTAGCAACTAGGGCCTATCTCATGGAGCCTCACTGGTAAGCACAAGCAAAAAGCGCCTTTATCCGCGTGCTAAGTATGTAGGAACCCAACTCTCGAAGAGCAAGCCCTTGCACGAATCCACCGAATCGGACAAACACGAGAGGTGACCACAGTAAGGTTCTACGTGCGAGATTCTTTCGAGCAGGTGAGCAACTTTTAATAACGACTTAAAGTCAATTCATAACAGTATGGCAGCATGTCATGGAGGTTCAGGACTCAAAGAAGCATTTGTCAGGCTTATTGCTCGCACCTCACGATGGTGAGCAGGCAGATGAAAGTCGGGGAAGGCTGCAGGTTTGTCATTAGCCCCGTGGCTACTACATATTATTAACAACCGCGCAGACGCTGAGATCACTAATTTGATAGAACTTGAAGTCAAGGGGACGATGAAAGGGGATTTTAGACTAGGATTTGGGTTATATTTACTCAGCCTCGTCTTTTTCTTACTAAAGAATGTGAATATCTTGATCTTCGATATGCAGATTATCTAGGTGGGAATCTCAACAACGCCCACAGCAACAAGGTTGTCAGTATCCCTAGACATGTGTCCAGCACCAGTGATCATCAGCTTCTTCTCTCCTTCCACCTCGATAATCTCCAAACAACGCGAGTGCGATGTCCACTGGTTAACATCCACCATCTTCCAACCATCCGGCTCCCCCGCGTCCTCATTGACAAAGAGTTCCTCCCGGCCGGATCCGTTCATGATAATCAAGCCCGAGCCGTCGTCTCGCTCAGGATGGGGTGTCCAGATGACGAATGGGGATGAACCCGGGCTGGTGTTGGTATCGTTAGACAGGAGCTTGTGTTCCTCAGCACTACCAAAGTCGTATGGCGACGAAGAGACCCTGTAGTACGCAGGGCAGCCACCATCAGGGCCATCGCAGAGTTCGTATGTCATGATGTAGTTGTCGGTAGACTCAATATGCGCAACAACGGCCATGCCTGGGCGATGTTTGTACGTCGAGTGAGCAACATCATCAACGGGATCGGACCAATTCTTCAAATCCTTGGTCACGATATGAGAAAGCTTCTGGGCGTGAGATGGATCTCGCTGGTCCGAGTAGTAGCAGACGAGTTCGCCATCATGCATAAGGAGGAACGGCTCCCAGACTGCCTTGTCTCCATTCTTAGTGGTTTCGGGACCTGGAGCGTAGACGACGTGACTGGCAAACTCCCAGTTCTCACCTCCGTCGGTGCTGGTGTACATGTCGAGCCAGGCCTCGCTGAGGTCTGCGGGGAGAGACATTCCAGACAGGATGAGAGTTCCCGCTTTGTACTCTCCCAAGTCTTCAGGCAAGACGAAGAAGTGAGGCTGATATCTCAGACCCCAGCCGTTGACCTGGTCCGTAACATTGACAAAGTCGGACCAGGTCACCCCACCATCGACAGACTTCCAGATAGGAAAGTGAGCCAAAGGGGGTTCGGGGGCGTAATCCTCCCAGGTAACGAGGAGTGAGCCATCCTGCAACTGCACTGAACGGCCATAGATGGTCTTCCAGCTCGTATAGTCATCACTGGGGTCGAAGACGACGTTGTTGGTGAAGTCCGCCACAGCTTCGACTTGGGCAAGAAGGAGGAGGTTGGCTAACGACGAGAGAAGATGGATGGGTTTCATGATGGATAGATGTTTGAGCTGAGCTTGGTAGAATCAAGATTGCTTGGCTTATAGTGATGATCCGAGCCAGAACAAGACGCCATCTCATGGGGTTCAATAGGTGTATTTATAGACGAGCAAGCACCCATCTGCTTGGGTACGTCACCATATTCGTCCATTGAATCCTCAATAAATCACCAGATACTCGCCGCCAAGCACCATCGATAAATGACTCAATTCCGACGTTGTCAAAGCCAGGGTTCTTGCTCCAGGATTGGAGCGGTAGTTTGCTCCTGTTGCCATCCCCTCGAAATGATTCCGCGACCTTGCAGATCGGCGCCACCCCCGGTTGCGGGGTTTGGAGAATGGTGTTGTTCTCGGGATGATTCGAGTCCAATCTGGGGAACCTTCCGGCATTGGGGCCACTCAGATCAAGCCATTCCCGATCCCTGTCCATGTCAATCTCCAGAGCTTCTTCCGAGGTTGAACAGCTCCATTCGCGACGGTTCCGCTGCCTAGTCTTAGCATGGGGAACATACGCGCACCTACTAGGTTAATTGAAGTTGGCCCTTCGCTTTGTATTAACCTCGACGCCGACACAGACAGGTCACGTTGGAGGAGGGTTACCTGGGCGCAGAGGCCATCAAGGCACCATGGGCCAAGGAGGTTGGTTTGAGCCGGCAGTGGAAGGGAGAGCATAGGGATTATGGACCCAAGTGGATGATCAAATCGATGGTATAGAAGGTATTCAATGGACAACATGAGGTTAAGCTAGTCGTAAGAGCCTTGTTGTGACCTCTCGTCACATCTCGTATCATCCTCCTTGCCTATTCGACTATGGCTTGAAAGGAACAAATAGTTAGGACCCAAAACATCTCTCGACTTGATATTGGCGCCCTTGTCGACTAGCAGCTGTAAGACGGTCACATACCCTTTCTGGGCACTCCACAACATTAGTGTCTGGCCTGACCTGTTCTTCGACTCGATTTCGGCACCCTTGTTAAGCAAAAGCTATACGACAACCTTGTACCCATTTGTGACGGTCCATGTCAGCGGCGTCTGGCCTGCCCGGTCCTTTAAGTTGGTATTGGTGCCCTTCTCGAGATGCAGCTGCCGCATGACGACTTCTGGCTCATTCTCAAGGATCAGTGACAGCAGCGTCCGGGCTACATTGTTCCTCGATTCGATGTCTGCCTCCTCCTCGAGAAGCAGCTTCGCGGCGGCCTTGAGCACGTTTGCAATCTCAATATCCCCTCGCCTAAGAAGAATCACCAGAATTTCCAGATCCTCTTCGTCAAATGATTCTAGTAGCCTCTCAACTGCAATATGTTGATGATCCTGAGTTGCAGGAGGAGGTCCCGTATTGTCCCCAGTTGTTGGGTCAGAGTCGGGTCAAGATCGCAAAAGTATAAGAAGTGAGAGACGTCGCGAACAAGTTCTTGAACGGACTTGCCGTAATCCGCACGCAGAGCAGCACAATCCTTGGCATCTAACGACATTCCAAGCAAAGCATATATCATACCTCGGGAGTCATGTGCCTCGCTGTTACCAAAACTTTTCAGAAGCGTATAAAGTTCTTGACTCTGGCTCCAGCAAGAATCATTCCTCGATGGGCCAGGCATTATATCCAGAACAGCTTGGCAATGCGGATGGGGTTTTATACCTATTCCTCACCCTGTAGGGCTGGCAGATTTAAATGTCTGCTCCGGTAAATTGGAGATCAAGGAACTTGCAATATCCGCATGCGGCGCATGGCCCATATCCGGATCCCGCCCCCATAAGAGCGGCCCCCAAAGTACCTAAAAGCTTGACCTCGCAATAAATCTTCCCCAGCTTTTGATATGGCGGGGAACCTAGTTAATACCCCAAGAGCTAAGCTATGTCGATCCCCCAAATATTGAAACCTACAAGAAGCATAGCTTCTCCTTGGTGGAAAAACAGTACCCAGACTGGGGCCAATTTAACCAGAACCTTGACCTCTCGGCATCGCATATCCGAACCTTGTAAGAGATAAAACCTACTGGCGTTATGTTCTTCAATCGTGATTTGTGGATTAACAGAGTCATGCAACCCATTATCCAACTTTCTACGTCTTTTTTCTACCCAGGCCTTATTCAAAGCGTATGCCATGTACCGTTACCAGTGGCTTGCGTGGAATACAAATAGAGTCGAAAGGACTTCCCCATGTATCATGTCATGTCAAAAACTGGATGAGCTCTTCTTTCTTTTTACCAGCATTTATGTTTCATCATGACGCCCATCTTCAAGGCTTTGCTCGTCACACAGGCTCTCTTCCATACTGTGGCTACACACCACTCCAAGGGCCCTGTTGACACATACAAGAAATGTCAGAGACAGACGCATCGTCCTACTGAAGGCTGCCCTCCGGGTACTCTATATGTTGCCAAGGATGATGCTCGAGCTCATTTCAATTCCATCCAGGACGCTATCGACTCATTCGGCAACACCACTACTCCTGGATACATTCTTATTGCTCCGGGTAACTACACAGAGCAGCTGAATGTGACGCGGAGGGGTCCTCTACACTTGATTGGAATGTCCAATAAACCATGGAAGCACGAACTATACGCCGACATTGATGTCAACACTACGGCTCAGAATGACGTTCAGATTTGGTGGAACTCAGCCAACCACAACGCTTCATTTCCTGACAACGTCTACACTGGCGTCTTGACGATCGGTCCTAACCTCAATGCCACTCTTACTGGTTCGGGTCCCACTGGCTTCCCAGTTCCAGTCGACACTCCCTTTGGATGCACCGATTTCCGCGCTTACAATATTGATTTTCGAAACGAGTACATTCCTTACTCATACGGACCAGCGCATGCGTTGGGTGTGAGTAGAGCCAATGCTGGCTTTTACTCTTGTGGCTTCTACAGCTACCAAGATACTGTGAGCGCTTGCTCATGCTCACGAGCAGTGCATTTGACTGATCCGGTGTGTGAAACAGGTTTATGTTGGAAAGCTTGGAAATGCCTTCTTCTACGACAGCGTCATTGCAGGACAAACAGACTTCCTCTATGGGTTCGGAACAGCCTACATTGACCGATCGACGCTCTCACTCCGCAGCTGCGGTGGTGGAATCACAGCTTGGAAGGGTACAAATACGACCTTTACCAACAAGTACGGTGTCTATATCAATGACGCCCAAGTCATTGCGGCAAACTCTACTGTAGCAAAGGATGTTGTGGGCAAGTGTGCCCTGGGTAGGCCTTGGAACTCACAACATCGTTCCATTTTTATGAAGTCGTATTTTGACACCAGTATCAATCCCGCTGGCTACATCATCTGGGGCAAGGATACACCGCGTTTAGATAACTATACTTTCATGGCTACCTGGAAGAACTATGGCCCTGGCTACAACGAGAAGGCTGAGGCGGCAAGTAATGTTACCCTTGTGCTAACAGACACCGAAGTCGCCCCATACCGTCTGCCCGTGGATGTCTTTCAAACTCCGGATGGCAAGTTTGGTAATGTGCATTGGATCGATCGAACAAGTTTGTGAATCATCCTCCTTACCTACTCGGCTATAGCTTGAAAGGAACAAATAGATAGGACCCAAAGCATCTCTCAGAGCATCCATAGAATCCCTCATGCCACATTCTCCAAGTTGATCTTGACAGCCAACACGCTCCTCGCAAACGCTCCCGTCACAAAGAGCCACGCCCACCGCTGCCCGTCTTCCAGCTTCGGATCGATAGCAACCATGACAGCAGCCGTCGCAAATCGGATTCGCTCCCCGTCGTCTTCAAACAACAACCTAGGGCTCATTGTGCTTGATTCCGCAGCCCCTTGCCGCGATGGGATGTACCACACCATGGACCCGTCACTCCCGTTTGGATCCGTCGTCGTCTTGGGAAGGTCAGCAGCCCGTGATAACCCTGCGAGGACGTAGCCGCTGGCGTCAAAGGTCGAATTTGCATATGGGTCAACGAAGTAGCTGGGATTGTCGATAGTTGAATCGACCTTGATGGACGAGACAACTTGAATGGCAGGGTTCTCGGATGATGCCTTTCCCACCTCCAAAACACCTCTCCCAGCACAGCCGATCAGAATTTCTCCAGATTTGCCCCTACCAAGCCCATTTTGGTTATGGATACCACTCACCGCGACTTGCGCCTTGACATCTGCTGTGGGGTTGGTAGAAGTGAGAGAGTCTAACTCGACAAACACGGTGGTCGACCATCTTGCGCCCCAGTACACGACCTCCAAGAAGCGCAGAGCGCCTTCTTTGTAGTAATGATCGTTTGTCACATAGAAAGAGTGAGGGTTTTGAGCTAGAATATCGTTGGGCGTGGAAATAAGTGGATGCTGAACGGACCGTAGGTGTGTGGCCACATCAGACCCGATGACATGGTGGAATATCTCGATTCTCGAAGCCGCGCTTGCGTCACATCCTTTCAATTCCCGGGCATCAGGGCATTTCTCCAAGTTTGGAGGGTGGTTGACAGCGAATATATAGACGGCGGCCTCTACCGACTCTTGATCCGGGATGACGTCAATGCCATGAGTATTGAAAGGTCCTTTGAAGTTTGTTAACTTCAGACGTTGAGACTGCTTCAACTACAACGACGTTAGGGAGTTAAACTCAACAAGTACTCAACCATGCAACATACCTCAGGATCGACGACGTGGATTGACCCAGTACTCTTGGCGGCCAAGGACGGGTCATGAAAATTGGCCAAGGGTGGGAACCATTCGAACCGGCCTTCGTAGCTACCCTCGCAGGCCAAAAAGAGCTTGCCACTTTGTTTTTCGAAGTGAATATCCTCGCATTGAATGGTGTCGTTAATCAAAATGAGATGGCTGGGATCCTGTACGATGGTGCTGTTTTTCTCTCGGAAGAAGCCCAGAACTTTGACGAACCGGGTCAAGGATTGAATGTATGGGAGACAAAGGAAAGAGAGGATAAGAACAAGAAAGGCCGGTTTGCTAAACATGATTGTAGTTACAAGGCAGTGTAGATATTCTCACAATGCCCTGTTTTTATGCGCCCTCGTAGTTATGTCACGTACCTAGTTATTTTAAGGTCAACTACCAAAGGCCTTGCAAAAGAGAGACGCAAAGAGAGACCTAAATTAACTGAACGGCAACCCCGGATCTCGGCAAAGCGTACAGCTGTGCCAATAAATTCATGTGACGTTTCGCATAGCCGGTTGTGTACCTAGGTAGGTTTGGGTTTCCCCGCATCTCTCGGAATTTATCAACCGACAGATCGAAAGTTGATGCTTTCATCAAGTTTTGTCTTGATCAGTGAACCATAAAACTACTTGCAGAGGTTCTGTTTTGTTGAATCGTCATGTTGGGTTATTACTTGGGGATATTAGGATTGTCATCATCAGCAACTCCAAAAGAGGTCGTCAGCACAACAGCGAAACACGCAATTGTCAATACATGACGTCATCAAAGCAGTTGGCAACATCTCATCAAACTCAGATCAGAACACTCGTTTCATCACAAATGTGTCATTGGTTTAGGATACAAGTCTGGCATTCCTCGCCTCCATCGCCAAACACAATCATGACGAGGGGCAACTCTTGACCATGACACCTGGAGCCGCAAACCTATCTCCTTGCTTGCGCGGGGACTATTATTATGTACAGTACCGAGCTAGGATCTAGACCAATTATGATTAGCCTCTTCTAAGGCTTACTCAAATGTAGACAAGGGATAAACACCTCATCATATAGCTTTTATGAAAGCTTAGATAGTGCTCTAATAGTAGAGATCAATATGATCTGGCAGTCCTCGCGCGCAAGGAGATCTTGCCACTCCACACGCCATGCTATTGGCCAATTGGCGTTCACATCAAACATGGCCCCAAACAGCCCTCGGCTGATATAGCTCCTCAAGGTAATCCTGTTCCTCCTTCGTCAGAACCTTGCCATTGCTTGTAACGGCCTCTTCAATTCTTTCCATCTTGGTGCACCCAACAATAGGACTCGTAACCCTCGAATTAATCCAAGCCAAGGCAACGTGAGCCATCGACCATCCATGTTTCTCAGCGAGCTCCGCCACTCGACCAATGATCTGCTGATCGACCTCGCCCGTACCAGGTCCTGCTTTTATAAATCCAGCTTCGGTCGACTCTCTCGTCGTCAAGCTAGAAGAAGGAGGTCTAGCCAAGTGTCCACGACACAACGGCGCCCAAGGGATGAGTCCTACACCAGTATCATTGCAGAACCGAATCATTTCTCGCTCCTCTTCTCGGTAGAGCAGGTTATACTGGTTCTGCATGCTCACAAACTTGGTCCAGTTATTTCTTTCGGCGCAGAATTGAAGTTGGGCAAACTGAGTTGCCCACATGCTACTCGCACCGATGTAACGGACCTTGCCTGATTGCACCAGGTCATGAAGAGCTTTCATAGTCTCTTCCATGGGCACCGAACTATCAAATCGATGAATTTGCAATAGATCGATGTAATCAGTCCCCAGCCGCTTCAGAGAAGCCTCAACCTGGTTGAAGATTGCGGCCCGGGAGAGACCGGACAGGTTCTGATAATCCTTGGATTTGCTGAACTCGGAGTGGAAAACGTATGCTTGCTCCTCTGTCAAAGTTAGCATCGATTGCAGCGGCCGTTGAGAAGTTTACCAACATACCTGGGGTTTCTCCAACGGTAAAGTAGCATTTTGTAAGAATAACTACCTTCTCTCGGGGAATATCATATTGCTTGAGAGCCTTGCCAACAATCACCTCGGAAACACCATTGGAGTACGCATTAGCAGTATCCCAAGTATTCAGGCCCATGTCATGGGCCGCTTTGAGCAATGGTAACGCCTATGGAACGAGTCTTGATTAGCTTCGTGAAGGTTTTTGTGGCGGCAGAGGCATACTTCATCTTCTCCAAGTGCCCATGGGAGAGCTCGAGTGTCACCGAGGCCCATACAACCAAGAATAGGCACAGACACACGAAGTCCGGACCGTCCAAGTTGACGATACTCTACACGTGTATCTTCCAAGGACTGCTTGAGCCGGCTCGGGAGTTGGATTGCGGACATATTGGGTGTTTAGATTTGATGAATCGGGGGCCTAATACATGTAGGATATCTTGAATCGGGACAAAAAGAATACAAGAGAGGGTCAACTATATATATCGGCTCATACATACCCCTTGGCAAGTTTACAGTGTTTGTGATGCTGCAGGCCCGGCGTTAACGGTACGGAGTTAACAACTACTGTTCACCGCACCGCCCAAGTTTCAAGTTAGAATTTACTCTAAACCCGGACTTTAGATTGTTCAAGTCCGACTCAAGAGCTTTTGGGAAACAATTGGCCCGACAGCCGAGTCTGGGCGGACTTGAAGCGGACTATGAAGCCTTTGAAGGGGGGAAACCCACCCTTGTCGACGCAGACATGAGACACATGTCTATACATACGCTGCATAGCAAACCTATCGGGGACCTTGACCATCCCGACTACACTCAAAGACCAGTCAATTCAATCCGAAGTATCCGAGCGCAGGGACGCCTTTAAAGTGGCTTGTCCTCCATTCTCATAGCCACCAACAGCTTCAAAAGAGAAGATTCCTCAAGTCCCGCAGGTTTTGAAAACACGGCAAAGCACTTAATTCAGTATGGGAAGACGCCCGGAAACCTGCTACGAATCAATGGCTAGCAAGCCAGAGTTGAAGAGCTCATGTCATGGTTGAGACAGTGACTCACATCCCCTGTCTCTCCAGATAAGATCAGTTCCAGCAAATTGAGTAATGACTCTACAAGTACCATCCCACAAATCTACAAATATGGAGCAGGTTAAGCTTGATAGTGGTAAGATGGAACTGTCAGGCCATCTACCCTCCCAACCCGCTTTTATTAGGCCACTCCCCAACAACGCTTACTACACATATAACGACCGTAATATCCCCGGAAAGACGTACCTCTTCGATTCCACTCTAAATAGACCTCGTCCAACTCCGCGGGCTCATCAGTATGCTTATATTAAGCTCAGTTGCATGGAGATCTCGGCTGATTTTGTAAGAGAGCCCATTCCCGTGTCCACTTGATACAGAGCAGTTTCAAGTGAGAATCTCGTCCATTTTCGTCTCAAAGCGATAAAAATTTGCGGAATTGGACTGTAGTCTAAAAAAGGGGGGTCCGAAGGACGTCAATATTTACTACTCCTAACAGCCAACGTCACCAATGGCCAATAATCCATCCAACGACACCTAACCAAAGTGTTAGCCATGTCTTCACTACCGTAGCTTAAGCTGACCATCCTATCACCAACCTCGGCATATGCCTTTTTGAGCTGGCAGAGCTTCTGTCGACTTGCTCCACAGAAACACCGACCTCGTGCATGTCGCACGCAGAAGCGGTCCACGGAATGACGTCTACGTGGCCGTGTCACCACCGAGCTCTACGCGTTGGGTTGCTGCAGTTCAAAGACTGGACCGGATGTCAGGGATTAGAATACATCACTGTTATGCTTCTTTCCCATTAGTAAACACTTTATGCATGAGAGTGCGCTGTCACATTCTTCAAGAAAAGGGGCACCAGTTTTAATGAAATTAACCACATCAATTTCATGGAATCATATTCAGTCTGTTTCTGATATATACACATTACCCGCTCATATACATTCGCTTCCTTTCGCTACCTTCCTCAGACTACCGCTCCAGCTTTGTAGGGATAAATGCTTCAAGTATGCATTTGCAAGATCAAACCATGGTAACCAGAGGGTATCCGATTAGGCGGCAGAGTCGTCGTGCTCAGCCTTGGCAACAGCCTTCCTCTCGAAGATCTCACCACCGCCCATGGTCTCGGCAAAGGTGGTATGGGGCTTCCACTTGGCAGAGGTGCGGGGGGTGGTCTCCTCCATCATCCTGTCGACCTGCTCCAGGGACAGTCCCTTGGTCTCGGGGACCAGGAAGTAGGAATAGACAAAGGCGCATGTGCAGAGACCTCCCCAGATGAAGAAGACGGACGACTTGAGGTTGCCTCGGTTCTCGCCGACCATATAGGGGGTGATGACAGCGATGATGGTGTTCCACAGCCAGTTGGAAGCAGTAGAGAGACCAACACCACGAGATCGGATGGGGAGAGGGAAGATCTCGCCAATGACGATCCAGGCACCGGGACCCCAGGTGGAGGCGAAGAAGAAGATGAAGATGGCAATGAAGGCGATCTGGGCATTGACAGCGCTGATGTTGTCGGCAGTGACCTTGTCAGGGTCGTCATCGGTGGGAGTGGGGTGGGTGTGGTTGAAGCCGATGGTGACACCGATGATGGCAACGAGGAACTGGCAGACAAGCATACCGAAGGCACCAATGATGAGGATGCTGCGACGACCGAAGCGCTCGACGGTCCAGAAGGACAGGGGAGTCGAGAAGACGTTGACCAGGGTGAAGACGAGCGAGATGAGGAAACTGTTGTCGATGGCACCAGTGGACTGGAGGAAGGGGGTGGAGTAGTAGAAGATGAAGTTGACACCAGTCCTGGAAATTGTTAGTCAAGGCTTGCAGGGGAAATTAAAGGCGGGCACATACCATTGCTGCATCATCTGAAGAGAGGTACCGAGGATAGTTCGGCGAAGGTTGGACTTGCCATCCCAGAGGCTGCCCTTGAAGCACTGGGCCCAGCTGCCGATCCAAGAGGTGGAGGGAATGATTTGGCGCTCATACTCCTCGTTGGCGATAATCTCAGCCAGCTCGGTCTGGACATACTTGGAGTCCTTGGGCTGACCACGGACACGGGAGAGGGCGTCAATGGCGTCTTCGATGCGGCCCCTCTTGACAAAGTATCGGGGAGAGTCGGGGAGGAACAGGAGACCACCACCAAGGATGACAGCCCAGGGGAACTGAATGGCGATGGGGATGCGGTAGGACTTGGGGCTGTAGAAGTCCTCGGTTCCGTAGACGATGCAGGAGGCGAGCAGCAGACCGATGGTGATGCAGAATTGGTAACCAGCGACGAGAGCACCACGAACCTTGCGGGGGCACTAGGAGAGAAGTGTCAGTAAGAGATCCATTGTCAGGCAGAGGCATCGGGGTAGCAACTTACAATCTCAGACATGTACAGGATGACGATGGCAGACTCGAAACCGACGCCGATACCGGCAATGAGACGACCAGCGACGATGCAAGCGAGGGGATCACCATGGCCAGTGATCATCTGAATAACAACACCAAGGCAGTAGATGATGCAACCAGTAATGACAGTCCACTTGCGGCCGATGCGGTCAGCGACATCACCGGCGATGATAGCACCGAAGAAGGTACCGCAGGAGAGAATAGAGACGATCAGAGACTGGTGGCTTTCGCGGAGCTTGTCATGGCCAAGGCCCTCGACCTCGTGGATGAAGTACTTGGAACCATTGACACCGTTGATGTATCCAGAATCGTAACCGAAGAAGATGCCACCGAAAGAGGCGAAGGCGCACATAAGGTAGGCCTTCCAGGTGACGGGAGCCTCGATCTGGTCGATGTTGTCGGCAGTCTGGAGGGCGGCCGAGTGGTTGCGAGCGCCCTCATCGCGCTGGGTTTCGTCGACACCCATGGTGAAGATGTTGCTGCTTGGTTGCAGAGGCGGCTTCAGCGATGGGAGGTTGGTGAGCACAGTATATGTTTTGGCTCGGTGGTAGGTGGATCAGAGACTCTGAAGTTGTGTGCAGATCAGAGACCGACCCTGTTGGATGATGAATCAGAGAAGGAAGAGAGACCCCAGGTGTAAGAGAGACAAGAGGGGGAATATGCTTCAAGAGGGGGGATTGTAGTAGAAGATGTGAGTGTGAGACAGTGATGATGAACCAAAGTGAGAGAGACTGTTCCACGAGAAGGGGAGGAGGTGGTCTTTTAATCTTGAGCAGGAAGGAAGGAAGGAGGAGGCATGAAAGGAAGGAGCATGTTACCTATTCCGCCCTTGCACCTGCCTCTGCCTACCTCTCAACATGCATCAGCACCAGCACCAGCACCGCACAGCGAATCCAATCTACCTGCATGCAGCCCAGCAGCCGTCGGCCAGCTGAGGCAAGTGCGTTCCGGTACCCGTTCGGCGGAATGAATGGCCAAAGCTCCCGGTGACTCCTGCCAACTAAACTAACGCCAAGCTCAACAAGGTGACAGAAGGTGGAAAGCTGCCAACTCCGGCGCGCGTGTGCATCATCTCGGACGGTGTCCACGAGCCTTTCTCGGATGCGCGATGCCTCGGAGGAGTGGGCGTCCCATGGGGGAGTACAAGCTACGGTATGGGGCATGAGGGGGAGGGAGTAGGTGTGTGTATGGGATCAGAACATGACCTTTGCTACTACTGTATGCACGCCCCCCAGCAGAAGCTTGAGCTTGCGTGTTACGGGGAGGGAGAGCTTGTTGGAAAGCATGAGCACGGGGATGCCCGGACACGGAGACGCCCCTGGGGGGGTGTGTGTTGTGTGCGTTTGCAAGCCGCATCGTCAATACGCGGGTGTGTGAGATCAGGAAAAAAAAAGGCGTGTTAGTGATTCAGAGACAGAGACCGTTTGGACGGATTAGGCACGGAGCGAGCTGCAACAAACTGCAGAATTCGAGGTGATCGGCGGTCATGATTGGCTGAGCCTCTGTACTTTGGCACTTTGGCAGTGTTTGGCGGTGCTCAGCGGTGCTCAACAGCGTTCTGCAGTGTTCTTCACCGGAGGCCGCCGCCGTGATTGGCCGCATGCTCACCTCGACAACGAGATCGCATCTCGCTCACCCTCTCATGTGGTGTCTCGGCCTCGGTCTCAGCCCGACTTCTTCACTGAAGAGAAAAAATGTGCCGTTCCACGCGCCCAGCGTCTGGGGAATCGCGTGGGGATGCGGACCCCGGCCGCAAGGGGAGCTACGAGGTAAGGCCGATGAGAGTGGAGGGACGGTTGGCCCACAACCGTTTGTACCGGCCCAGATGGCCCAGAGAAGCGCCGAGTACCTGCCGGCCGTTATTACCCACGGGACCTGGGCAGACGGGCTTCCATGGCGAGTTCTAGAGCCCCGGGAGACGGCGGGCGGAAGAGGACGGGTCGCCAAGGGAAGCTGAACCGGGGGGACGGTAAAGTGTTCACTTTTTTGCTCGAGTCCAGGTCTGGTGTAAATCACATCAAGTCAGATCTTCAAAGTCGTAGAATCAAGCTTGAAATAATCGCCAAAGCTTTCACCCCTCCATCCCATCCCGCAAACCCCGTCCTCCCGTTGGATTCGACGATCCTTTCCAAGGATTGGATGCGACGTCTGTAACTCGACTTTTTCCATGTAAGCAACCCACCTTTTTTCCCCCGGGTCCCTTTTCCCACACTGGACAGGCGGCCATCCAGCCAGTCACCCGCCAGAGCCCGACACATCCAGGGGCTTTTCTCCTCGCCCACACACCACCTTACCAACCTGCTGCACCGCGCGGGGAAGGGCCTTGGAGTCAAGGGTCCCCAATGGGCGAATTTTCGGTGGTACTCTACGCGCTACCTTGGCTGAGGCCCGGGGCTGCATGGCATGGCATGGTTGTAATTGACCGAGCTGGCCACCGCTTGGCACTAGTCTTGAGGCATTCTGGAGATCTCCCCCAGCTGGGGGGGGGAATCATGCGAATGGGACAGTAGCTTGGGGAAAAAAAAGAACCGGAGCTTCATCCTCTTTCTTGCATCTCTTGCACTCCAACTTTTGACCATCCCCAGAGAGCTGGGCCCCCTGGGGAAAATGCCTCCGAGTCGGCCACCGAGATCACGGCACAGCGGCATGCTCTAACCCCAGACTCTCCGGATTTCGAGCCCATCCGGTGCGTCGCGGGGAGAAGAGTATGACCGAGAAGGGGCCTTATTTTCCCAGATCGAGAAGGGCGGGCACATTTCGGATGAGCTGACAGCTGTGCCAGAAGTCAACATGCTCGCTCCGAAGCTAACTGTCAATTTTTTACTACAACTGAACATGAGAAGCCCAGCCACCATCGTCACGGGAACTCGAAATCGTGCCCTGTCATGCACAAGTCCGGGCCGAAACGTCAGGGCCAACGAGGGCTCAAGCGACGGCACCACTTTGTGGTCCAAGCTGATCGATCAGAGCAGCCAGCAGCCGCGAAAGGGTGCCGGCATAGATTGGATTGGGATTGTACGTACACATCCATAGGTACCCAATCTGCGCTTTCGTGTGTGTGTGCAGTGCATTACATGGATGGGCTTCCGTTTACAAAGTCCTTTCATGTGAGGAGGAGGGCAACGGAGACCTGCAGGACGAGAGATGAAGCAAGTAAGCGACGGGAGAGAGTCCTCAGATGGAATCACTTGTAGACTAGTTACTGTAGCACGACTACACCTCCTTCGTTTACGGCTTCAACCCAAAAATAATTACAGTGCTCTAGACCACCTGAACAATGCAACAAACGGGCGGGTACCCGACAGGCTGTTTACCTTTAACGTTGCACGTTTGACTTTTTCGCTCCTCCTGTCTCTCGCTTGTCTCGCCACTGATCAACCAACCGTCGGGTATCCAGTAAAGCTGGGGGTCACGAGGTCTGGAGAAAAAAGAGCAAGAGAAAGAATACGGAGATAGAGTAGAGAACAAAGTTGCCCACCCAATCCCGGGGCCCCTTACCTTTCCCCTGCAAGGTCTTTACTGTAATTGGGTCTAGGTCTCCCCCCTCGTGGCGCCCATGCAAGTTCTTAGAAATCCTCTGACACGCACACGCGCGATGGCTTCAGAAAGAGTCCGGCCGAGGGGATCCACCCTTCCCCCGTCCCCGTTCCCCGTCGCCTCTATTCCAATTCATTACGCCAAAGGTGCGCTCGTGACGGTACAAACTCTGCTCTTGCTCGGCCGAGACCCGAGAACGACCGTCCTTGACTAAGAACTCTGTAATCTCTCTTCAGGACCCGAAGTCTTCGGTCTCGGGTGCCTGTCCAAACGTGGTAACGGTCCGGCCGGCGTCAGCGAACACGCCTGGATGCCTCTATTTCCGGGCCTTGGTTTTTGTTTTTTTGTGAAGCCTCCCATTCCAGTCACCTCGTAAGTCCCTGGTCACGAGGTGAGCTTGTGGTCTCCTGTTTCCTCTTGGCTCCGGTCATCCTCACCTTGCCATTGCCGAAGAGTTCCTCCGAAGCTGTGGGGCGGCATTCATCAGCTCAATCAATTCCTTCTCCTTTCCTAGATCCGTCGCTCCCCTTTGTTCGAGACCATCGTGGTCATCCCCTCGTGTGAAGAGTCATGGTCTGAGACAATCACGCCTGTTGTTGTCTGAGACACCACAGACCAGCATCGATCGTCGCCAGCCACCATCTTTCCCCGCAGTCAATCACTCCCTCCTAGCCTCCCTCCCTCGCTCAAATCCATGGCAACGTTGAATCCCAAGGGGAGGGCATGCCAAGACACATTCCTAGACGCCGCATCGAGCCACCTGTAGACAAGACAAGACAAGCCACCTCACCATCATGCTCACTGCCCGTCATCACCATGATTGCCAAGCCGCCAAGATCGTCAATCGATCGTCCTCAACTCGCTACCGCCAGCAAATGACAGCGTGGCTGACATACGAGCATCGCGGCTATCATTCATTCTTCTTGCTTTCCGCTGCTTCATGACCGTTTTCTTTCCGTCTTCTTTCCGCTCGCCGGTGTCAATCAGCGGGGTCGTGAGCGTTGCCAGAGTCAATCGATCCATCGTTATGAAGATCCATACCCTACACTAAAAAATGAAGCAGAAGAAGAGCATGTCACAAGATCAACAAAAACATAAAATATGTAGACTACGCGTTGCTGCGTTCTAACAATGTGAATGTTGTGATTAATTCCTCTAAATGCTAGCATAAAACTTGCGCGAAGCCTTAAAAAGATCTACATCCGAAATGAATGTCTCACTTGGTGGATCGGATCGGATCTTGTTTGAGATGGATGTCGTGACTTGCAAGACACCCTAGACCTTTACCGATAACACAACATCATCACATATCTCTATGCAAATGTCTTTTCTTTGTCTCATTCAATTGTCTCGCCTTTTAATGTTTATTGAAGCCTTTGGGGTGTCTGCCTCCGGCGGCTCTGCCGAGGGCCTCCTGCGGAGTGCCGTCCTCGCTGCGCTCGAAGTCATCAACCGAGATTAAATGTGTGGGCGCAGTTTGGGAATGCCCTCAATTTATCCCCTCCATCATGTTTTTGGTGGCTGACCTCTCTTCACGTGCAGCCAGCAATCTTCAACGTGGCAGCACCCAACACATCAATAAATAATCCCCCAATCCCTCAACGTCCTCTGCCCTACAACTCGTCAAAAACACAAGCGAAGCCTTATCTAGCGCAATAAATTGACACAATCGGACATGTTGGCTAATTATCAACGCTATCAATTCACTCAACGAATCCTGGAAGCTTATGCCAAGGCCCTTCTGCTTACTCGATTTAAACCTCATTTAAGCTTCTTTGCAGGGAACAACTTCACTATGGAGGCTGACCGCAGCAAACAGCGCAGAATATGGCCAGATACGGCTATGCCAGGGCGTAATCATGCTGTCGACGTCTGCATGTAAAACGTAGATGGACCCTTTGACAGTGAAATGTCTCAGTTTCCTTAATCCTCCAAGTCGTTCATATATTTCACGATGTTGAGAAAAGGCCTCTTCACAGGTGCGATTCTCATCGCCCTCCTCGGCCTGTGGGCCGCAAACCGTCCATCAACACCGCTACCACCTCTAAACCATGGCCGCAAAAACGTCGTCCTTTTTGTAACTTCGGCCCATGATGGCTTTTGCAACGTCCACCTAGCCACAAGCCACGCCCTCTTGGAAAAGTATCCAGACCTGGAAGTCCACTATGCCTCGTTTCCCGATCTCAAGCCCAAGGTCGACCGTGTTTCGGCTAAACATCCCAAGTCAAAGCCTGTTGTTTGGCACGAATTGCCTCCTCCGGGTTTTACGGATGTGCTTTTGCGTTACCTTGGAAGCGTCGCTGGTCTCATGAATGTGCCTGGGCTCAAAGGCCTAAAACGGGCTGTCAAGGACATACAGAACGTCGTTGCCCCCTGGAACGCCGACGAACATTGGACCCTATACAAAACCGTCTTTGATGTAATCAAGGAGGTTGACCCTGCTGTGGTCGTCCTCGATATCCTCTTCAAGCCGGCGATTGAAGCAACTCAGGACCTCAACTACAAACACATGTTCGTTACGCCCAACTCATTCGTCGACACATGCCTGCACAAGGAACCATGGGCAGCCATGCTCTGGAAGTTTCCCTCCACGGGAACTGGCTATCCATACCCAGTCCCCTGGCATCTCATCCCCGCAAACATCTACTTCGAGATCCGCGTTGACTACGCCATCATAACCGGTGCCAGAGCTCGAGATATGGTGCCGTACCTCAAAGAAAAGGGCATCAAGAACCCAATCGACTCTCTGGCTTGGGACAGGCCAGACGTTCCTTTGCTGTCAGGCACCCTCCCCGAGGCAAGCCTCCCTCTGCAGGCAGTGCCTGAAAACGCCAAATACTGCGGTCCCATCGTCCTCGAGACTGCACCCCTAAAGGAGCAAGATGCGGAGATGGCCGAGTGGCTGTCCAAGGCGCCGACGATACTCGTCAATCTCGGCAGTGGCGTGCGATTCGACGAGACTCAGGCGCGTTCAATGGCGCAGGCTTTCGTTCCCGTTCTCGAAAAGACGGACGCGCAGATTCTCTGGAAGAGGCAAAAGCACGACGAATACGACGATTCATTCCTGCAGCCTGTGAAGCAATACATCGACAGCGGACGGCTTCGCATCGAGTCCTGGATCAAGGCTGATCCAACGTCATTGCTTGCGACGGGTAACGTAAAATTGGCCGTCCACCACGGCGGCGCAAACTGCTACAACGAAGCCATCCTGTAAGTATCGTCAGCAACCAATATCCTTCCTCTGCTAACACCCCCAGTTACGGAATCCCCCAAGTCGTCCTCCCCGTCTGGTTCGACACGTACACTTACGCGGCGACAGCCGAGTATCGGGGCGTGGGCATCTGGCCAACCAAAGACACAGCCCCAGCCTGGGAAGCCAAATCACTGGGCAAAGCGTTGCTCGACGCTCTCTCCGACGAAACCATGAGGGAAAAAGCCGAGAAACTCGGTGAGGTTGCGCGAAAGTATGAAGGACGTTATTTGGTAGCCAGAGATATTGCAGAGATGGCAGCCAAAGGACACGAATAGATGGACGGGCCTATGCCTGGATTAGTACACATCCCCTTGTCTTCGAGATAGACTTTTTGCCAGTTTTGGACAATAAAAGAACCTCGGTAACTCCACTTAATAAACTCCTTATCACGTCTATGAATTCCGCCGCACATCGACAGAATTTGCAAGACGTCATTGACAGTAGAAGCCAGAGCTGAGTCTTGATTACTGGTGATTTCTTTTTTTTGTCAACTTGGCGTCATCCCCAAAATAATCCATCAGCCGTAATGGCAAACGCATAGTTATCGACAACTGCCGGCATTATACACACCACGATACTGCAACCTCTTTAGTCGGCAATTCGCATTCGCATTCTCTTCTATCCCACCGAACTCCGATCGGTACCCCCGAAACCCCGCTGCCAAAAAAGAAGCGAAACGTTTGCCCCTTGCGGACTTGTTGGTTGCGGACTTTTTTTTATCTACCGCCACCGCGGCGAGGTACATGAATAGATATAGGAGCCATCTCCTGACGTGATTCAATTCTACCTCAAACAAACGATTCTCTCTAGTGATACCATCCTCTACAATCACTCAAAAATGGCTTCAATGCGCGCCTGGCAAGCTGCCTCCCCAGGCACATTCCCCCAAATCATCTCCCTACGCACCGACATCCCCCGCCCCTCAAACCTCCAAGATGGCCAGATCCTCGTGCAGGTCTCACACGCGGGTCTTAACCCAGCCGACTACAAGATGTGCGAGCTCGGCGTCGCCTCGAGGGCCATAACCACTTTCCCCAAGATCCCCGGCATGGACCTCGCCGGCCGCGTCGTCGAGGTCGCTCAAGGCGTCACCGAAGCCAAGGTGGGCGATCTCGTCATGGCTAGGGTTGACCCGACAAAGGCTGGCGGTTCTCTGGCCGAGTTTGTTGTCGTGAATGGCGACGGGTATGCAACTCTCCCGGCCGGCTTTGACACGGAGCAGGCGGCGGGAGCTCCGACAGCGGCGGTTACGGCGTACCAGACAATCGCGCCGTACGTCAAGGCCGGAGACAAAGTATTCATCAACGGCGGTTCCGGCGGTGTCGGCCTCTTCGGCATTCAAATCGCAAAAGCTCTCGGCTGTGAGGTTACAGTAACTTGCTCAACCGCAAAGGCCGAGCTGTGCAAGAGTCTCGGCGCCGACGACATCATCGACTACAGGACAAGTGACGTTCTCGCCGAGCTCAAGAAGCGCGGGCAGATCTTCAGTCACTGCGTCGATAACGTTGGCGACTCACCATCCAACCTTTACGCCTTCTCCGAGAATTTTCTCTTCAACGGTAGCAAGTTTCTCTTTGTCGGTGGTCACATGACAGCGGGTAGCGTCATGAGCATCATGAAGACGAGGATGCTGCCAACCTTCCTCGGTGGTGGAAAGAACTATTTTGTCAGCTACATGACCACCAACAAACGCGAAGACATGGAGCAAGTCAGGGATTGGTTCGTTGAGGGCAAGGTTCGAACAGTTGTTGATTCGGTCTTTGACTTTGAGGAGGTGGAAAAGGCGTTTGAGCAGGTGAAGAAGGGGTCGAATGGAGGCAAGATCATTGTCCGAGTTCAAAAGTAGAGGGCGCGACCATGAGATACCAGATTGTCATGAGAGTTGGACAGTGAGATACCAAATAGGGCGCAATTATTTAATTTCATTGGTTACCAAAGATGTCCCCCTGGTACCATGCTTCCTAGTGCTGGCTATGGCAACATTCCCTGTTGCAACACCATTGACAACGGTCAGCGAAGCCTTCTTGGCAGGATCACTAAGCTCAACGGCTTGCTAACAGCTCTGGATAAAAAGACCCCGGCATAAAAAAGGGAGTGTAGACTCCAAGGGGTGCTTCAATGAAGCCGTCCTCCACCGGTGTGCTCGAATACGTACGGGGCGTCGACATGACTTCAGCTTGCAGAGCCGAATCGAGATCACCTCACGGCAGGCTTGCATTGCGGATCTCCCGATGCCTTCACCTTGCTCAAGCTGGCCTGCCCGATGTCGGTGAGGCCCAAGTAAGGCCGACAGAACGGATGACGGTGACGGCGGGTGTTGCCAGATTGTTGGGGAATCCAGAGGACACGACGTGCTTCTGAGCATGATGCATCTCGGCTTGTCCTCTTGTTGGTCATGCATCGGCAAGCCCTTTACTCCTAGATCTGATCGATCAAAGTGGCTGCAAGTCAGGTTCCTAGACCAGTCGCAAACTTGCGCGCAACCCACGCAGCGCCGTGCTCCTCATACTCCTTCTTCGTCACAGCCAACTTATTGATGTGAGGATGATTTGCCAGGTTTGCACCGCCATACCAAGTATTAGTGATGGGATCAGCGGGTCTCGCCACACGCACTATGCAATCGTCGGGCACGAGCTGAACTACCTCCTTCTGCAATCGTTGGATGAAGCCGTCGAGGTGCGTGTTACCTCCAACCACGATTATATTGGCGAGGAGACTCGGCCAGAGTCCAATGGGAAGTTCGTTCAATGACTCCTGAACCAGATCCGCCAGGCCGGGCTGCCTAATCCCGGCATCAGATGGACTGAAGAGGAGTTCGGGAACGGTGAACCTCTCATTGCGAAGCGTCAAGGCGTCCTCCTCTGATTGGGCTGCAACCTTTTTCGCTCTCGAGTGTCGTAAAGGTTCGTAGTCGCAAAGGATACCCTTAGATCGAGTATGAAAGTCGGGAAGGATGTAGTCCTTGGCAAGACCGCCTCCAGTGAGGTAGTCCGGCCTTCGATCTCCTCGAGTACCCTTCCATGACTTTTCTAGGTCCGCCTTGAAGTCCGCCGAAACGTAACAGGAGAGCTCCTTCATCTCGTTGACGATGTAGGTGTCGTTTCGCATGTCGAAATGTCGGAGCGAGATTAGGCGTGTCAGGTAGTTGGTGAGGACCTTTCCTCCAACATCCAGTCTCTTGACGGCTGACTGCAAGGGTCGGCCTTGGAGGAGTGGTGTGACGGTGGTATGCGAGTATCCGGAATCAATAACCATGACGGCTTCGGCGGGAGTATTTGCGACGATCGGGTTCTCTTGGGGTGTGCGAAAGATGCTCTGGATGTCGTGGTAGGCATTGAAGGTTGGGCCTAGACTGTCAGCTGGACGTTAAGCACCAGGAGAGGTGGGCATACCTATTCCACGGTAATAACTTGTAAACCCATATTCCTCAAACACAATCTGATCACAATTCGTCTGTAGGATTGGCAATCCATTTGGCGGCTCCGCTAGTATTAACCTCGTCTCGGCCGGATCAATCTTTGTCGTCGCATTCTCGAAAAGCTCCCGATCCCAAATCTCCTTCTGCGCCTCCCAATTCACGATAAACCCCTTCTCAACCGGTCTCCGGAACTGAATCTCCCCAAAGTCTCGACACTTTTCAATCTCGGAGGCGACATAGACCTTTCTCGCGCGGTCGCGGGCGATGTAATTTGGGATGATGCGAGGTTCGTCAATCTTTCCGTCGCGTACGAGACCGGCCTTGATGGTGTCGGCGCCATTGTCGAGTACGAGGGTCGTAGTAGGGGCCTTTGGCGGCGCGGGCTTGGCTTTGCGTCCTCCCGCCATGACGCCTTGTCGAGGTTTTGAAGTGGTGTTTGCTGATGATGGGGATGTCAAGAGTTGGACGCGAACACGACTTCACGTGGAAAGTGGGGCCGCAGTCGCCCTGATCATGAACTCCGATCAGCGGACGTCAGTTTATCACTTTCTCATACATTCACCGGCAACATACAATTGAACATGGCAATGGATTCGGATGTTGGTATTTATTCTGTCAATTGTACTTGGATATTCCATTCATTTATTCCAAATCCTTGAGGAACCCAGCCACGTTACTTAGGTTCCTCCCTTCTCTTACAAATACTTGCGCAAGAAAGCAACCTGAGCCGCAATATTCTCCTCGAGAAACCCATCCCGATATGCATTAAAGTGACCACAATCTAGTTCAAGCAGCTCCTTCGGCTCCCCAGCTTTGGAAAAGGCCTCGAGTTGAACCTTTGGATCAATGACCGAATCTTGCAGACACACCGTCATGAACAGGGGCTTTGGAGAGATTTGACTAACAAAAGCACTGGGTTTAGCTCGAATAGCGTGGGGAAAGCTCTGCACAGTGACTTTGTTCTCCTTCTCGTGGCCCATTTCCTCGACGACTTGAAGATGGCGCCAGCACTCTCCTGTGCCTAAGACGGTCCCGTTGGCAGGGTTTTGAGCTTCCTCCAAACTGTCAGGAAAGATCCGCATATAAGTCGGGTCTAAAGCCGACGTCTTGCCACGGTCAGTATAGGTCTGAGTGATGACGGACTTTGGCAAAGACTCCCTGGTCGACCTCCCCGAGACGAAAGGCACCTGCGCGACAACCACCTTGACACGTGGATCGATTGCGCCAACAATCAAGCGATGCCCCCAGAGAAACTACTGCCCCATATAGCAATACGTTCCGGGTCGACGCCGTGACGCGTGGTTACATGGTGGATCACGTCGTGAGCATCTTGTGTTTGCTCGTAGTGGTTCGTATGATGTCGCGGGAGTCCATCGCTATCTCCCCCGTTTCGATGATCGTACAAAAGCACTGCAAAGCCTGCTTGCTGAAATCTTTCGGAAAAGTTAGGGAGAAAGTTGTCCTTGATCCCAGAGAACTGGAATATCACCGTGTCAGAGTTTCAGTGTCTCAACGGATCCGCATGATGGTAGCCTTACACCCGGCGACATGACCACCACTGGAGCCTTGGTTCCAGCGGGATAGAACCAACCTCGAAGAATGGTTTTGTCATGAGTCAGAACTTGAATGTCTTCGCGCATGGCCTTGAATTTCGTATTCTTGAGTGAATGTTGCTGTGGTTGGGCGGATGAGTTTGCGTGACGACATTTAAGAGAAAGCTTAGTTTATAACCTCGAGTTTGATGAGCCTACCTCGGCCAACTTCAATGGCCGAGTAAGAATTCGGCACAAGAAACTCACATACACCAAGAGCGCCTGTTATTGATGCGAGAGGATGCCCTAGGTCTATCATAATAAGTCCACCCATGTGGTTTCGTAGGGGGCCAAGGCTCGCATTACTCGACACTGCCAACGCCTCGGCAGATCTGGTGCTCCCTGCTCAAGGCGCCAGGATTATCTGGTCCGGTTTATCAGATATCTCCGAGAGGAGGAGCGGCTAAGATTAGTGATCATACAACACCCCTCCTCTAGAGAGCCTCCTCATCCTAGATAAAGTCCGACGGAGTTTAGTCACCACGTCGAGTTTTACGCACATCGGATTGAATCTCCGTCGTACTTTAGAGAATACTTTATGAAGGATCAGGTGAGTTGAGGCATAGTCTTGTGACTCGATAATCAAGCATTCTGATTAAAACGGGAATCAATCTCAGGGGCTAGGTCGGAGGATGTCACAATGCATCGAGCTCGGTCACTCACACTGTCACAAGTGTTTTGTATACCGCTGCCATTTAGGAGTCCCGTTGCGCTTCTGGTTTGCCCTGGCTACACCCTCATGGCTCGGGTCGGGTAACTTCCATAGCTTCTCTTGCTACGATTTACAACATAGTCGTGGAGTGATATAAAAATAAGAAGTCCGGGTTGTATAGGCTCTATGAAAGATTGGCTGGTAGTGAGTCCTCTTTGAGACAAGGGAATATAATGGACCGTGCATTAGGAGTTTTGCTAAATTCCACCCCCCAATGGCCTTGCGTTCGAGAGTGGCATTAAAGGGTCCGCTTCTTCGTCTCGTTGGGAAGCGCTTTAGAAGAGCTCACCCTCGGCTCCGGCTGTTGGTCGTTCACCTCTTGGCCAGGAACACGAAGTTCACTATTCTTCGTGAGTGGAGGCATGAGGTTAACTCGCGACGTATCGGCAGCACTAAAACGCAGGTTGCTGTACCGATCCTTGGACAGCTGAATTAGCTCGACACCAGCCATCGAGCCGATGAGCTGCCCTGAGTTGTCCTTGGCTATCGCCTTCCCAACGTTGAAAAGGTCTGCCAAAGTCGTGACCACGACCTGATCGCTTTTACCTTCGGCGACGACTTCCCCGAACGTGTGTACCCTTTGATGGCTCACCTCGGTACTGGCGATTCTGCACACCTCTAGACTGTCTTCCAAAGCTCTGATGTCTTTCTCTAACTGCATTTTCCTTCGCTCTGAGTCAGGGTGTTGTTCCATTGCCAGAGAGCTAAGCCGTTCTTGCAGCCGCCCGAGGAATTTGGCAATGCTGTCACGATTGTTCTCTAGCATTTCACGGGTCTCCTCGTGAGCCTGGAAAAGCTTAGGATGGGTTGAGGTAGCGTCTGCCGTGGCCTGTTCTGAGAGTGCGGCTGAATACACGAGTCTTTCACGGTCGATCATTGATCCAATACGGGACATCGCTTCCTCGCAGATACCAATGCAGTGCTTGATAACTGTGCTTTCATCTCTCAAGTCCAATCTGGTGGTGTCTGGCTCCTCCGAAGGAAACCGCTCCATCTTCTCGTTGATGCGTTGCAGCTGAACATTGAGGTTATATGTGGTATCTTGAACCATCTCGCTGTACTGCTCAAGGACATCGCATGTGGTTTTAGAAGTTTGTCTGTAGAGGTTGGTTAGTCCGCTTTTCATCACGTTCTACTGCATCACATACAACGTAATGGTTCCCAGCCCGATTGAAATCGTCGATTTGTACCCGGAAAGAGTTCTCATGAATTCGTTGATGTCTCCCTTCATGAATTCCAGTTTCGCCCAGTCTCGGAAACCTGTGGACGACTTCCCGACGAAGTCTTTCATAACCACCTCAAAAGCCTGGCACAACTGCCTACATCGCTCGACAGGACCCTTCAGGAGGGCAAGCATGGACGCTTCAACCTGCGAAATCTTCTCAAGAGTGTCCAAAATACTAACGAGGTCCTCAAGCTGACCAATGAGCCGACGAAGGGTTTCGTCCCGACCTCTGTAACGCTCGACCGTCTCTTTGAGGGACTTGACCGACACCACTGAAGCGGTGACTATTGCGAGGATCGAGGCGGAGATGCTTAATGGGTCGGCCATTACGTCGAACTGTTAGCCCGGGATGCTACCCAGAGACTAGAAAAGAATACACGCCGGAAATAGAGTGAAAGCTGGTGTGTCGCACATGCCCGCTACGATGACGACTAGAAGGGTTGATCTGAAGATGAGGGGTTAGCTAGAAATTGGCTCACACGTGACAGGAGATCGTTCCACCTCTGGACCAATCATGACATTATATATTTAATCGAGGAAGGCTGCAGGTCTATATCGACCTATAGTGGATCTTGGAAAGTAATAATATAACCTAGGTATCACCGCTTTATTAATACTGCATCTTTAGCGCCTTATTATATAGCTAAATAAAGGCTAATTTTGTCTTATTATATATTAATCTATAAATAATAAAAGTCTATATTTTTTAATATATGTAATATTTAATATATTAGCTATTATATTAAATCCCCGATGCCCCTATACCCCTATCGGGCTTTTGAATATGAAAGCCGAACGAAGCCAGGTACTGTTTCATCACCAATGATCCAAGACTTTAGTGCTATCCGAATATTGTTTGACTTGGCTGTTGAGCGTAGTATGCAGTTGTGAGAGAGGCCAGACGCTCCCAGAGACATTACGGGAATTTCTCAAAGATTGCATTGAACTCTCTGAATATAATCTCATTGTCTTGCTTGATATCGCAGCGGAGTTTTCCTAACCTCATGGCCCTTCATCAAAATTCCCGGTGTACACCTCGGGATCCGCGAGCTTCTTTCAACCACATTTGCCAATACGGCTTCCCCGGGCCGAGAGCCTCTAAGTTCCGGTTTTGGACAATATTTCCACTTCATATAATGAGATCTTCGTCATACGTCCCTCACAGGTGCGGTAACATGGGCGGCGTTCTCGTGGTGGATAAATGACATTCCGTCAAAAAGGTGACCAGACACCGTCTTTTCGGACTCCGAGTTATAACACAACAGCAACAATAGGGAGTTTGGTTTGAACTTTTGTGGCTGTATGGAACTGTGATCTTAGAGGTGAGGTTGATCACATAAACGCCGTCGGAGTTTTGATGATTGTCATAGCGTTGAACAAGGTTGGCCGACGGGATCTCCTGAAGCGGGGAAGTAACGGGACGGAATGTGCATGATGGACCAATGAGATCAATACAATGAACTTCTACAGGATGGCAGAAATTGCAGGTTTAGCTTATACTGGCAATATCCTGTTTGAAAGATTGCTGTACTTCACAGGTCATCCCCAAGCTGACCGTGGAGAGTGAAAACTGGGGATGACTATGAACACGTTGATGAGTGTAGAGAGCCACCCGTTTCCAAGTATTCATATGAGACAACCGCCTATTAGTAGCAGGTAGTTATCACAAAATAAAATCGCTTTAGCAAGACTGTAGTTGTTTTAATGCCCAGATGCAGCAGTTCCAAGGCTGCCCTGGTTCCTGGCCCGGTGTCGACCCGCCATGGTATGATATGATATCAATATCATAAGCCCATTCATGGTGTTCTGCTTTTAACCATGACACCAACCCAGTAACAGCGGATATCGTGACAACGTCGGGCTCAAAATTACCCCATAGGATATCATATTCGGCATGAAACTCCGAACGTAGATCTCATCCGAGGAGGTCTGGCGGCGAGCCTGCCCACAACTCGGCCACCATCTCCATTTACCACGCCGCGGCCAACATCCGCAGCCCGCTTGGAGGCGAGAGATTCCTGAAGGCGCTGGATGGCGTGGTCCGTCCTGTCCTGAAGCCCAAGGGCATCAAGTGGGAGTCCAACGTTTATGAGACTCCGCGTGACTATTGGAGACTGCAGGGCATGTCACCTCCGGATTTCAATACTGAGATGCTGAAGAGATGGGCCAAGGATAATGACTTTGCCGAGGAGGATGAGGAGCAGCTTTTGCGCCAGCAGGGTTACTTTGTACGTTGGTTCTGTAACTGATGGACACGGAGATCTAACTTGAGCAGGATGACTCTCGCTGGAAGCTGCCGACTTTCGATGACGTGAAATGATGAGCTAAAAGACGACTGATTCTCATGAAAGCATTTCTGATGGTTCAAAACAGAGACCTAGTAGCGAGGTTTGTGTCGGCAAATAAACGAGGAGCGTTGCGATGAGCCTTGGGTGGGATGTTGTGATGGCTGTTTCAAGGGTTGAGGGGGGGAAAGGCTAGACTACAAGAAAGCTACTCGTTCAAAGATTACAAATGAACAATGACTAGGATGATAGGTATCCGAATTACCCCTTAGGTTTGTTCTAGAATATCCCTCCCTTCTTGATTTGTCTCCATTTTAACCCCCACGACGTTGAACGCTAGTAGTTGTGATGCGCACAGCCAGATCCGAATACCCTTGAGCCCAAAGGTGACTCGGCACAAGCAAATAATTGCAATTTATATCTACCAAGCTTGAGCCTCTATCTCATAGACGTCTACGGCCTGTTTATGAAGGGTACAAACCCCCAGATCTCAAGAACGGCACTTCAAATCCCTCAACATCGCCATCCTCTCCGGCATAGACCACCACCCGATCCAACGGCTCTCCGTCATAATGCACCCAGTCCTGAACAGTCCAACCCCCACAGTTCATGCCCTCTATCGTCTTTCCAGGCAAATCCGTCTTGAAGTCTGAGCCGATATCCGGCCAGAGATGCCAGACCTCCTTGGTGACGGGCTTGCCGTCGAGGGTCGCCTTCTCACGGAGGTCGCTTGGAAAGACGCGGATCTTTGGACCAACTGTAGGAAGGAAACCTCCAAGAGCAAAGGTCCAGATTTTGGCGAGCCCGGCAACAATATCTGTGTTGTTACGGCGAAGTGACGCCAGAACCATCGAGTCTTTGTCCTGCTTGAGGGATGCCTCGACAAAAACTTGATCCTTGCCTCCCTTGTTTGTAAACTTTTGCTCATACCTCTCTCCCTGGTCTCTAGATATCTCATCTGCAGCGGCCACAAAGGTAGCAAGCATAGCATCTCTCAGGATCGGTGCCGCCTTCATGGGCCCAGCCGTGAGGAGGACCACAGCAAAGCCGTATTCGTCGACAAAGTCAAGTTGAGTTCTGTAATTCTGGGCACCACCACTCTTGCCGTAAATAGTAACAGTGTGGGGATGGGCTGGTGTAAGCTTCGAGGAGCGAAGGATCTCCCACGGCATGCCGGTCATGGTATGCTCATTGCCAGCAAAAGCGACTGGCTTCAGCCAGGCATCGATCTCGGTGGAAGTGAGGTTGATGGCCCGGGAGAGTAAAGAATATGAGAACTTGGAAAGATCTGAGAGAGAAGAGACTAGCCCTCCAGCACTATTGTTGTTAGCCTTGGTCTCCCTGAAATGCTGGCCACTCACGGTGTGTTCTCCTTGTAATCTGCGCCCCAGCTACTCTCCCCGGGAGGGATGACAGCCTTGTCAGAATCTCCAGGGGAAGGATAGGTACTCTCAAGATCCAAAGGATCAGAAACAATCTCCTTCACAAGCTGGGTAAAGTTCTTCTCAGTGTACTCCTCCAGGGCCATGCCGAGAATGACAAAGGCCATGTTGGAGTAGGCCGGGCGCTCATTCGGAGCCGTCTGAGGATACGACCGTGTCATCCCGGTGAGATAACCTGAGAAGATGTTAGCTTTAGGATTAGTCGGTTTGCTACAGTGCCCTACCTTGACGTGAGCATCCTTTGTTGAGTCCCGTAACACCACAGGGTGGGTAGTCGCTATCATCGACTGGTGGAAAGCCGATGGAGAGGAACACTTCCTTTAAGGCGTAAAATTCAGAGAAGCCGTCTGCGGATTGTCAATTAGGTTAAACTCCCGGACGTTTAATGGTTGTAAAACTCACAATTTGCAGGTGCACCGCTAAGATGCGAAGCCAACATCCTCAAGCTCACATCCCTCCACTGGATAGTCGACTTCTTATCCCCCAGCTTCGGGAGGTACTCCGTCACCGGGGCATCTAGATCAACGCCACTCTTCAAGAGCACATAGGTAGCAATGACCTTGGACACCGAACCGATGAGATACTGCGAATCCCTGTCAAGATCCTTCGTGCCGTTCTCATTCGCAGACGCGAGATGGTGATACTCCCAGATGGGAACGCCCGGCTTGTCTTGGTCGGCGCTGATCACGGCCAGCGAAAAAGAGACATTATTTACGGGCCAGCCTGCGGTGATGGAACCGGAGACGGCAGCGTCAAGGGTGTCTGTTAGGTTGGCTGCTGCGTCTTTGAAGATGGCGGATTCAGCGAAGGCTGTAGGTCGTGGAAGAACAGGGCCTTCTGGACGACATTTCAAGTTCGCCATAGCAAATGAAGCTGTCAAAGACAGGATAAAGGTAAATGATTGTAATAGAGTCATGTTGGTAGTGAGGAGTTGATTGCTCTGCAGGTTCATAATGTCACTTTACCCAGAACTACCAGTCTGCTCTTATATCTCCAACTCTTCATCTTGATCTTCCGGGAACCCATCCACATGAATTCGCGTCCTGAATGCGAAATACGAGATGCATCCACAAGCGCATCCACATTGGCTGTTTGCTTAAAGATCCGAGGATCTGCACGGGAGTTACAAGGTGGCGTTGAGACCATGGGAATCTGGGAATGCGAGATACGATGGTGCAGATCCACATAATCTCCAGATCTACCCTGGATTGTCCAACGAAATGTTAAGCTTGTTTCTTAGCCATCTCTTAAGGCAGTCGACTGCGCAAACACGTCGCGAAGATCAAGTCACGCTCGTTAGAGATCATCAAGCTAGAGACAAACAGACGCAGCAATTCAGTCATTTCATTAACCCTGCTCTCCCTAAATCTTAAGCGTATCCAACACGCTGGGTATCAACCGCCACCTCTCAGCCGTCCCATCCCTCGGAACAACCCCCATCTCGATCCTCGCATTGACAAACTTGGGCCCGCCGCTCTCCCACTCGAAATCCTTCCACCGCCCGAGAGTTGGCCACATCTTGTCCTTTACAATCCTAGCAATCTTCTCCCTGCGCTGGGCCTCAGCGTCTGCGAGGCCTACCACGCTGCTCCACAGGTTCCATGTCTCTTCCAGCTCGTCGACGCTTGAGACACCCATGACGCTGACGCCGAGACGGCTTGAGGATCCTGGGTTGAGCTTGGTACCGAATGGCGATCCTACGCGCGCCCAGTTCTCAAGCGCCCATCGAATGGCTACCTCTTCCAGATGCTCGCCTTCTTGTTGCGCAATGGCAGACAGGTTAGAGCACAACTGCCGAAGCTCTCCAGGAGCAGGATGCCAAGTCGCCATGGGACTGTTATCAACACCACGGGTCGTCAACAGTCCCATGTTGAGCATGCTAGCATTCAACAAGCATTCTACCCCAGCATCCTTGAACCTCTCCAGCAGAGCCTTCTCACCCAGCTGGCTATTCTGAACACAGAAATGCCCATACGATAGAACAGCATCAAGCGGCTCTCCTGTCTCGCGCAAAATCATCTCGGCCAGCGAGGCAAGCGTATCGACAGGATATCCACTGATGCCCACGTATCGAATCAAGCCCTGATCCCTCAACCGCCGCAGCTCCATGACCGCACCGAGGACTTCCTCAGGCGACACAAACTCGACGTCGTGTGTGTATACCAAGTCCAAGTACGGCGTGCCCAGTCGTTCCAGACTGCGACACACACTGTACCGGATCCAAGCAGGCGAGTAGTCAAACTCGTCGCTCGCGATGCGACCGGCCTTTGTAATGAGAAAGTATCCCTCTCGCGGCGGCGGAGGTGTCAACTTGCGCAGCGCATCACCAAGAAGAATCTCGGAGGGGCCGTAGTAGGGCGAGGTATCGAAGCCGAGGATGTTGTGAGCGAGCGCGCGTCCGACGATGTCGGTATAGGGCATGTGCGCCGGATCGGGATGATACTGGTGGTTGAAGGTAGCCGTGCCGAGTATCAGAGGAGGCAGGACATCGGAGAGGGGTTTTCGCAGGGTCGCCATTGATTCTGAAGCTATCGCCAATGACGATCAAGGGTGAATATACGAGAGAGGTAGGGTATCGCAAAGAGCGAGAATTTCGGTTTGGGTCTCTCAGGGTCCTTCCGATAAAGGTAATCGGCGCGGGTCGGCTTGTGGAGAAGCCCGAGAGAAATTCACGAGAGAGACTCGAGCTTCGGGGAGTGCTCGGCGATATCGGGAAAGGACAAGAGAAGACAATTGAGAGTTGAACGAAACTCTCTCTACAAGATAGAAAGAAAAGACATCAAAATAAGGGGTCCTCCTGTGTTTGTCAGCTCTCTCAAGGGTTCACATATTAGCCTCACTCTTGCTGCATCCCGATCCGATCCGCCGCAATTAAGCGCGATCGCGGAATATCGCATTTTTCCTTGTGTCTTTGTGATGAATCATGACCAGAGACGAAACGGGATTCCGAGGGTCCGGCCCAGTCTAGAATTAGTTCAAGTGCGTAATCGAGTCAAGCACTTGCGCCATCGTCGACAGCAGGTTGCCAATGATTCCAGAGCGTGTGCGTGACATTTTGAACGGCGATAACACTAGAAAAATGGAGGGGGAAAGAAAAAGAACAAGTTCTCCAATTCGAAAAGAAAAATATTAGGCCAGCTTCGAAACGACCAGATGACCTCGATGACTGCATGGATCATCTGAACAAACACACCCGTCGGTCATCCATCTCCGTTCTATTGCCCGCTCGTCGGACTATCCTCTTCCGTCGATGGCCAAGCGGGGGGGCTTGGAATAGCATCACCCCATATCTGGGACCACTGATGACGCCAGATGGGACTTTCACAAGATATCAAGTGTCAACCATTGCACTTCCTTAAACCCGAAGATCACGGAGACAATCATACGATACAATCTCATACCAAAGGGGGGACTTGTCCAATTACCAAACGAATAGTGGTGAGTATCTGAAAAGAGGCGAGTTTCATCCATCCCATCCTGTTTGCTCCTTGACTCCAGAAACCCATGTTTCTCAAGTCCCATCAAAAGAATACCATATTCCAGCCATACCGTCATTCATACCAAAAAGTAAAGCAATAACAAAAACATGTCGTGCACCACCAAAAGAAAACTCCCAGCATGTGTTCACTCAGCCATGCCCTCAATGCGCCCGACCATTAATAGTCCACAAACAATGACCCGTGGGTATCAAGATCCTCCCCTTATCCAAAGGCGCAATCTAGAACCACGCCCCCATATTCCAGGGATCGCGCTTCCGAGATGTCCGTGTTTTCCTTGAGCATAGACAAACCCCCTAGCTTATTCAGACCAGGGAACAACAGAAAACCGTTCCAGGTTCCAAAACATAAATCTCCGTGAGTGGTGTGACGGACGGAGATGTATCTGCTTGTCCAGCTCAGCCCTGTCAGACTTGCAGGTCCAGGTCCCTTGTCCGTGATGATGGCTCACGCGCCTGTCGCTCGCTGGCTGATACAGCAGCAAACAACCAACGCATGGGGCCGAGCGCGCATTTTCACCGCTGCAGCGGTCGTTGACTGAGGTTTCACCCTGAGGGCCTAGACGCGCGTGAGGCCTCGACCTCGTGAGAAGCACCCTAATCAGTCGGTCAGTAAACAAGTCAAGGGGGGTCAAGCGGGACCGAGTTACATACAATCACACTATAAAGGAAGTTAGCGTACGATTCTAGAATGCGACATCAAGGATCAACTTACGAAAGACGACGAGGAACCCTCGTTGTGCGTGAGGCAGTATCCGCCGCAGCACTTCCTGCAGATCTTTTGCGTGCGCTCGATGCAGTCATCGCACTATCGTCAAGGTCAGCTTTGTTAGATAACGATGGGCAGAGGAGAAACAAACATTCATGCCGCATTCCCAGCAGCTTCGTGAGACGCGGGCCTATGTTTCTGGTCAGCAAACATGTCACAACAGTAGACAAAGGAGATGGAGTATTGCTCGTCTCGGAATCACCACCTTAGAGCAGATGCATACAATTTCTTTCGCCAGTGGATTACGGCAGTTGATTCGGCCGGTTCCCCGTGCAATGCGAATGACGGTGCGTGCTCGCTCCTTCAGGTCGATGATCCTACGTCCATGGTGCAGGTTCTACAAAGACCGTCTCGTACCTTGGCTTTGGTCATTGTTGCTGGCGCCGGCTCCACTTGGTCCAGCGAGTTCCAGCTTCCGTCATACTCAACAATCGTGACGCTCGGTTCATGCATGCCCACGCCGTGAGAATGGCCAAATGGTTCGTAGCACGTCTCGCACCACCACTTGTTGCACGTCACGCAGAACCTGTCCCTAAGGCAGTCGGCGCATCGCGCTGCAAAGGGCTGGCCTCCGGGCCGGGGCGCAGTGGCCGCCTGCACAGACGATGAGAGGATCGGCGGCGGAGACAGCAGCGGCAGTGCTGAAGGATGGGTTGTCTCAGTGTTCATGAGCCCCTCGGGCGCCTTGCCACAGGACGCGCAACCGCCAACCGCAAAGGTGGCGATGGCAGGGTTGCAGGCATATCGCAGATGCATCTTGCCAAAGGCTGGCGAGTTGCTGTGGCGTGGGCCCTGGCACAGCACGGCATCAAAGGAGATGAGACCTTGGCATGCTAGAAGGCATTGCGCCCAGTCTGCGTCAATGCCATTGCTGAGCATTCGACCCTTACGAGACCACCAGGCGTCGGCCTCTCCCTCAAGAGATGCGCTCAGTGCCTTGTGGCTCTTGTGGTTCCAACCTTCCCCAACCGACATCTTGGTAGTGTCGGCGTCGTGGAGTAGAGGCGTCGCAGGCTCCTTGGAACCAAAGATGTACAGAGCCTTGAGTCGCGGGGCACCCTCTGGGCGGGTGCTGCGACAGGCATAAGCCAGCGCGGCGCGCAGCTTGCCGTGGTTCAGGTTCTTGACATCGCGGATCGAGAGCATGCGCACGCTGTAAGTCGGGTCGTTGATGATCTCGTGGCAGAGCTCGGCCGTGACCGAGAGGCCGTCGAGGATCAGAGATTGAACATCGCGGAGAATGTCTCGCTGCTTGAGCGTCGAAAAGATGCCCCTCAAGGGCCCGGCGTAGAAGCTGTAAGTGGGAATCGTCAGTTAGCTAGCGGGTCATTAAAGTGGTCGCAGCGCCAGCGACAGGGGGTCAGATAGCTCATGATGGAGAAAGAGACTCACTCATCCTCAGTCAAGTACTCGGAGAGCTGCACATTGCGCCAAACAGAAAGACTACGCTCAGCTTCGGTGTTGGTGGTGCCGAAATGCGCCGTCTTAACCCGCGTGAGGTCGAGGTGACGAAATACGCCAGGCGTCTGGTAGATGAGGCACCGGAGGTCGCGGCAGGTGGCGGCAAGGTTCAGCAGGCCAGACACGGGGAGATAGGGCAGCGTGTTCCTGAGAACGAGGGAGTTGTACAGAGCGTCGAAGAGGGTCAAGCCCTTGGGTCGGATCTGGAGGATCTCTACGCGCGTTTCGTGGTCGACAATAACTTGGCTCATGTCAGGCTGACCAGAATCTCATGGACAATCACGGGGGGAAGGATTAATGAAGGACAGCCCAACTGGCAAGGAGGGCTAATGAAGGGAAGGGGGGGAGGATGAAGACAAGAGGAAGAAACAAGAACAACAACGTTCGAGGAGGACGAGGCTGTTTAAAGATATCAACCCATGAGGCGGACTAATAAGACAGATTTGTCCGGGAGCACCAAGCACAAGCCCATGCGCAGCGGCCAGGGCGGCAACGATTCGCTGGAACCAAAGCTTCCTTTCCAGACATGGTTTCGTCTGGGGGAAGATGCCCTGTCTGGGTGTGGGATGGGCATGGGATAGGACAGGTCGGGATGGGATGAGATGAGATTGGATTGGCGAAGCTAGGTTCTGCGCTGCGCTGTTGGGATTGTCCCTATTGAGGGAGGCGAAGGGAGGGGAGGGTGTACCCAGTATCGGGGATGGATGATGCATTGGCATTACAAAGGCTGTTTGGAAGCTGTGCTGTGTGAAAGCTTGGGGCATTTTTGCTGGCAACCATCTTGGGAAGCGATAGACGGTTTATCCAATGTGTGTGAGCTCATCATCATCCACCACGGCCACCTGAGAGGTCTTGTTGTTGAGCCCCCCACTCTCTCTCCCCCGTCAGAGACACGGTAGAGCGCAGCCGGCCGGACCGGACACAAGTCAGATATGCTTGCTGAGGCAGCACAACACAGCACAAGGACGGACCTCAACCAAAGACAAGAACCAGGTTAAAGGGGGGGCCGGGCGGTTCAACATAGGTGAGGGATCGGCCCGTCAAGAGAAGCTTGCGAGTGGAGAGGCGTGTGTCTGTCGAGTCGAGTCACGAACCCTAGTCGACTAGCGACTCTTGTCATGTTTGATGAATGGCCGACCTGAAATCTGGCCGGCCTGATGTCTTGACAAGATGGCATCACCAGCTCCAGCTGGATCCCATCTTATCGCTGGCAGGCCCGTGTTCGCAAGCGGTAGCTCCGCTTAGGTAGGAGGTCCCCCCCCCTCCCCTCAGGCGCACCATTCGAGTGAGCTTCTGGTCTTTTTGGGGGGCGACTAGGCGAATGGGGGCTCAAGACGTAATGCAATGACGCTGCAAGAACCATGCCCGGCTTCCTTTGTCCGCCTGTCTGTTCCAACGTTTCGTTCGTTTACCTGCTAAAGCTTAGAGCCCTTGTCAGTCCCCTACTTTTTGAGGCTGTCAAGTGCAACACCCCCCCGGTCCCCCTTTCGGCCCCTTCGGGATGCTGTGCAAGCTTGCTGTGACGGACCTTGTAAGATGGGGGAATCATGGAAACATCAAAAGCACCTCCGCGGTGAGGGGAAAAAACACAACAAGTGGTGACGACCTCTTGTCATGGTTGGATACAGGATGGGCAGGGCGGGCTGGTTGTGTCACATGTCCGCGATCCTACCTGTAATGCGAGGGATGGGTGGTCACAGAGGCCAGGCTGTAGGCTGGTCCCTACTGCAGGCTGGCTGCTCTATCCCAGGCTCAAGCTCGCTCCCTGGGAATTCAGGTCCAGGACCTCGACAAGCTTGACCTGATCAACGTACCAGAATCTGGGGGGTCCGCTCGCAGATCGTACCAAGCCCGGGCGGGTGGGGCCAGGATAAGACAGCGTCTAAAGCCTCATGATGGCCTTTGCTGTGCTTTCTGCGTCCAAACAAGTCGCGGATCTTGCAAGGGATGGATAGGCCAGATAGGTGAGATGTGACTTAGATGAGCTGGCTCGTGTTTCTGCTGTGCTTCGACCTGCCGCCGCCAATCTCTTCTCCACGTTCCGTGCATTGCAAACTCCCCGTCGTTGTTGTCACTCGGAGAGGCGTGCCGGCAGTGCCATCCATCTTCTTTAGCCAGCCATCATGACCTAGGCTCGCTGCATTTAGCCGCCTCTGTCCCCAGTGGGGGGACATCACACATGCGAACGAATCCATCTCAAACAAAAGACGCCGTGAAATCGGCATCCCGCGAGACGAAGAGAGCGGTGAACTCGGAGATAGTCTGCGATCGGCAAGTAAAGCGAAGGACACCTTACCTTACATTGCCCGCACAGAATGCCAAGACCTCGACTCCTGGATACCACCGAGTATTTGCCAGCATGAGATTGCGTGGCGACGGTCCCTGGCGCGCCATACCGTCAAGTCAAAGCCCCTAGCTGCACCAACGTGGTTGGGCCGGGTTTCTTCCCGGGCCCGTGTTGTTGTATCTCGCCGATTAGTTTATTAGTGAGATGAGATGCTGCGTGTGCGTTTTGTCTGGGCGTAGTTTATCTCGAACTGGATATTGTTTGTTGCGCACGTTGTCCTTGGGGTTGTAATTCCCTTTTAGGGGAATCTCATGACACCATGCCGTTTCTGTCGATGCTTGCCGCCCGCTGCCAAGACCTCGTCTCGCATGCATGACCGGAAGCTGGCTGGATGTTGAGCCGGCATCGTGATGCACAATATTGTTAGTGTCGCATGAAACCTGGGGTTGAAGGCATGAGACTTCGGATATTTGTTAGTCCGCATCCGCTGACAAGACAAGCCGAGACGGAAGATTATGTAAGGCAATTCGAGTTGCTTGGCTGCCTGGTCGTCACGGTTCAGCTTCCAGACGATGCTGGAAGAACGTCACCGAATCCGCTGACTGAGCATCGTCGTTTTTAATTGTTGGACGAGTATGTAACTCATGTACGACCTTTATAGCAAACATGTCGGAGGTACTTTCTCATTTTTATCAACAGTCGTCGCATGAGATGCAGATTCTCTAATTAACATCTTGACTTGCCTCTTGTCTCTTCTCTCCACTATCTTCAAGCTAGACCCCGCCAACCGATCATTGCCTCTTCAAGTTTCTTGCCATTTCCTGCAACCGACCTCACGATGGAGGAATCAGCTCCCTTGCGCTGGTCGGGCGCGTTCCCTGTCGTTCATCCGTCAGCTGTAGCGACCAAGAATCTCAGAGGCGACAAGATCCTCCTCCCTCAGTCCGCCCTCGAACAGCTGCTTGCTGCAGCGCAATCCCGACCTTCCAATACCTCGAGCCGATCAGACCCTTGGTCTTTTTCCACAGCATCAAGAAGCGATGCCGATAGCGCACAGCAACTACCAAATCCCCTTATGTTCCGTCTCGTCAATCCGAAGAACAATAATGCCGTCTTTGCGGGTATCAGGGAGTTTTCGGCTTCCGAGGGAACTCTGGGGTTGAGCTCTTGGTTGGCAGAAGCTCTCGAAGTGCAAGAGGAGGATTTCTTATCGCTCAGCCAAGCGGATGAGTCTATTGAAAAGGACCCGGCCCTTTTCGAAGGTGGAAGCATGGATGTCGACGGCATCCAAATCAAGGTTGAGGCGCGACAACTTCCCAAGGGCACCTATGTGCGACTCAGACCCTTGGAGGCGGGGTACAATCCGGATGATTGGAAGCCACTACTCGAACGACAGCTCAGAGAGAACTTTACTACACTCAGCACAGGCGCCATGTTGACAGTGAAGGGCGCACGTGGTGAGGAGTTCAAGCTGCTCGTGGACAAGGTTGCTCCTGAGGGAGATGGCATCTGTGTGGTGGATACGGACCTCGAGGTCGACATTGAAGCTTTGGATGAAGAGCAGGCCCGGGAGACGTTGAGACGCATCATGTCAACACAACGAGGGACATCAGGCGGTAGCTCTTCAGGCGGAGATATTGACATATGGAAGCCAGTCGATGGGCAGGTACTTGAGGGCGAATACGTCGACTATACCCTACCATCATGGAACCGATCTCAACCTCTCGTCATTGAGTTGAGTACCAGCGAGGACGAGGATGCGCTTGATGTTTTTATCACACCCAAGTCTTCCCGACAGCGAGCGCCCCCGCGAGAAACAGCTCATGTGTTTGGCGACTTTTCGCCAGCGACGAATGGAAAGAAGACGATCGTGATAAGCCCTACCAACGTCGAACTTGAGGGGGCTGAGCAGATCTTGATATCCGTCCATGGCTATAAACATCTAGACGCCGGGGAGAGCTCTACACAGGCACTTGAATACTCATTACGAGCCAGCGCCAACTTGCCAGATGAGCAGTCTAGGTCTAACGGGGCCAACGGACAGGAGCACTCTCCTGAGGATGTTCAATGCAGCAACTGTTTACAATACATCCCCAAGCGAACAATGGTTCTTCATGAAAGCTTCTGCCGAAGAAACAATATCGTGTGTCCAGGCTGCAAGTCGGTTTTCAAGAAGGGTTCCCCGGAATGGGAAGCGCACTGGCACTGCGAGAAGGACGAGGCGTTTGGGAACTCAACACGTAGCAGAGCGAAACACGACGACGTCTTTCACACGCAACGTCAATGTCCTCACTGCGAGTTCTCGACCAATTCGCTGGCCGACTTGGCAAGACATCAGACAAGCGTGTGCCCCGGAAAACTCATTCTCTGCCGATTCTGTCACCTCGAGGTTCCCCAAGAAGGCGACCCTTTCAATCCCAGCCCGGAGGTGGTGCTCTCCGGGCTGACAGCGCATGAGTTGGCAGATGGCACTCGAACAACGGAATGCCACCTTTGCGATAAGATTGTTCGACTTAAAGATATGGAGACACACCTCAAGCATCACGAGCTTGACAAGGTGTCTCGACTGAACCCGCCTATCTGCCGCAATGCCAACTGTGGGAGAACAATGTTTGGCGTTGGTCCAAGGGGCCAGGTCAGGCAGGCAGCTTCAACTGAGCAAGCCCAAAACGACATTGGGCTCTGCTCGATCTGCTTTGGCCCTCTATACGTGAGCATGCACGACCCAGAGGGAAAGGCGCTACGGCGACGAATTGAGAGACGATATCTTGGCCAGCTCATGACGGGATGTGGCAAGGCTCACTGCGCAAACTCGTGGTGTAAGACAGGACGAGCCAACGCAGGACTCGATCCCAAGCCTTCAAGTGCGAGGGAGGTTTTACCTTTGGTGAAGCCGCTTCTCGCTAGCATTCCGAATATGGACGAGCCGCTATACTTTTGCGCCGATGAGACAAGTCAGAGGAG